CCGTGCGCAGAGCGCAGCGCACCCCTAAACCGCAAGACAGTCCCTACATTCCCTACATTTGACAGCCTCATTGTTTAATAAAGCCCGACAGACTTGAGCCGACCCCGTTGATGCTGACAACCACAAAAGAAACTGATGCCCTGAAGCTCAGAGCCTCAAGCCCAAGTGCCCTTCAGAACGATCCCAATCCCTGCGAGACCCGGGATCCTCACCTCGAACAGCTAAAACAAAGCATCCCCTGAAAGCCCCCAACTTCTGAACACTTAGGAGCTTAAGTCAAGTTGAGATCCGTGGAACCTTAACCCCAAGACTTCAACAAAGCATCCCAGAAACCCCTGAAAGCCCCCCCATAATTCTGAACACTCTCCCTAAACCCTGAACCCTTATAACTCTTATAAACCCTAAACCCCTAAACCCCTAAAACCCTAAACCCTAAACCCCAAAGTAACCGTAAGCTAAAGCTCGAAAACTCCCCTGGTCCTAAACCCTGAAGCCCCGAACTCCAAAACTCCAAAAATTCTTCAAGCCTCATACAGGGAACTCTAGAAAGTTGGAATATGGTTTCATGGTAGGATACCCTATAATTTACCATAGAAGGGTTAGGATAATCATATTCCAACTTTCTGGCTTTTACCTTAATCCCTAAGCCCTCAAACCCTGAAACGCTGAAACCCTCAACGCGGCTCCGTCGCATTATCGGCCCAATTCATGGGAAGCCCAATGCCAAGCTGCCGTTTGCAGCCACTTCCCAGGCTCCAGGGCTCAGGGATTGGTAATACAGGGGCCTAAATAATTACTAGTACATATTTTGGGGGTTTCCTTGTTATACTTCTAGTATAATGGGCCCCGAAACCCTTTTTCTAATTGTTCAGGCTTGAATAAGGCCTCAAAAGTGGGGTTTTGCGGAGTAGGGTTGAGGGCTTCTGGGTTTTCAGGATCTACGATTTGGAGTTTAAGGTTTGGGCGTCTAGGGTGCGGGTTGGTGTCCAGACAAGAGTTACAAGGCTTTGCGGTATCAGAAGACAGGTCTTATGTGATTTTTCAATGTGCTCAGTGATTTTCTACGGGCTTTATACAACCTTCCCGGAGGTGGAGGGTTATTTACTCCATGCTCTGGGGCTGGAGGTTAGCAATCGTTGGCGTTGAAGTGCTAGGCCCCACACTTGCGAGGCATGAGCGATGTTGGTTTTTTGTTTTGGTTTAGAGCATTGTCTGGGGTTTAAGTCTTGTCACGTCCCTGGCTGTTCTGGCTTCACAGATGGGTTGGTGAAGGACATCATAAAATGTTAGGAGTTCATTCTTCCTCAATGTAGACCTTTGATGAAAGAGCGCCTCCCTTTTATGGGACAAACAGGGATCCTAGTACATTGCGGCGGTTCCTTAGGTTCGGTCCTTCTGGATTCTGGTACTGACCCCGGTGCACGAATTTCCTCGTGCCTTACGCATCGCTGACGAATGTCATCAACAAGAAGGCGGAACATCGATGTACATACCACGTATGCATGCGAAGCTTCGGCGACAGCTGGGCGTTGCAGCAGCAGGACAAACATGGAATGAGCGTCACCTAAGCAGGAGAATGATCTCTGTGAGAGAATTTCGAGGTTCCAGGCACAGAATCCGGCGGCGCAAGCTGCACCTTGGGCGGCTCTTGAAAGCATGTTTCAGGCGACAATGGCGATCGTTGGCAGCACTCAGCATTCCAACTTGCCTTCCAGCTGACAGAACATTATTTGGCATTTCTGGACACTGCAGAAGCTGAAGAACGTGAGCTATGGGTTTTGTGTCTGTGGTCCTTTTGTTTCGGTAGCCACCTTTCCGACGACTTCCAGATATAGTGGACCTTCACCAACAGTTTGCGGCTTATGCTGGAGGAGGAGCCTTGGCTGCCTTCTGGCGAGTGCGAGCCGTTAGACTCCCTGATCCCTAAACCCTAAACCCCAAAGGCCCTCAACAAAAAAAGCAAAACCCCTAAACCGTAAATCCTAAACCCTAGAGGTCCTGGCCCTGTCAACCGTAACGCCCATGAGACGGTTTAGAATTTAGAGTTTAGGCTTTGGGGTTTAGAGCCCTAACTCCGAAAGACTCCGAAAGCCGGAATCCCAAGCCGTAGATCATACAGCAAAAAAAGCCAGGTTTGAAGCCGATGACCGCAAGCCCCACACATTTGCCAGTTTATAGTAGGTAACCATACTGAATCCCGACAGTTAGCCTTTAGTCCCCTAGGATACTTGACGAGTAGGCTGAAACGTCAAGCCCGGAGGCCAAAGTCCTGCTCTGCACAAGGGGTTTAAAAGGAGTAGGGCCTTTAGGGCCAAGAACTCCCTGAATGCCGGTCATGATACGGTTATCCTACCACGCAATGTCTTTGGGCTTACATCCCAAGGACATGAAGCCCAAACCCCAAGCTCTAACATCCGAAACTCTAAACTCCCGATATGTGAACTCCAAGCGGCGGCTTTTTGACAGGTTGTAGCCATGGACGACGAAAAAGCAGAGGCCAAGAAGGCGCCATCCGACCTGATTTCGAGTTATTGGCGAGATATTTTCCTCGGTAGGCCTGTGGGACTGTGGGATATTTTTATATTTTACCATATTGGGCTTCATAGGACCCTATTTACGAATTTTGTTCAGAGGCTCTAAAGGGCCAACCTAGTTTCGTTGTAGCTGACTCGGCAACCTCAAGCCTTCTTGGGCTCACATAACCACATATGACCCTAAAACCCTGAACTTTGACCACTAAACCCCAAAACCCCTAGTCTTAAACCCGAAAACCCGTAAACCCTACCCATTGCCTTTCAGGGGAAGCCTTTTCAGCCCTAAGTGTAGAAGCCCGACGTGTGTTGGTTTTGCGGAGCTTGGGTTCGAGAATGCAGGCTTGGAGGTGATTGTTTTGGATTGTTTTGGGGATTTCAAAGTTTGGAGATTTCGGACCTTGGGTTTTGGGATGGAGATTTGTTGTTGTTGCGAATATTTCGGACCTTAGGGCAAAAATAAGAAAGAAAGCAACAAGGGTATTGAGGTGTCTAGAGATTTACGGTCGCGAGCGTTCCTGACGGAGCGCGTATGTTTGGGACGTCTTTAGATAAGCACACTGGTACTCTGGTATTCATTACAAGAGAGCTGCTGATCAGACTGGATATCACGTTTGGTCTTTCGGCATGTCCAGCTGGTCAGGGCCAGCTTCGTTGGAGACCTTGAGGTCAGCCAAAAGTTCCGCGATGTACAGGCTGAACAGGACAGGCGTTCGCTTCGGGTTCACGCAACGTCACGCACCCTGGACAACGGGCACGCAGTTCACTGGGACGGTCGATCGAGTAGACAGCGGCCTGCTCACTGTAAAAGACGTGTCGATTTCCGATCAGAACCTGGTCTACCGAGTCTACCCCTCCGTCCGCTTTCGAGTTGAGAGCAGCGGGCCCACCAGCTGGAGGATCAGAACCGCGAACTGCGCTGCCCGCCCTGCCTGGAGCTGGAGTTCCTCGTTTCGGCGAGCTTTCCTGAGTCGTACAAGAAGTTTGGTAGGGTTTATTAAGGGTGTATGGTGAAGGAATTCAGGGTTCAGGAGTTCATGGTTTAAGGTATTGGTGGATTAGGCTTCTAGTGTTGCTTGCATTACGCACTCAGTATCAGCAGGGTTAAGATTAAAAGCCAATAGGCTTGCCAGGCTTGCTTCGGCATGTGGTACTAGCTCCTCTGAATGTCGTTCTTTCTCGAACAGGGTATATGTTTAGCCTGCATCTAGGGTTTGAGGTATCCGCAGAAAACGTCAAGGAGAGAGAGGGTGAGACCGAGAGAGAGAGAGAGAGCAAGGAGGGACAGAGAGAGAGAGAGAGAGAGATAGGCTGACAGATCGACAGACAGAGATACATAAATGCCAGAGATAGATGGGAAAAGACTCCTGGGACGGACCGCTAAGACTTGAGTTCATTTTCCGGGTTTAGGGTGTGGGCTTTTCAGGGATGTTTTCGCTGCACCTGATGGTTTAGCGCAATCAACTTGGGGACCCAAACATACATACATACATATATATATATATACATATATATAGATAAATACACATGTGTGTATATATATATACACAAACACATAGATACAGACATATATACATATAATATACATATATATATATATATACATAGAAGAAGGTCGCTTGGGTTGTGGGTACTGTGGGGTAGTTTTGGCTGAAACACTTATTCACTAGGTTGCAGGGCTATAGGTGTTTTGCGCTTTGTATAGGGTGTAAGGAACAGCACCCCGAAAGCCGCTACATCCTACATTTTATATAGAGGTCAGAACAATTGCCAAGATTCGTCCTCAGAGGGGACCCTGTACTTGGTAAATTGGGCAACCGGGCTCTGAGGGGTCCCTCGAACCCCCTCAACCAGCAAATACAGCTTCGATTTCGAAACCGAAAACCCTGCATCCCATCATCCTCTCGAGAGTTCCTCTCGAGAGTTCCTTTAATCATAAGCGAAGCCTCTCACCCTTAAAAGCCTCCATACTGCTTGCTTTTCTGCGTCGATACTACCCAGGCGCACAGCCTCCAAACCCTTTGCCTTCAATTCCGCGGTTTCCGCAGATCCCACGAAATAGAATCTACGGACGCACCTCTGGGTCCTCGGACCTAAGCCATCTAAGCCACAAACCCTCCCTAAGGCTCCATGTGCCCATATAGCACCCCTTTAAGGCCTAAGTATATAGTATTTGGCTAGATGGAGCCTGAGGGCCTAAACTCTACAGCCTAGCGTTTTACTTCACGAGTCTTCTCACCGCAATCTGGCTCCAGCGCTGAATGACTTAAGAGCCTCGAGCTTCGAACTCCGATTGAAGTTTAGGACTCGGGGTTCAGCCTTGAGGGTTTGGGGCTTTAGGGTTTTAGGGTATAGAGTTCAGGGTTGGGGGCTTAGGGGTTTAGAGTATAGGGGTCGGTGATGCGAGTTTTGGATTTTCGCAGTCGCTGGGTTTAGGCTTTGGGGCTGGATAGGTTCCCGTTCGCCATAATGTCCTGTGAATGCTGCTGCGGGCTGGCGAAGCTTCTGGCAGGGGTAGATGTCAGGTTTTTGCTTGGGCTTCGGAAACACAAGTGGCTTGGTTCTGGATGTTCCTTCAACATTTTCTGTGTTTTGTAGTATACCTCCAACAGGTTGTAAGACCTGCTTTTCGGTAGGCAACCCGTAGTTCTCTGGAAGGTCTGGGGTTCCGTGTTCCGATGTGCTTAGCAGACGGCTGTTCTTCCGTGGCCAGCTTAGCCGTAAGGTGGCCCATCAACGAGTGGAATGCGCAGTATGAGGAAGATGCGGTCGATCCGGAGATTGAAGTTTTGGATGCGCACCATCACTTGTTCGACTTCAAGAACCACGACAAAGGATTGCCTGTTCCCAAGTGGGTCGTGAAGCTCTCGTACCTTCAGCATCCAGGCTATTTTGAGTCCTTTACCCGGTCATGCCTCTGAGTGTAGTATAGGAGTTTCAGACAGAAGAGCTGGATTCATATACACCAAAGGTCCCAGCTCCGAGCCGAGAAGAAGCAACTACATAACCCTTCAAGCCGCAAGGTCACAAACCCCATGCCCCAACTCCATGAATCCTAAGCCATGATACCGGCAATAAACCCTAAACGCTAAACCCCAAAACCGCTACAAAGACACGGATCCCTGTATAACGAGACCGCTCAAACCTAAGCCCAGGGCACCAATAAAGGCGCCTGAATAGTTACCAATACAATTTTGGCGGTTCCTTAGTATAACTATCGTATAATGGGCCCGAAAGGCCCCCCAAACGCTATTCTAATTCACTATTAAGGCCCCCACACCTACCTTTGGTTGGTAGAGAATGGAGGAATGGGGTACAATTTCATAACTACTCTTGCTACCATGCTTCCATTCCCTACTAGCCAAGTAAGTACATTGAACCCAGGTACGATTACCAATACCATTTTGGCTGTTCCTTATTTTAACTATAGTATGATGGCCCCGAATGGCCCCCAAACCCTATTCTAGTTCATTATCAAGGCCCCTACATTGAATCCAGGTACGACGCAGATTCGATGGCAAACCTCGAGAAACAGGATCCCAAGCTCATCCACTCCTTCGGCACTCGGCTGCCCCTTGCTCCGCAATACTTAGGTGCAGGGTTTAGGGAAGTTTAGGGTGTAGTGCTGCGGTTTTATTAGGATTTATGGGTTGGGTGGTATGTTTTTGCAAGGGTGCTAGTTTCTTCTCGGATACCTCTTCAAAAACGGCCCCAGACTCCTAAAGCCCAGGCCCCTCCTCACCCCATACATGGGGGAGGAGCTCATGAAAGACATCGAGGGCAATGGCAGAGGTCACAAGGCCGACGCATGTAGCAGGAGGTCCTCGATTCGCAGAACCAGAACAGGGTTTCGTGGGGTTTGTATGTTGGCCAGGCCCTAAAGTGTGGAGTACGTAGGGTTTTTGGGTTTAGGATTTACCATTACACCCTACTTGGCCATCTCTGTCTCTATACTGCTCTTGGAGTTGTCTTGGTATGCAGGGATCTTCTTCTTGCTGCCCTTCTAGTGGGGGTCTGAGTCTTAAGCATTCTTTTGCATAATGGGTCTACCCGATCGTGCGAGTGACCCCAAGCCCGAAGGTCCGTTTTCCCTTGAGCCCGACACCCTGTACAGTCCGACAGTACAGGGCTCTTTAGGGTTTAGGGTTTAGGGTTTAAGTCCGACGGTGCAGGGCTCTTCATGGTTAGAACATGGCTTAAGGGGCGCATCTTCTAGTATACGTATAAACACAAACCCTAAGAAATCATAGTTTTGCGAAGTATTCAAACTTCTATTCGATCCTGAGCACCCTAAGCAATCAGCCGAAGCCCGCAGATCCCGGACACATGTCATTCAACAACAGCACGAATCAGTGCTTAGGGTCTTGGGTTTAGGGCTTATGGATATCTACAAAAGCCCTGAACAAACGGGTCTTGGGTTCCGGGATTTTTAGGGCTTATGGAAATCCGACAAAGACCTGAAACAAGCATAACGCTAGACTCGAGAAGGTGGTGGGCACCATCTACATGGAGTGCGGCTGGAAGACCCCTGGTGTGGAGGAGTGTATGGAGCCAGTTGGTGAGGCTCGGGCTCCGGAGTGTTCCGGTCTGTCTTTGGGTTCAGGGGTTCAGGGCTTAGGGGACAAATGCCAAACTTTGCAATTTCCTAGGATAGCAGTCTGGTTTTGCAGGTTGTTGGAGTATGGTCGTTTTCTTGAAATATGTGCATCCATGCTTCTATCGCTCGATTTCTAAGAAGAGTACAGTGACAATAGCAAATTGCGAAGAGTTTTCATATGGCGTTGCCAGGTTTTGCAGGGTTTCATGAAAAGTCTTGTATGGCCTCCTTTTTGAGGAGACGGGGTTTCGGGGGCCAGTCGTTAGAGTTAGGTTTAAGCGGCTTAGGGTATAACTTTGTTCACTGACCCATGGCATTGGGCCGCTTGGCGTTTGGACCCTGCAGCCCATCCGCGCAGGCAGCAATGGTCTCGGAGGTTCATGCGAAGCACCCGCTGCTGTGCAAGGGCCGCTGGGGTGCAACACAATATCTGGCGGTAGTCTTGATCATACACTGTACAAGAGTAACCAACACTTAGCCAAGCCACCTCCACACAAGAGGGGACCCGGAGGTGTTGGATTTAAGTCTCGGCACCTTAGGTTCAGAAGACGGGTGATGGGAGTTCATCCTTGCTCTTATTTTCCTGGTTTCGCAGTCGCAGGAATCAGCACCATAGCAGACCTCTTGTCTTGCAGTACATTGCACTACCTTAAGGCCCTCAATTTGTAATATGACTCCCTTAGAGTCCCCATTCTACGCGTTATTGGTTCTTTTTTTGAACCTTGTTTTAATCATCAGGGCCCCGGTAGACTGGCCATACAATCAGGAGCATGCTCGACCTGGTTCCTCGAAAGCTTACCAAAGATCACGGCTTCTCTAGTCTTTGGATTTGTCTGAACTGAGATATGCCAGCTCACCCGACCTGAAGGCAATGTTTCATACTACCCCCTCATAGTCCCTAAGCCCTAATAAAGCCTAAGCTTTCTACCTAAACAATTATAGCTCTCCCGAAACTGTGTTCCACACGTTAAGGCCCCTGTGCTGAGTGGCCGCATCCACAGAGAATCCAGGTTTCCCTGTGGTTTGAAATGCGATGCCTAGCTTAGCACTTGATGCTGCAGTTCAGGATTTAGGGTTTATGAAGGTTAGAGGGTTTAGGTCTGAAAGAAGATACTGAACGCAAGAACCGAAAGCCCCAAACCCGCTCCAATGTCCAAAACCGTACAAAATCGGCGGTTGTGACCCAGAATGCCCGGGCACAACTCCTAACCCCATCGGTTAGTAGTTATTAGGTCCATATGTATGGAACGCCTATAGAAAGCGCCTCTTAGAGCCCTTGTTGAATCCGCCTTCTGGGAATCTTTAACCCTGACAACTACAGTACCTATTAAACTCCCACAAAACATCCTAACTGATATAGAGCCTCAGCAGACGAGCTGGAACAGCTGTTGAGGAATGGTTTGCTTTGCAGACCTTCGGCTGGGAAAGGCTGTGGAGCCTGCTCTGATCCACTACAAGAAGAACCCTTTGGTGAAAGGCGGGAGCTTTGGAGGGTTTGGGAGCTTTGGGGGGGGCTTTGGATGCCAATGTTGTTGAGGGGCTAGGGTTTTCAGTGATTTCGGAGTTGTAGGATTTAGGAGTCGATATATCCTGCTCAGGGAATCACAGTCTATTGATGTGTTGAACTTCACTTGAGGTTTGTTGCTCAGGTTCGTCTGGACAACCCTGTGCCGAAAGCTCAAAATCCACCTGCAAAGCTTCAGATTCTGCACCCCAATCTCCGAACCCTAGACCCTAAACCCCTAAGCCCCTAAGCCACTAAACCCCGAGCCCCCCAAACGGAGTTTGCTTACAGGTATCCGGCACGGCCTTGCGTACACCGGCCACCCGCTCATAGCTGATGCGGCGCACTGCGATGCGCGCCCCTGCGTATCAAGTCGCGAGTAGCTGCGAGTCGGGTCCTAACTCAAGGTGTACATAGACAGGTGTGGGCAGCCTAGTCAGGTGTAGCTGTTTGTATCCAGGTCTTCTGATCCTATGCCCTGAAGCAATGTTCTTAAAACCTGTTAAGGAGTTCCATAGGGCCCGATACGTCTTGTTGTGTCCGAAGCCTTGTGATGCCACAATGTTACCCTAAGACTATTAGACCATATATGGGAGCAAGTTGATACTGGTATACTATAGTAAACTAATTTCAGAATGGGCCCCAGCAACACAGTGGCTTCAGAAGGCTGGAAGACCGTAGGTAGGATGAAATCTTTTATACATGGGCTCTTAGTTGGGGCTCATCCCACCTATCTTCATCCCACCTTTCCCCTAAACCCTGCAAACCCAAAACCCTGAACCCTAGACCCTAAACCCAAACCCAAACCCTAAACCCTAAGCCCTATAAACCCAATACCCTAAGCCCCAAACCCTATAAACCCTAAACCCTAATATACCCTGAACCCTAAACCCTATTATACCCTAAACCCCCTAAACCCAAAACCCTAAACCCTTTGAGGAACACAGCGTCCGACCCCAAGTTTCGCGAGGGCTTTGGCCTGCTCGCGAAGTGCCCTTGGATCTTCAATTAGGGGAGGAGGCCTTAGAAGCTGCCCCCACGGTTTAGGGTTTAGGGTCTAATAGGGTTTAGGGTTTTGGGTTTAATAGGGTTTTGGGTTTAGGGTTTCTGTAATAGTGACTATAAGGATTACCCTATTGATGGTAGTTAGGATTAGGGGACACTTGGGGATATATAGACCCTCTCAATAAGGCCCTTTTCAAGAGAGCCAGAAGTAGGGTTCAGAAGGTTATACCACTATTACAGGGTGGGGGCCCCTTCTGAAGGAGGCCTATCTTGGTCCGGTGGGTTTCCGAACATAGGGGACTCTCCTATAGTACCCCAAATAGCAAGATGCTTATTATAAGGACCCCAAAATAAGGTACACCCGGACACTCCCATTTTAGGGAGTTGTTAGAAGCTGACCCCACCCTGTAATAGTGACTTTAGGGATTATATTAGGGCCCTATTATATTCCTGTTATACCACTATTACAGGGTGGGGGCCCCTTCTGAAGGAGGTCTATCTTGGTCCGGGGGGTTTCCGAACATAGGGGACCCTCCTATACTACTCTAAATAGCAAGATCCTTATTATAAGGACCCCAGAATAAGGTACCCCCTAATTTGCGGACACTCCCAGTTTGGGGGGTTGTTAGAAGCTGCCCCCACCCTGTAATAGTGACTATAAGAAGTATATTAGGGCTAGGGCCCTATTATATTCCTATTATACCACTATTACAGGGTGGGGGCCCCTTCTAAAGGAGGCCTATCTTGGTCCGGTTTAGGGCCCTTATGGGGTTTATGCAGTTTAGGGTTTTGGGGTTTAGGTAGTTTGGGGCTTTCGGGTTTTGGGTTTAAGGGTTTCGTTAGTTCAGGGTTTAGGGTTGTGGAGAGAAGCTGCGCAATTTCTACATGGGGCTTTCAGAGCTACCATTCTGCGGTTGAGAGCACTCCATGGGTTACATAATCCTTTCAATTCCCTAGGAAGTTTAGGGTTGGCGTGCCTTGTCTCAAGTAGGTTGTGACCTTAAACAAAATCACAACCCGAGTCCCTTGCATAGTGTTGCTTTCGTTCTTCAGCAGTTTTTTTTCTGGGTTTGGAGTGTAGGGCTTATAAGTTGTAACTGATAGATATTTGAAGCCCAAGTCAGTTAGGCTTCAGAGTTGGCAGTCATGCAGGGGTCCGGAATAAGGGCGTTTACGAAACTAGGTGACCCTAATATAGTACCCTAAATAGTAGGACCCTTGTTATAAGTCCTTATGATAAGGACCCCCAAATAAGGTACAGTACCCCTTATTTTCGAAAACTCCCATAAGTGGCTGAGGTAGACCCAGTTTATAGGGGTTCAGGAAGCATAGGTTTCGGTGTCGTATAATTAAACCACGGCCTTCCTAAGCCTCAAGCCATCAGCCTAAAGGCCCCAAGCCCACCCTAAGACCTAAGCCCTACACCCGAAACCGTACCCCCAACTCTGCGGCCAGGTACGGGTTCGTTTTCGACAGCCACTATGTTGCAAGCAGTAACCATCGTAATCACAGGGTTTACGGGGCTTTGTATGGCGGCGTAAATTTCGGAGTTGTTCAGTTTGCTGGGGGTGGTGCCGGGCTCTGAGGTCGAGGTTTAAGGCTGACAGTCTGCAAGAACACTCTCAACCCTCTCAACCATGACCCTCTACATGAATCCTGTAAGCCGTAAGCCTTAAACACCCAACCACCTGAAACCCTGCAACCTGCCAGCAACAAGTCACGGACAGCCTGGCAAGTTGGAGGTAAAGGGTTCAGGCCTTTAGGACGGGGTTACGGGTGTTGCATAGGGTGTGTGGGCTTGGTTCTTCAACTTCTTGAGTCTCTGAGAGTGCTTGAAGCCTAAACAAGCCCCTGTAGAACCCTTGAGCCCTAAACCCTAAACCCTGGATCCTAGCGACCCTTGAGAAGCCCGACAAAACCTAAGCAACACTTCAACTTCTTAGACCCCGAGGAGCCTGATAAAGATCCTCTGACATCATCTGAGTCCTTTTGCAAGGGCTATGGACTGATCGTTGCAAGCTAGGGCGGCTGTTTGCTGCACTTTAAGTGCTCTCATCTTCCACGGCCTAAACCCTAAGCGCCGAAACCCCTAAACTCCAAACCGTGAACCCTGAACGCAGTGAAAAGCAAGCCCCTCATGTCAGGACTCAAGTTCCGGATCTCCTTTCAATGTATTCTCACTCCCCATAGCCGCAGTCCTAACTAAGCCCTAAACCCGCTACCTTAAACCTTAAACCCCGAACCCCACACTCAAACCCTAAGCCCTAAACCCTATAAACCCTACCTTAAAACCCAAACCCTGAAGCCCTAGAAACCCTAAACCCTAAACCAAAATAAGCCAAACCCGAAAGCCTTGTAAACCCTAGGACCTATCATGAGCCAGGTTGGCTCTTCCACCCTCAGATCGCTCCGCTGACGGATCTGGCCGAGGCATTCCCAGAGTCTTGGCGGCAGACGTTTCTGCAGCCCGCACCCTTGGGCTTGAGTTTAGGGTTTAGGGTTCAGGGTTTAGGGTTTTTGGTTTAGGGAGGCTTGGGGGTTGGGGCTTGGGTGTGGGGCTAGGGTTCGGGGCTTAGAGTTTAGGACTTAGGGTTTGGGGCTTTTAGGGCTAGGCTGTAGGGCTTTAGATGTCAGAAGGCTTTTTGCTTTATGTAGGCAGGCTTCCTAGGCGCGAGGTTGCGGAAGCTCTTTGCAGAAATCTACACAGGGAGATTCACAGATGGTCAGCTGTCTCTTGCGATTTGCGAGTTTCGGGCAATTTCACAATTCTTCGGCTGAAGTTTCGATCAAAGGGCTCGCAAAGTTCAGGGTTTCAGATTTCAGGGTGATGTTTAGTGTTTAGAGTTTAGGGCTTAGGGTTTTTGGCCGTTTTGGGCTTAGGGTTTATAGAGTTTAGGGTGTAGGGTTCACATTTTAAGGTTCATGGCCTTCCGGTGCAGGCGTGAGGATGACTTCAAAGTATCCCCCCAACCACAGGGCTACAGAGGAAACCGGGGCAAACTGCGAAGCCCCCTGGACGCGGAACCCTGCCTATCCCCAGCTGCTCACGGTCTAACTGTCTAGCTAAGCTCTTTTACAACTAAATGCTGTTAAAGCTTCTCTTGGTACCTTGTAGCAGGAGACCACCATCGTGTGCGACCACATGGGCTATCCGCTGGGATTAATAGAGCCACTTCTGCCGCAGTGAGCAATGCTTGAGGATTGCGGGTTACTAGGATTTAAGGCTTCAGGCTCGAGTCCTTCGATGGTTCACAGTCTGGGGGTTCACAACGAGGATACCTCGCATTTCCACGTCTAAGCAAGCATGTACCTGCCCTGCACGGTATCGATTTGGGACATTTTTGATTTTCCCCGCTGTTTAATATAGAGCCTAATTTCATAAAATTTTGTGGACTGTAGAAGTCGGCGCCACCACGCCGGGTTCAAAAAGACCAACAACTCGGTTCTGTAGGGCCGTCTCAGTCATGTCTAATCTTCAAAACTCATGGCGCTATATTGACACCGGGGTATTACAAGTACGTAGTGGTACCTTTTTTTTAAGGGGAAGCCTCATTTTCCCGAAACTCCCATATCCCACACTCTGGACTTTGGCGGCTTGGTTAGAGTGGGGTTTTCGGGGTGTACTATGCTGCCAGCATATGGAGACCACAGGGGAATCATCTAGCTGCTCGTTCAGCCCCTTATGTTGAAGCCCGGGACCTTGAAGCTGCCCTGGCCTTTTGATGGCAGCCCTCGAACATCCTCCAACATCCCAACTCCGAAAGCCCTGAAACCCTTAACCTCTCAACCGGTAACCGCTCCAAAACGGCCGTGATCATGCCTTTCCCACCAAGTTACAAGTTGGAGGAGGTCTTCCCCGAATGGAAAAAGCTGATGGCGCGGCTTGCAAAGTGCCCGTTGCATGGCGCATGCCAGAGGTTTGAGGTCTTCCCGCTTTTGCGCAACCTGTTGCCGAGACTTGCTGTCGCCATCATTGCTGCCAAGAGCACACCCATCTGAACTGCGTACGGTTGACACGTGTTGTAGCTCTGTGATTATCTTGTGGGGACGGTAGTTGTCAGTACAATACCCTTCAATCCAGGAATACTGCTGAACCATAACTGTGGAGCCCTGTTACCTCACCTTAACCCTCATCCCAAAACGTCAAACCCTGAACCACTAAACCACAAACCCCAAACCACAACCACAAACGCTAAACCCCAAGAGCACTTTTGTTCTTAGTAGTGAGCAGCAACTGATGACCAGATCCGGGTTCGCTTTTTGCCGGGCTTCTCTTAGTGTTTAGGTTTGCAAAAGATGTTTGTAGTCGAAACTATGGGCCCTGCAGTCTTAACAACCTCTCATGACATTACTACCTGGAGGGAATCCTCGACTATGACAGCTCCCCACCATGCGGGGAATTTCCAGACAATTCCAGCATTATTACAGGTTCATGATTCATGACTTGTTGACAGTGTAGGCGCTTTAGACGGACGAAACTGCAGAAATCAGAAACGCTCATTTCCCAATCTCCCTTAACCTTACAAACAGCTAAACCCTAAACCGTAAAGCCTCAAGTCCTAGAAGCCCTGAACCCTTCCACTAGGAATGTGATGGTAAAGATTGGCGGCTTCGGCATGCGCTGGATGAACTTCGGATTCGACGAGAGGCCGCTGAAGCCTGCGGTCGATATCACTTATTATCGGGCGGGCGGTTGCTTTTCTTTGGTGTTTTTTCGGGCTCCTGGAAGTGAATCCTCGAAGGGTTCCGGTAAGAGGTCCTTTATGGGATTCGTTACAGGTTTCTGCAAGTGTGGGGGTTCGTGTTTAAGGAACTTTGTAATGTTGAGGATCTTGAACTTTGGGGTTCGGTATAGTACGACAAGGTTTAGGGCTTTCGGCTGAAAGCCCCCAAGTATTCTAGTGATGTGTGAAGTTTCCCAGAGAGCCCAAGAACCCCTTCCTGCAGAAACATGCTGCAAACCATACTAGGCATGAAGGATTTTCAAGGAAACGAAACCCCCGACCTAAACATGGATCCTGAAGAATTAAGATCCTTAGTAGTGGCATGTGCTTTTCTGTATAAGTGTATCCCCATATCCTTTAACCAGAAAGACACCACTGGGCCTTGGCCACCCTTCTGAGACCCTGCACTGAACCCACCGAAAATCCGTAAAGCCGACCCCTAATGCCTTACTACTAGCATCCCTGTTGTAAGGTAGGGGCTAATACTCAGAGGTCCACATTGTGGATCGCTTTGTAACCCCTACAGTTAAACTTCTGTCCAGCAGCCCTTGCAGTGGTTCCAAGACAGGACCCTAAACTGAACCCTAAACCCTAACCTCTCAACCATCTGAAACCCTAAACCTTAAACTAAATCACCTAAAATGCTGTATAAAGCTTCCGGGGCTCTGGGGGTTTGAAGGCCCAAGCCTGCTAGCAGCGACGAGATCGCTGCCGCGTGGAAGCCCTATGTCCTCCACTGCCTCGAGGCCACAAGCTTTGGGGTTTCGGGTTCCATCGGGGGTTTGGGGTTTAGGGTTTATACGGCTTAGGATTTAGGTCTTGGGGTTTAGGGTTTAGGGTTTGTATAGGGTTTAGGGTTTAAAGGTTCCATCGGGGGTCTTGGGGTGTAGGGTTTAGGATTTACGGTTCCATCGGGGGTCTTGGGGTTTAGTGTATGATTTGGGTTTAGGGTTTCAGGGAATTCTGCGCCCTCAGAGCTTCAGGACGAGGTGGTTTTTTTTCTCCACGTGCCTTCAAGGACACGGTTTTCCCACTCAGGCTCGTGATTCTGTAATTCCTGTATCGTAGTGTTACTGCCTCTGGGATGACAGCATCAGGACGAGGTTGTAGGGTTTAGAGTTTCAGGGTGTAGGGATCAGGTTCCAGAGTTTTCACTGTGGAGAAGAGGTTTGTTGAGGAGTTCATAGGGGCTTTACATAAAGGGGCCACGAGGGTTTGGAGTGGCTTTAGGACTTCAGGGTTACAACTCAAAGTTTCAGGACTACTACTAAAATCTAAGTTTTTGGTTTCAATTTGTCACGTTTGGGTTTTTGGGTTCTTTGGGGTTTCACGGTTTAGGTTTCAAGCTTAGCGACCCAAGATCCAGAGTCTAGCATACAGTTTCATGGTTTAGCCTTCGAGGGTTGGAGGCCGGCTTCTGATTGCACCATGCCCGATGGTCATGTAATCATTTTTCCACGACCTTGCCTCTGTTCGTGCATTTGCAGGACGATACGGTTGATGATCTAGATCCTGCATAAGCCATGATAGAGAGTATACCATAATTCCCATAGTCTAGGGTCCTTAAGGTAATGCAGGATGGGTATCATGAACAGTAGTGTTTGATATCTATTATAAAGAGTTGTGCGCGTCTGGGATGACCGCAAGACTTTGGGTTGCAGGATTGCTTTGGCTTCGCGTCTTCGGGCTTCGTGGGATTGTGCATTTTGCAAGCCCGGGAGCAAGGAAAGTCAGTTATAGAGGGGTCTAGATAAGTAGCCATATTATTGTGGCGTTCCTGGAAATATGTTCCCCCAAAGCCTATTAAAATTGTCAGCGCCCCTATACTAAACCCTTGAATATACCCCTTATAGTAACCCCTGCAAGGACCCTGTTGAAGAAGCCTTTGAAGTGAACCCTGTCCTAAGTGTTAAGGCGCCTAGATTGGTCGGAGGCCGGAGCTCCAGGCATAAGATGACACTAGTTGTAAAGATGCTATCCCTAACTTTCAGTTAAGTACCCAAACCTGGTTTAGGGTTGAGGGTTGAGGTATGTACCAGGGCCGTCGTAAGGGCTATACGAATAATAGATCATTTGTATACTTGAGAGCCCAAACTAGGTACTGTTCGTACACTTGGAGCCCCAGGGTAAGGTAGGCTCCGTACTCTGAAAGCCAACGTAACTTCATGGTATATAGGTTCCTGGGGCCCTTGAGTTAAGATGGGGGCACCATCTACTAATTAACGACACATGTACATCGCTTAACGACAAATGTACATCGCATTCGTTATTAGTTAGGTTGTTCTTAACCCTAGTTAAACCAGGTAGGGCTTTGGGACATTTTATATTTTCCCTTATTGGGCTTAAGAGGATCTTATTTACTAATATGTTTCAATAGCTTTAAAAGCCCCACCTAGTAAACCCTGGATCTCCTCAGCTTCAGCCATTCTGCTTGGAGGCCTTTGGTGTGGACCGGTGCATGATGGAGTCCAATTTTCCGATGGACCGTTTTTTGATCAGGGGCCGCTCGGGGTGTGAAGGCTCCAGCGGTTTGGGCTCTTGTTAGTGGGGCTTTCAGAATTTGTGTGTGGTTCATTTCTTTTTGGAAGAGGGGATGGGGGGGTGGGGGGGGTGGTGGTATATATACATGTGTATAAATATATGTATATATATATATATATACACACACACATAAACACTTGTATGTGTGTGTACTCCACATAAAGTGCTATGATCGTACAATGACTGTGCGAGGACGAGGAAATGGTTGCGAATTATTCAGCCGGGTTCGTTGTGCAGGCGCGCTGGACATTCGGCAACGCCCAACAGCATGGCCTAAGCCTTGTTCAGCCCTCGGATGGATAAATCGGACGTTAGATAACACTTCTTTAGGGTGCAAGATGTCACCTGAAGGGTTTCAGGGACGAGGCAAAAGGGCTGCATGGGATGCTGTGCGTGAACGGTAGAGGCCTAGCCAGAGGGGCTGTTAGATTCTAGTAGAATATAGCCTGCAACCATCTTATGCTAATCATGACGGCTCCATTTTTGAAAGCGATTCGATGCCCCTTTGGCCAGGACAAGATCTCTTGCAATTACACGGTCTGCTTCAATGCCCTGAAGTACCCTTGCTGGAAGCTAATGGGTTTAGGGTTTAGTTTAGGGTTCTGTTAAATTTCGTGCGACTGCCATCGGGATATTAAAGAGTTAGTCACAGACTCTAGAGCTCCAGGATTCTGCGGGTGTCGAGCTCAGCTATGAGAGTCTAAAGCTTCACGTTTCGGCTAAGAGTGTCAACTCCAAATTCCAAATCATCCTTGACCGTAAGTCCTGATACCCTACACCCTATAAGCCCTAAAGCCTTAAAAGCCCTACCTTAACCCCAAATAACCTACCTTTTAAGGAACTTATATAAAGGAATTATATTAGAGGGCCCTTAAAAGGTAGGTTCCTTAGGGTGCAGGAAATCCCTAAACGGAAGCATCCTGAACCCTGGAACCGTTAACTTCAAACCGGAAGATACCGGAAGCCCGTACTCCCTGCAGCCCAGGGGTCCAGGGCAGGGAAGGTTCAGGCTTTAAGGGTTTAGGGTTTTGGGGGTTTGGGGCGTAGGGTTTAGAGGGTTTTGGGTATAGAGCTTCAGGGGTCCTGTGGTCTCTGGATTCTGTTTTTCGAAGCGTGTCACACTGCTCTTCAAGATTCTATCTGGTTAGAGGTTCAGGGCCGTGGGGTCAAACGCTTTTAGGGTTATTGGCTTTGCCCATCAAAACCCAACGCCGCAACCCCTAAGTTCTAGACTCTAGACCCTAACCGTCACCCGGCATCCTCAGGAAATGTGTTCGAGGATACTCCCTGGAAGATCGCCGCAAGCTTTTCGAGGGCAACGCGCGCCGGATTTACAAGCTCTGAGCATACGACGCTTACATGTTCAGGGTTTAGGCTTTCGGGGCTAGCCGTTCCACTGTTGAATACCGCATGTGATGTTATGATGCGGTATAGATTCGGGATTTGAGTGTTTCCGGTGCTTTTCTGAGGTTTACGAAGTACACTGTTCATAATTCCAGGGAGTTTTCAAGTTTTACTTATGGCTGCAGCAGTCAGCTACTGCTTTAAGGGTTATAGACTGTAGCGGTCTTTGTTACAGGTTACACCGTACCTTACAACTACGGGGTCATGGCCTAACACGTCTTATGGGCTTGGGGCTACAGGTAGGTTGTTTTATAGGACCCTAAGGGTCCAAGTACCCAAGAAGTAGGGTCATGCAGAGTCAGTGTTGGAGGCCCAGCTTGCCTAAACCTTAGGGGTACTTAGAAATAGTTTTCAATTTTTGGTTATTATAACCCCTAAGAAACAGCTACAATTATAATTTGTGCTTGGGTTCTAAGTTCAGTATAGAAGCCCCAAACCCAAACCCTTGCCAAGACCTTACCACTTGGGTACCGGACCCTCGGGGAAGTTTTAAAGTGGCGCCTGCCACGTGGCCCATTGTGATCCGTACCAGCGAACTTCGACACTAAAGGGCTCCAGAGCGCCATGCTTTGGGGATGCAGGGTTTAGGTTGCGGGTTTAGGGTTTAGCGCGGATGCTCCACAGCTCCAAGCCCCAAAAGCACGAAACAAAGCCAAACACCCAAATCCAAAACTCCAGAACCCCGGTCCCAAACCCCGGTTTTTAAGACCGAGCCATGAACTGTGAATCGAGGTAATCCAGTCATAGGAACCATGATGACATCCTCTGAGAGTCCTTAGCTTTGTAAACCATAGTAGCACCTCCCGCCCCCCGCTCCAATAAAATAAATCCCGGCAAAGCCCCTTCAAAACTCGACACGGATCCTCCCAAAATCAAAAACCTACTCTAACTAGGAAGCCCTTTGTGTTACGTACTTTTTACAAGCCTCACAGTCTCGATGAGTCCGTGAACGAGCAAACCCCGAAGCAGTTCGTGCATCCAGAGGCTGCCATCTTAGGTTTAGGCTTTAGGGTTTTGGGGTCTCGGGTTCAAGGGTTCAAGGGTGATCTTGGGGGCTATACGTTGTAGTTATGGGGCCATAAGGCCATAACATAACCTACTAAGTAACTATTCTCTAGGGTATGGACCTATATCCAGGGGAGGCGCTTTTGGCTTTTTGGGCTTTGGTTTGAGCTGCCCGAGCTTAGGTCGGTTGACTGCATCGAACGACACGGTGTTCATGACATGCATATTTTGTGATTGGCTTAGGCTTGAGGGGGCCGGTCAGGGGTTCAACACTCGAAGCATCAAACCGCAAGCCGACAAAAGCACTACAACACTTCCTGGTCGAGGGGCAGGGCCCGAGCTCGCTTTAGCCTGGGTTACCCAGTAGTATCCTTTTGCCCTTTTTCTTTGTTCGGTTCCCAGATTAAAACCAAATAGTATGAAAGAGCGTACCACTGTTATTGAGGGGTTACTGGGGAACCTAGTAGCCCAAAAGAGGCATCGATTCAGCAGCACCGCGGTCAAAAAGAGTGCGCTCTGGGAGTTAGGGGTTTAGGCTTTAGGCTTTAGGGTTGAAGGTTCAGGTAGCAGCACAGCGGTCAAGAAGAGGGCACTCAGAGTCCAACTACAAATAGCCCTTAAGTGCAGAAGGTACCTTTAAACTCATTTCATTCTTACGGTTCGTTTTTCCGGCTCTGGGAGTGCATTCTGGTAAACATAGAAGCAGGTGCCATGCCAGGATGCCAGGATCCCTGATTTAGGTAAGATGGCATGTCCATGCCGGAGTCTCTGTCTTTGTAGAAGCCGATAAGACAAGAGAACGAAAACTCCGAAACAAAACTGCAAGTCAACTTCGCCAGGTTTCGCAGCCCACGCAGGGTGGGCTGAGCAATGTCGTGAAGTTGGTGGCTTGGGCCCTACCTGTGCCTGCGTGCATGAACCCGAAGCCTACACCCATGTGCGCTCTTTGCGGTTTTAGGGGCTTTGGGGTTCTACTGCTTTATAGTGACGGTGCACAAGTCATCCGAAATCCTCAGCCTGGAAGCTCAGAGCTCAAGTTCGCGGGACTGCTTGCAGTCTAGCAATATAGCCCCCAGAGATGACGTAAAGCCTTGCCACAGGGTACGTATGCATGCCGTTACGACTACCAGTCATTCTGTGAACAGTCTTGCCAGTATCATGTTCTGCAGGGCGGCTACTCTATTTATCCATATACAATTTAAACCACTTGTAGCTTCCTTGCTTTTGCTAAACGATCATTCTGCTACCATGGCTATGCTGCTGGTAGTAGTTTTACCGGTGTCACCGTGTCATGAGCAACTACATAGTAGCAGCGTCATGGCAAGTACTGTTGCTCTGATTCCTGTATCACTACTTTACGGCGACGACGACGCCGGCGGCTGCCACAACAACAACAACAACTACTACTACCACCACCACCACCACTACCACCACCACCACCACCACGACTACTACTACTACTACTACTACTACTGCTACTACTACTACTGCTACTACTGCTACTACTACTACTACTACTACTACTACTAACTACTACTACTACTACTACTACTACTACTACTACTACTACTACTACTACTACTACTACTACTACTACTACTAAAACTACTACTAGTACTACTACTACTACTACTACTACTACTACTACTACTACTACTACTACTACTACTACTACTACTACTACTACTACTACTACTACTACTACTACTACTACTACTACTACTACTACTACTACTACTACTACTACTACTACTACTACTACTACTACTACTACTACTACTACTACTACTACTACTACTACTACTACTACTACTACTACTACTACTACTACTACTACTACTACTACTACTACTACTACTACTACTACTACTACTACTACTACTACTACTACTACTACCTACTACTACTACCACCACTACTACTACTACTACTACCACTACTGCTACTGCTACTACTACTACTACTACTACTACTACTACTACCACTACTACTACCATGACTACTACCACTACTACTACTGCTACTACTACTACTACTACTACTACCACCACTAGTGCTATCACGACTACTACCACTGCAGCAATTACAACTACTACAATTACAACGACTAAGTACTACTACTAGCCCTCCTACTCCGGCTACTACAACTACCATGACATTTTCGTAGTCATGCCGCTGATGATGGCGGTGATTATGTTTATGTGAGCTTTGTTGTTTCGAGTACTTGTTTTGCTAGCTGTTATGACCTCTCCCAGCCTCGCCTGCTTTCTACTTATTCTGCTGTCCTTCTGGAGCTTGAGGTGAAAACCTTCCTTGAGGAGAGACACTACCGCGAACTTCACAGGACTACGCAAGAGCCGCGAGGGCGTGAATAGGTTGTATTGTGGTTGTAGATGTTTCTTGCCCATCCTAGAAGGGTTTTGCAAGGGGTCCATGTTGGGGATGTCGGACATAGTGACTGTTGCGAAGTCTACCCTGTGAACATGCCGCAAACGTGTGAGTAACGGGAACACATTATCTTCAGAGCTCCTATACAAGCATATTTTAGAAGCTGCCCCCACCCTGTAATAGTGACTATAAGGATGATATTAGGGCCCTATTATATTCCTATTATACCACTATACCAGGGTGGGGGCCCCTTCAAAAGCATATTTTTCAACAAACACATGTTGTCGTCAAGGCCCGTGTCTAAGCCCTCAGTCGCCTCTATAGTTTCTCGGCCTGTGGCCGTTGGCACAGGTCATCGTGGTTCTGGGCTTCGCCAAAAATAGCACTCTAACCCCTAAACCCCTATATAGACCCCTAAACCCTACAAGCCCTCCTATTAGCCCTATAAGCCCTAAACCCTACACCCTAAACCCCAAACACCTCTTTCGAAGCCCGAGGGGAGTTGCGCAAGTAAAGCAGCAAAGCAACTTCTGATAAGCAGGATCCTATCGGCCCAGTGGGGCGGCGCGCACTCCCTCAGTGCCGTAGTGAAGCTCATGGAGGCCAGCGGCAGGAGAATCTTACGAAGTTTGGGATTTAGCGTGGAAGATCTGGTGTTCGGTGGGATCAGCTTCAGGCATTTCGGCGGTTCATGGCGGGCTGTTTCAGGGTTCGTCGGGTTTTGGGTAGACCGGATTGTGCAGGGTCTTATGGCTTTTATGATCTGGTGTGCCTCTGAATTAAGGGTTTTGTAGACCCCTTCACGGATCTGAGGCATGCAGCCGCCCGAAAGTCGTCCTACGATGATATGGGGCATGCCAGTGAAGCGTTTGAGAGCTCTGGTGTCAAGACCCGAATGGCCCTATGATGGGGCGGGATTAGACTCTAGACCGGAGTGGATCAGAGGGCTTGAAGTGGTTGATTTTCGTAGCTACAAGAATTTTTTGCGACTTTGGTAGGGTGCAATGTCCACAGAAACTGTCTAGTTCAGGACAAGGCATAGATGCTTATAGTCTTCATGCACCATAACTTGTACCCCTAGGCCTAATCCCCCGCATGCCCTACACACCCAGCCAAACAACTTACAGCCCGGAATAAGGCTCAGCCCGAAGGGCTTTAAGCTGAATGCCGAAGGTCTCGAACGTTGCTAACTCGAAGCCCTCGGCCCTGAGCCCTGAGAGCTTTAATCAATCCGGAGTCTTCATGAAGCCCTCTTGTAAAAAGCACTTATAGAAGCTTTTGCAGGTATGAAAGTCCATGATATGGAAGCCTGAATAATTACGAATACTTGCCCTTAAGGTTTCCTTGCATGCTCATTTTGGCTAAATCCCAAACCCTGCATTAAACACCTCCAGGCACACGGCATGAAGGTCACGCCAGAGGAGGAGGAACGGCTGGCTGCACTTCCAGAGGCTCGGGCCGGGCTATGTATCTTTGGGATTTAGGGCTCCGGGGTCCTCAAAGGTCTCCTATAACATAGGGTATCTGCAGTATTCAAGAATAATCCGGGGTAGAGGATTTTGGGATTTTGGGCTCCGGTATGAGGTTTGCACTTATTTGTCCTCCGTCTTGTTAGGCTTTGGTGGTGTGTCGTAGGCGCTCAAGGAGTTTTAGCTTTAAAGGGGAGGTCTGATGAGTAATTTTGTTAAACAGGCCTTCACGAATGCTTGCAGCAACAGGGTTTGACAGGGTTCGACTGGCACATACCTAAACCCCCAAAAGTAGGTGAAATAATAGCCCAATACCAATAAAAGGCCATTATTCTACATACTTTGGGGGTCCAGGTGTCGGCTTATCTTGTAGCTGTAGCGTGGAAGTCTCCAGATTTAGGCGAAGTCGGCGAGCGCGGGGTTGAGGTGTTTGGTAAGTCGAAGCGCAAGTTGAACGGCCAAGCGGTGAGGAGTTCATTTCAGTGGTTTAGGAGATTTAGAGTTGATGTCGATGTAGCTTAGTTCCGTTCAGGGGTTTAGGGTTGTGTAGCTTAGCAGTTTCAGAGTTGCGGGTGATGTAGCTCGAGGGTGTTTATCGGTGCCTTAGGAGCCTGTATATTGATCTTTTGCAGCACCGGCTGTGTTTTCCTGAGCTATAACGTTCGTGTTTGTTGCACACAGAGCTCAAATGATTCTGAACCGTGCACTGATTTATTGGTCGGTTCAACGGGCTTATCGTACCTTAACTAGGCTTGATACTACGGGTTTGGGTGAGTGCATGTTGGGAACATTGGTGTGTGTGTGTGTGTGGCTCCAAAGCCTACACCGAAACCCGAAGACTTATCCCAGATTGTCAGGGGCCCCTAGGCGGCGACACAAAGCCACGAGCCCTAAACCCGCGACCATAAATCTAGACCCTGGTCCCAGTAGCCTAAACCTGAGACCAAAACCCTAAACTTGCCTGGACACTAAAGACAAAGCTTGAACCCTGATTCCGAATCCCAGACCCCAAAGCTTAAAACATTGACCCTGCAGACCCTCAACCCAAATGGAGCTTTCACGCGATTGATGCATAATCTCTCTGACAATTGCAGTGCTTTGCAGACATCCACGTTCTTGTGCAGACATCTCGAAATCACCGGTCTCTTACGCCTTCACGACTGTGGCTTCGGAATGATATATACTGATCTTCCCACTCATGCGGGTGTCCTGTGCATGAGCCGGAAATACTTGTTGGCACTACAAAGGACCCCAACCCCCCAAAACACCAGGTCCGAAATACGTAAACCCGAAATAATTACTGAATCCCAAATTGGCGCCGGACTGACCCAGAATTATCTCACAAGCCCCGGCTAGACCGACCAAAGCAGCCCTAAGCAGCACATTGCCGAAATTGAGACGACCATACAACGTACACTACGAAAGCCCCCAGACCTAGACCCCAAGAAATTACAACCCTGATCTCGAATCCCAGAACCCTGAAGATGTCCTGCATGGCAGGACAAGATGATCGATGCCCTGGTCATGCGGATGCCAAACCAAAGCCTGGAGCTTAGGCCGAGATTTGTATCACAAGAGTGCGTTTATCAGGTTCAGGAGTTTGGGGATTTCGGGGGTTGCTTTTTCTGAGATCCTGGGGTTTTCCGGGATTTAGAGTTTTGGGGGTCATAAATCCAAACCATAGGGTCTCTGGGTTTTAAAGGATTCCCGGGTTTCGGATTTGAGTTTGCGGACTCAGGCCGAGAGCAGTACGAGCACTTCTTCCTGCAGCTGTCCTTCATTGCCTCTACGACGCCCGGCTGCACGCAATCTTGGGGGTTGGAGTATTTGTTTTTTCTATCCCTTTGGGTTCCTTTCAGAGCTCCTGTAAGGATTCTCTAAGGAATGTAGGATATGAGGATTTCTTGAAGACATTTTTAAACATGTTGTCGTGTGTGTGTGTGTGTGTTTGAACATGTGTTTGCTTAAACCGCTCTGGTGTTGAACAAGTTCAGCTGTATGGCCGCTTTGTTTACACGTTGCCTCAATTCAATAAATGCAACTGCTCATTCAGCTTAGCATATCGCCCCAAACGGCGTGTGGAAAAGACAGCAGACTTGGCCAAACCTGCTTCGGTGCCTCTGAGGACGACGCGTCTCAGAGGAGCCTTGGAGGCCGCAGAAGCAGCCTAGCGTTTGGGGCGGTAACCCAAAGGGTCCTAGTATCGTTATGGTATATACTTGTAGGGTATTTGGGGGGTCTAAGTATATACCATAATGATACTTGGACCCTTTGGGTAGGGTTTATGCTTTAGGGTTGGGCCTTAGAGCGTGTATGTAGCGTTTAGCGTTGATGAGGGTTTATGCTTCAGGGGTCTTGAGAGGCTAGGAGAGGCTCGGGGCCTCCGACTGCTTCTCTGTATTTAGTGGTTTGTGTTGTGGAGACGAAGACTTCAAAGGTTTTGGGATTGAGACTTTTGGGGTTTAGGGTTCAGGGTTTGGGGGTTTCAATGTTGCGACTTTGAGTGCACTTTTGGGACGGTATGTTGGTTTCAGAGTTCAGCCGGTCCTGTCTTTTGTGATGAAGAGCTTGACAATTCTGCGTTGCATTGCTGCAGCTGGGTAAGTTTGCATCAGCTACTTTTCTAAATTCGGGTTTGTGTTGGCGTCCATTTTTCCAGGGTGCCGCCTTACTCGGAGTTCCTAAACATGGAGCCTACTTTAGAGATATACCTATATGGATGCAACACCAAAGTAGGAAGCCCATGGCCGTGATGGAATCCGCGAAGAATCCTTCCACTGCAACAGCTTCAACCAAAACGAAGAAACGTTTATCTTTGATTCCCTTCTATTCAGGCTCTGAGGATTCAGCCCTAAAACACATACATCCTGAAGCTTAGGAAGTTTGAGCTTTCGGTTTCAAAGACCAGTTTTCGATTCTTCTGCGCTTCCCCAACACTTCCCACACTGCTTGTTTCCAAGCCGAACACCCTTGCATCCCCAACATTCAGAGTCTGGGCGCCCTTAGTCTCTTCAACACTAGACTCTCAGCTTCACAGCCTTATGAACCCCATAAAGTCCGCAAGTGTTCAGCAAATCCGAAACCCTAAACTCTGAACCTCGAAACCCTGTCTCCTACTCCCCAAACTTCAAGCCCTAAGTCCTGGTCCTGATCCCTATACAAATCTCCAGACTCGAAACGTCAACCCCAGCCCAACCCTACCTGTAGTCTCCATTGTAGTTCTTGTTTGGGGTACCTTTTGGAACCCTACGACCCAGATTATACAACTGGTTAACCCAAAACAGGAGCTACAATGGAGACGATAGGTAGATCCCCAAAACCCCGAAAGCCTTAAATCCTACTTGCGCAGTGCGGCAACCCTGACGTGGTTGAAGAAGCCTTGGACAGTGCAGAGAACGTCGGAGCCTGGACCTTAAGGGAAGGAGGTGTGGGTGTTTGAGTAAGGGACATTAAAGCTGTTAATCGGGCTTTGCTTAGGGCTGTTCTGTGCGGGATTTGCTAATTCCTGGAGGCTCACTTCAGGCTTTTTAAGGCTTGCCTACGGGGTCTGCACAGCCAAAGGGATTTTGTACAGGCTTTTTAGAGGCTTTTGCTGATTAAAATTCTTGAAGTCCTGAATACAGCTTGGGGCTGCCGATCTGCAGACCCCATATCAAACCTTTCAGCACCCCGAAACCCCGTAGTAACCTACCACATAGGCAACTAGGCCTATGCTGAACCGTGTAATCACAGTGTAATCTCCTCTACGCAGCCATGGGAAGCCCGATAAACCCTTTTGAAATCTTCTTAAGCCCGAAGGAAGGCTCAATACAGCTCCGAAACCAGGTTCGGTATTTCAGAGCTATCAGGTCGTCGGATCTAGAATCTGTAGCTGTGTTGTAGAGTGCGTTGCAGATATTTTGCTAGGGGTTCAGCAGGGTTTCCTGAAGGTTCGGGAAGGGGGTTTCGATGCGCGGGCTTGTTGGGTAGGTAATACAGGGGCCTGCAAGATATTAATCGGTTTCAAGACCCCAGAAATCCCACGCCCTAGCACCGGTCCTTCAAGCGTAAACCCTGAATCCGTAGTTTCCTAAAGGCCCTAAACTCTAGATCCCTGGACCCTAGGTGAAAGAAGCGCCTTGAGAGCCCAAACTCCATCGCCCCGAAGCGCCCTCAGGTCTTGCAATACCTACTCCGGATGGCGGTTTCGCAAGCAGGGGGCGAGGCAGGGTTTGCAGAATCGTAATTTATGGGCCTATATAATTACCAATCGTGCCGTTCCGTAATATGGATACAGGCTAATGTACCTCAAAACTCTACTCTGAGTCTTAAGGCCCCTATATCTTAGCGCGGTTTAGGTTCAGAGACCATGGTCTTGTGATTTGTTGCCGTGTGCCTTTCAGGGTTTGGGGGATAGGTCTTTGTTCATAAGTGTGGTCTTAGATTCGGGTGCTCGATGCCGGGGTGTTGGGATTTTTGGGCTCCGCGTTGGGGAGGAAGGATAACAAGAAGGTTTAGGGTGTTAGTTTATGCATGATAATATATGGTTTCACACATTGTTTCAGGAGGTCCCAGTTATTCAGGTCTATGGACAGGGGGAACTCGATTTGCACTCTTCTCCGCCTTTAGGTGAGGCTTATTGTTGGGGTCACATCAACAACATCCCTTCCCTAAACCCTAAAACCCTAAACCCCAAAACCCTAAACCCTAAAACCCTAAAACCCTAAAACCCTAAAACCCTAAACCCTAAACCCTAAAACCCTAAACCCTAAACCCTTAACTTGCAGTCCTGGTATAAAAACCAGTATAAGGCTCCCATATTAGCCGAGGCACTTGAGGCCTTGTATTAACCCTCATACCGGATCCAGGCGCATACTACATACTCTTACAGGAACCCTGCACCCCTAAACCCGCAACCCCAAGCCCGAAATTCCACGAACCCTCGGAACCCTTCACGGAAGCAAAAAGTCCTGCCCTGGAAGCTGCTTGCCCTGGTCTCCGCAAAACAATCCCCTTCTCCTGTTCCTGGTCTCAGTCTGCCAAGCGCTAATTTATTCCTACGCTCTTAACAAACCTTAAACCTTGAGCCCCGAGCCCTGAAGCATGCTTGCCAGGTCACGACCATCGCGGACCTTCATGATCAGTGGCTGTCGGACACGGAGAAGCGGATGATGCCTCTTCTGCAGGCGCAGGCGAGGTTCCGGGCTCGCTGCGCTATGTCTCTTGAGGGTGTCATTGGTTTCGCAGCGGCTTCTGCAGAAGGTTGATAATTGGGGGTGTGGCTTACCTAAAGGATCCTGATACTCCACCTTGTTCCGGGTCACTTGTTTCTTGGCTCCCTAAAAAGCGGGAACTTGTTTCGAGGGTCTAGGTCGTGTAGAAGGCCGCAGATTCATGGCTTAGGGTTTAGAGCTTAGGTCTCAGGTTGAAGATTTTAGGGTTTACAGGCCTTAAGATTCAGGGCGTGGGGCTCATCTGCACGCATCCTAGACGCAGGACCAGCAGATCACCGCTTTTGAACCTGGGTGGGGGGCTCTGAACACGCCAGCACCCCAAACTCTAAACTCGAACTGCATTCGGTTTTTGTATTCGTGGGTTTAGTAGGATTCAGGCTTCTGGGTTCATGGTTTAAGCTTAGCTGAAGGGAATTCACTCCCAACTCGCTCCCAGTGGCAGGCCACGTCCATGGCCACGCAGAAAGCTCTTGCACAAGCACGAGCCCTCATAGGCTTCGCAATACAGGGTTCCAGCAGGGTTGATTTAGGGTTTAGGGTTTAGGGGTTTAGTGTTTAGGGTTTAGGTGCTGTAAGGCTTCGGGTTTCAGTTTGTCGGACAGTTCAAGGCTTGGGGCTTCGGGAATAGGCTGCAGTGATCTTCCTTTGCAGACATAGTGGGTCTGCATGGCAAGGAACCCAGAACCCTAAACCCCCCAAGCCTTAAACCCTGAACCCAGAACACTGAACAAGACTGTAAACCCTGAAAGGCTCACGAGAGCATGTGATTTATCGTCTATGCGGGTTTGAGTTTAGGCTCTGTGATTTGGGGGTTTGGTGTCCTACTTGGCTACCCGACCGGTCCAATCGCCATCAAACACTTGCTGCCCTAGTCCTAGACTCAAGCCAACGGTTATACAAAGCACCTTAACCCTGAACCCACACCAAACACCCGACTAGCAAACCTCAGACCAGAGTGGCTTGAGGTTAACGTTCAACCCCAAAGTAGCAAACCCCACACCCTAATCTAATCGGGTATTTATTGGGTAGTTGGAGCCTCGGCACTTGCCGTTTGTTGTTCAGAGTTGGCCCTCACGGCGCGGATCATAAATCGCCAAGATGCGAGACACGAGATAAAGACTCGTGGCATGTGACAGATGTGCCTGCACAGGGTGTTCGCAGCAGATGCCGACCCACGCATACATACGTACATGCATGCATGCTTTCTTTCCTTGCTGCCTGCCTTGGTTCCTTCCTTTCTTCCCTTTGTCCTTGCTTCCTCGCTTCCTTGCTTGCTTCCTTGGTTCGTTATTTAAAACCCAGAGAGGATCAGCAGAGTATTGCTTGCAGCCTCATGCCGGCGCGAGTGTTGTGCAGTGTTTCTGGAGCATGCGCTCTCCTGCTGTATCCTGCTGATGAGAAAAATGCTGCATTACCTTAAGGACCCTAAAGTATGGGAATTATGGCATATTATTCACTATGGGTAATGCAGGATTTGTATCATCAACCGATCCTGCTGTGTTCTGGTCTGATTTCGGAACTCGTAGGACTAACGAAGGCTAGGGGTTGGTGGTCGACGGTTGCGGCCAGGTCTGTGGGCTTCTTCATGACACTCGGGGACCTGTCCAACCCAAGTATATAAACTCGATTAACCCCTAAATACGAAGTATATGGGTGAAGATGAGGGCCTCGCTCAAGGGTTCCACTTGTGGAGGGCGAGCCCCTAAAACCGTGAGGGGTCTGTCTACGAACTACCGTCTCAACAACCCTGACGAACTGCGAAAAGGCAAAATATGACATCATGAACGCCTTACAAGACCCTTACGTCTTGTGTTGCAGGCGGCTACATGAACTTCGCGAAGGAGCACCGCCCCACATGCCCATCGTAACACTTCGGTCGACTGAACGGGCGAGTCTGTCGCGTGGGCTTCCGGGTGATGCCGGCAGACCGGCCCGGTTTTCTATGGGTTGTATGAACCTTGCAGACAAGGTGAAGGGTTTCTTATTTGGGCAGAATATGCTAGGTTCGTGAAGCGCTTCAGTCCTTGATGCGGGCCGTAGCCTAGCACAAGGCTAAACCAGAATAGGGTTTGGGGTTTTTTAAACTACAACTCAGGCACCCACACAACAGCATTGGTAACTCATCAGGCGCCTACCTTACCCTGTGTAGAACATGCTTCAAGTTGCAAGACTGTCGGGCACTGGGCAAAGATTTCTCCGTAAGCTCGCAAGCCTCTTCTGCTAAGAGCTGTGAGGCTGAGGGCCTCGGCTTCCTATGGCTCTGCTGACAGCAAGAACTGGGCGAGTGTCAGAATTGTGTTCCCTTCTTCGGTACCCTAAATATCAAAAAGTGCCGTACTATATTAGGGACCCAAGAAGCTACCCTAATTTTGACAACCACTCAACTACCACTAAACCGATACTCCTAGAACAGAGAACGCTGCATCCTCGAAACACCCGGACCACCGAAGTCTGAACCCTGAGCTACAAAAGCCTCTCGGACACCGACACCTCGAACCGGCGAAGTCCCATGCACTCCGCAAGCAACTAAACGGAAAGCAAAAGCCGTGGCACCTACCAGGACACTGCCCAAGCCTTCCTGACCAGAGCTGTGAACTCCAGCGAGGAGGCTGCTGATGCATTTTCAGAGCTCTTCCTGGGTTTTGGGCTTTGGGTTTATGGTTTTGGGTTTATGGTCTTGGGTTTTTTGGGTTTAGGGCTTTAGGGTTTATGGTTTTGGGTTTTGGGTTTAGGGTTAGGATTTTGAGGCTTCTATCGTTTCAGGCTAGGGTCTCTTAAATGTTGTTCGGAGTGGAGTTGGAGCTTTGCTGGTTTTGGCAGGTGAGGAAGGCTCCACGCTTGTTTTTGGCGGTTTCTTGGATCATCAGAAAAGCACCTAAAACGGCGGATCCTATCTTTTGGGTACAAGGCTGGAGGGTTTATAAGTTTCACATGCCGCGCCTAAACTACTTAGGGGCCGGGACCTGCCATATTTACATGGGTATATATAGTTTTTCTGGGGGCTCGGACGGTCAGCCCCTTTAGACTTTCATGGAACTCAAGCAAGGCGCCTATGACAAGCGAGTCAGGTTTGGATCCGTGCGCGGGAACTCAAGCTATTAAGGGCTCAGGGTTCAGGGTACAGGCTTAAGGGTTCAAGATCAGACGGTCAGACTTAGCATGGGGCAATGAGGCGACAGAAAGAAATCCCATCGGAAATCCCATCAGAATGCTATAATTACCACACTAACCCCTAAATCGAGACGAGGTTGGGCAGCCCCAGTAAGACTGCGCGGTAGGACAATTGGTACCTTTACCATACGGTACCTTTTTTTACACTGGTTCCTGGGAAGCTGCGTAGTATGGAAACCATAGCCTACATCAAAGCAGTACATATAGGCATGGTTTAGTGGTAGGGTTTAGGCAAACGGGCTTCTGCCATTGCCGGTGTGCTTATCAGGCGCACGTGGCCTTAGCCTTCCTAGGCGGGCTGCCCGTCGGGGATCTTTGGGGATTCGGGGCTCTCGGGCTCTGATGGTTCAAGGTTTGCAAAAGCTTTTTGGTTGAGGCTTTAAGGCTTGGGGTTCACCGTTGAGGTGTTGGGATTGTAGGTTTGGGGCTTATATAGGGTCTTGTGATTAAAGGCTGTCGGTTCAGGGTTGAGGCTTTGGGATTGCAGATTTCAGGCTTGCGGTTCAGGGATTCTCAGTCGTCGGTCGAGGGCTGGCGGTTCAGGGTTTCGGGTTACGATGTTCTGGAAGCTGCCCCAGACATGGCCTGAAAAGCACCTTAAGCTCCTTAAGTGACCTAATGCAACAAAAAGCCGTGAAGGCTATTCAACCTCGATAAGCTTTCGATGACTACGCCAAGCGCGAATCCTCTCGACCCATAGTTCCAGCTGCATCATGTACATACAGCTATCTGTGTGTGTGTGTGTTTCTTTACTAGAGCCCCTGAGCGAGGCTGGAACATGTGCAGGAGCAGTGTGCAGCACACTCACCATGCAGCGCGAGGACTAGCCAGCCACCCATGGAACGGCTACGATTTGGCCAGCCATGGGGTTCCATGCTCCTTACTGAAAGGGGCCGGGGGGACAATCCTGAGCGGGCTGACATTGTTCGTGCCGGTGGTCCACCTCCTCTTGGGAAATTTGCGGACTCTGATCGGAGCTGGACATTGTGCGCTCACCTGGCCGGAAGTCACTGGACGCTTGTCCTGGTTGACGCAGCCGTTCCAGTGTCGAAGCTGAGTGAAATCAGAAGGGACAGTGACAGCAAGCACTCGACCTCTTATTGCGCACAGGTTACGGACTGCATGAGTCAAAGTTTCTGGGAGCTAGTGGACCTCCAGGGGTCATTGATGCCGCAGACAGACTAAAAGGAACCCATATGGAAGAACCACTAAGCCTATATACGAACCATTCAACCAACCAGATATTTAGAATTCGTATAAAGAACCGTTAAAGGAGTCTGCCATATGCTATGATAGAACCTTTTAAAGCCAGCCTGGTAGATCCTTAAAGGGCCCCTTCAAGGGGCCTATCATATCGAAGAGCCCTTAAACTTCTAAGACCTGTAGAGGAGCCTTCAAGAAACCCTTAAAGGGGAGCCTTGAAGAAACCCTGAGAGGGGGAGCCTTCAAGAAGCCCTGAAAAGGGAGCCTTCAAGAAACCCTTAACGGGAAGCCTTCAAAAAGCCCTTAAAGGAGCCTTCAAGAAACCCTTAAAGGAGCCTACCACAGAAGAACCCGTAGGCTGGAAAGAGCACCTCAAGTGGCAGCAGCACGAAGCGGAGCTTCGCCGAGATGGCGAGGCTCGCCTCCCCCCAGAGTTTAGGGGCGTCTTCTTTAAAGGGATCTAATTCTATATGGGTTTAGGGGTCTTCTTTAAAGGGGTCATAAGTTATCATAAGGGTTTAGGGTTTAAGGTCTAGGGTTGAACGGGATCTGATTCCATAAGAATTTAGGGGCGTCTTCTTTCAAGGGTTTGGGGGATTTCCTTCCAAGGGTTTAGGCTTTGGGGCTTTGCCTTTGAAGGATTTAGGGTTTAGGGTTCATGGATTTCCTTGAAAGGGTTTGGGGTTCAGGGCGTTTGCCTCTAAACGGATCTTGAATTAGAGTCCAAAGTGGCTTCCTTTAAAAGAGGGGCCTATAATCTTACCTTTGGTCAGTCGGGAATGGAAGAATGGTAGTATTAGTAGTGAAAATTGTACCTCATTCCTCCATTCCCTACTAACCAAAGGTAAGTAATTACAATCTAAAGGGGAAGGTTGCTATAATAGGGCTACGTACTATGGATCTGCACGGGTTCAGGGTTCATAAGGGTTTAGGGTTTAAGGGTTAGCGTTTAGGGTTTAGGGGCCATGAGTGCCTTGTCACCAGCCTCGGTGGCTGCGACTACAGAAGGCAGGCTGCCGGCCTGAAGCACATTGTTCTCTTCCAAAATCTTTGCCAAATCTTCGCCCATGGCTTGCTCAACAGCAAGCTTCTGCGCTTCGCTCGTGGAGTTGTCAAGGCGTTTCCTGGTTGCTGCAATATTAGAGGGATCTAGAAAGGTTTGTTGAAAGGGATCAAAAAGGGTCAAGGGTTCCCGCAACGGGATTTAGGAGGGTTCCTTCAGCGGGTTGCTATACAATTCCTTTAGAGGGATCCGCAAGGGTTGCCTTGAAGGGTTACTGTAAGAGTTCCTTTACTTAAGGGTGTCAAAAGCTTCCGTGAAAGGGTTGCTGAACAATTTCCCTCAAATGGATACTATAGGACAAAAGGAGTCCCTTTAAAGAGATCTTCCAGGGTTCCTGATACAGGGATCTAGAGGGGTTCCTTTAATATAAGAGTTCCTGAGAAGGGATCCATACTGCTTCGGGGATTCAAGCCTTGGGTCAGTTTGAGCCTCAAGTTGCCAATGTCGGTAATGGTTGAACCCAAAATGGTCCCCTAGGACCTAGAGTAGGCCCTTATTCCCTTTTTTGAGGGTTTAGGTTCCCTTACAACCCCTTTAAACCAAAAAGGGCACCCTGTTTATTCCTAGGTTACTCCTGGGTCTAGAAAATGGTCCCTTTACAGCCGCTTGATGTTTAGATGTCCTATCTGGTCGGGAGCTGTCGCACCCGAATGAGCTGTTGTAAGGTCTAGGATTAGAAGCTGGTTTCAAGCAGGTATGGTTGCAGGATGTCAGTTTCTAGATGAGGGGGTGAGAGCTTTAGGGCCCCATGGTTCGGGAATTTCTGGTAATCGTCGCAGTTTTTTGCCATCTCAATCAGCTGTTCTCAGACTGTGGATTCGGCATGTTGGGCCTTGGGATGTTGTTTGTTCTGTTCTTCGGAGTGCAGGTGTGCTCAGCATACTCTGCAAGAGTGTATATTGCCGTAGTCAGGGGTGCAGGTAAGAGAGACAGAGACCTTCAAGTAAGACATCCATAAATAAGTGAATCACACCTCCTCCCACATCCTGCTTTCGTTTCGTTGGTGTAGCAGCAGGCCAAAGTGGCGGACGCCGCGAAGAGGCGCTGCAGGGCTTCGAACTGGCCTGCATTGGCTGGCATTGGAGCTTTTGCGTGTAAGCTTGGGATTGTTCGTCGCCGAGCTCCGGAGAATGGTCCCTGCCAAACTGGAACCCCAATATATCCCTTAAGAGGACGGTTTTTCGTTGATTTCGTTATAGTATGTATGTCCTGGCTGCAGCTCCCCTTCGTCAGGGCTTCTGATTCTGTCGACGTCGGCCCTGTCTGATACCAGTAGTGAGTGCTTCTTCATAATGCATGCACTGTCATGCACTGTAGAGTACGTAGAAATTGTGGTTCCGGTGTGGTCACAGATTAATCCTAGTTCCGACATGTGAGAACGTTAACGAGATTCTTAATAGTTCGTTGGCTGAAGGCCTGGGGATGCCTGAAGGTTTTAGGGCCTCCGGGCTGCATCGGCAGCTTTGTCTTACAGTTTCTGGGGTTCAGGGGGTCATGGCAGGGCTTCCTTCGATTTTGGGCTTATGTTGGGTGGCAGTCAGGGTGTATATGGCTTCACCTTGACCCTGGTGCAGGTTGCAGGACTACAAAGATTCGCAGCTCCACCACGTCCACACCGTGGTGAACAGCGGCATCAAGGCCCGGCAAGCATGGCGAAGCGGACACGAGCAGATTCGGCTGCCATTCCTCAGATTTCCGAGACTAAAGCAATAATCTGGAGGTCCCCGTACCCTCCTTTATCCACTTCTTGCTTGCTGTTCAGAGCTTGAGGGGTTTGGACCTTCAACGGTACACCTTCACGTCTCATGCATGCCTGCTCTCCATGAACCCATGTTTTGAGCATCCTTGCAGACTGTAAGTCGATGAATCTCCCACACCGCTGCGAAGGCTGCGCTCTTCTTTTGTTTAAGATGCTTCATCATCTGGTTCAGACCTAGGTTTGGCGGGCACTGGGCTCAAAAGAGGTCTTGGTTCAGAAAACCAAGTGCCATCAATAACTGAGAGGATCAGTCAGGGGCCGTACGAGACCTGAACACACTAGCTAGTAACAGCTAGTAGAACCTTTGCTACAAGGAGCGGGTTGGGCTGATGGCCTTATGTTACCGCTCTAACTAGTTGCATCACTCAGGTCTTTAGGACTTAACTTAATGGACATTGTGATTGATCAACCCACTTCCTTTCTTTAAGGCTTTAGGAGCCTTCAGAATCGGATTATTGTGGGAAGGTCCTTTTGCTAATTCGGTGCCTACAGCATCCGAACTCAGACTGTAAGCCGACGGTCCGGCATCTGCCAAACCCCGACTGGGGGTAATTTTATCTTTTTGGACCGAGAACAGAGCGATTTACCAAGTAGGATGAGTAGCAGAAAGACCGTGAACAAGCTACTGAGTTGCTTCAACCCTAAAGCATGTCACCAGACTTCAAAGACCCGGCCAATGTCAAGCCAATGCTTGAGCCCTCCACGCAAAAGCAAGTAGGTTGACTAAAATGGTAGACACTGTCGGATACTGTATAGAATGCTGAACCCTATAACTTTGAACCCAAAGCCTTAAACCCCAAAAGCGAGGACAAGGACATGGCCCTTCTTGGCTCCTGCTTTGCGGCGATGCTCTCGGAGGCCACGGGGGCAGTACCTATGGGGGCCTCAATGATTAGAATAAGGTTCCTTTCAAAGGGTTCCTCTAGAAGGGGCTATAGTAGGGGTGATTCTAGTGCGTAGGAGTAGATTAGGGTTCGCGGTTTAGGTTGAAGTGTCTGAGGGGTTTGGTGTGCCAGGGACCACGATTGAAGGAAATCTCATAGCCGTGGGTGTTAGGTCATGGTAGTGTAGGCTCAAGAGCTTACGATTTCGGGTTGAAGGTGTGGTATCTTAACAGGCTTTGGGTTTAGGCAGCTTAGAATACGCAGCTTTGTTTCCGCAGTGTGTTTTACGATATGTTTCGGTGTTTTTCTTCGGGCTTGGGCTTGGGAGTTATGGGTCTAGATCTGTGTTGGGGAAGTTGGAGACTGGCGCAACGGGGTTAGGGCCTCTTCAGATTTACAGTGCAGTCCTATACATTGAAGCCCTAAGCTAACGAAGCATTCCCTGCCAATCCTGGGCAACCCGACCTCACCTCTCCAAAACGGATTTCAACATGGTTTAGGGTTCAGCCCTCTGTATAGTGTCAGTTATATTCCTGAATCAAGGGTACTTTTCCAGGGTTCCTGCTTATCATAAGGGAGCTTATTATGCTTCCTATGATTAAGGGCAGCTTATTCAGGGCTAAGGCAAGCCCGAACCGAAAAGCCGTGAGGCGACCGCAAGCAAGGATTTCAAGTCCACGGCCAGCGAGGTCGAGGATGCGAGAGGGTTAGGGTTTAAGGGTTGGGTTTCATGCGGTTTTTGTAGGCTTCTGTACTTGGGAGGCTCTTTGCTTTTCGATTTGTTTCATGGTCGCCCAGTGCAGTAGGTTCTGTCCTGGTACATGGTGGGTCCTGTAAGCGTCCGGCGAGGGATCCTATAAGCTCTATGAGGATTTTGTGGCTTGGAGGGTTTAGGGTTTAGGCCAAGGTTCTAGGTCGCCCAGTGGTACCCTTTCATCCTGTTGATTTTTTGGGGTCTAGCTCACACGACTGATCTTCGGGCTTGGCTTTGTTGTACCAGAATGTACCCCATGTTCCATCCGTACGTAACTAAGGCCAGACCCCTACTATAGGTGCTTAGATAAATACCAATAGTACTCCTAGGGTTCCTTATTTTGCTTATAGTATAATATGCCCCCCAAAGCCTATTCTAATTGCTCAGGCCCCTACATTACATCATGCCAGACAGGAGCTTCAGAAGAAGCTGCGGGGTTTCTCCGACACAGCGGCGCTGAAGGCGAGGACATTTGAGTTTGCCAGGGCTTTCTTAAAAGGTTCGGTTTAGGGTTAAGGGCGTAGGGGTTTTGGGGGCCTTCAATTACAATAGGGTGTGTGGGTATAGTATACTATAAGTATATCAAGGAACCCCCAAAACCCCATTCTAATCATCAGGGCCCATCATAAGGGGTTCAAAGTTTCGGGGTTTAGGGTTTAGGGATGCCTGGCCATGGGGATAACGTCTATTTTTGGCTGGGTTTCCCTGTTTGTAGTCGGTTCTAGATCGAGAGGTTCGACAGTTTAGGTGAATCTTGTTATTGTCGAACCTTAGACCCTAAAATGAACCCTAAACCCTAAATTCTGACTTGGCCTAAATCCTAAAGCCCTAAACCCCTAAAGGCTCTTTAGTAAACGTTTCAACCTCAGACCCTTTAAAATAATCCCTATAGGGATTCCCTGAACCCTGAACCCCTAAGCTCTAAACCCTAAACCCCTAAGCTCTTAACCCCTTGACCTTCGCAAGGCCAAGCGGGTTCTCAGCCGCATGACGGACGAAGCCACAGCCGGGCTTCAGGCCTGCATCTCCTGGAATAGGGCTCATTCTTATTGGCTGTAAACTCAACTTTTTCAATTCTTGGGGTTCTTATAAGATAGTCGATTCTGAAAGTTTCAACTTTTATTTCCCCGGGTTTTGAGCCAGTGAGCCTTTTAGTGGTTTCTTTCTTAGGGTTACTACAAGCGTTACTGCAGGGCTGAGTATAGGTGGTGATGTCAATGTGATCTGGGAGCCCCATTTTTCTTCGTGTTGCTTAGGGTTGTAGAACATTCGTGGCCATTAAGGGTTTAGTGTGGACGGTCTAGAAAACTCGAGGTTCTGAGGTTGTGAGGGTGTCTGGGGTGCGTCTATGTGAGGAACTGGATTATTGCCCTAAGCTTTGAACTCTTTCGGCCCTAAACCAGGGCTCTCCGAGGTTCGACTACTTTTCAACTTCCCAACCCTCCCCGCTACCTAGCTTGTTGTCATTCCTGCAGGAAGCCCGTAGTTACTATCACTCGGCGGTGTGTTCCGGCGGTCTGGGTCAGTGCGTCGCTCGTAAATGGTACGTCTGAGTCACTTGATGTCTGGACCAACTTAACAGCAAGTACTTCGAGCAAGAGAATTCTCACACCTGCGATATTCTGCACAGTAGGCGCCAAGCGCAAGTTGCAAATGCGCATGCTGGCGGTAAGCTGTAGAAGCCTCGACCCGAAGCTCCCCTAAACCTCAAAGCCCGCAACTCGAAAGCTCGAGAATTCTTGGCAGGCTTTCGCCTTCAAGGCTTGGATTGACTTCAAGTTCTCGGAGAAGCAGGTTCCTCCACCCCTTTCAGAGTTTAGGGCTGAAGGTGCTGAGGGTTTGGTGTTTTCTTCTCGAAGGTTCAGGCTAATTAAGGCTCTTGGGCCTCTAGGGTTTAAGGTTGAGGCTTTCTGGTTCCAGGTTTAGAATTAGGGTTTAGGGTTTAGGGTTTAGAATTCAACCCAAAATTCGGGCCTTGTGTTGAGCTTGAGGGTTGGTCTTTGATAACTTTGACGCTGTTGAGCCAGGCATGAGTTTGTTCTCAACTCATAGGTTCCTGAGTAGTACCCTCTCCCCTTTTTGTTTGAGGGGTCACCTTATCAAAGCCGAGTACTGGGAAAAAGAGTACCCATATTATGAGGGGGCTGCTCAGGAATCTAGTTTTCACTTCATATGGCAATTGCTCCACTCTGGGATTTCGTAAAGGTAACCGCATAAGGATGTGATCCCTGCAACGAGACCTGCCAAACCGAGCATGAGTTGAGCCAGAGTTTAAAGCATGTTGCTTCGGGTGCAAGTTTTTAGTTGAGTTCTTTACCTACGCCCTGGACCTTAAACCCATACCCCACGCGCTTAACTCCAAACCTAAACCCTAACGACTCCCAATCCGCGAAGGAGCGGGAAACCAACGTTGCCATCAAGGCCTCATGCCGGCTGCGTTGGAGGGCTATGGAGGGCCTTAATAATTGGAATAGGGTTTGTACCAAATATGGGATTTATGGGGTGCAAAGGATCCAATAATCCGGCAAGGTATCTAGGGTAGCATCTAGGAGGGTATATGATTGTTCTGTCCTTGGACGCGCTAGTCGGGCTTTAGAAGGGTCTTGTATCCCAGAGGGTCCACGTATACTACTATGGCGGAATTAGGTCCGAAAAGACCATCTCCATTATGGTTTTGGAGTCTCAATTCCATGGTTCCTTTAACTCCAAAGGTAAAAGGAGGGACCCTTAATAAGGACCCCTAGGTATATACCCTTGATATAGCTATTCTATACCCATTATATAGCCCATTATAGGGTAGGGGTCCCCATTAAGGGTCCCTCCTTTTCACCTAAACCCTAAACCCTTGTAGATCCCTTTAAAGCAACCCTAAGAGCCCCAAATGAAGGGTCCCTCCCATTATATAGCCTTGGATTAACGGGATCCCTTAGGGGCTGAGAGATGATGGGTACAGGAATGTTTTGGGGCTCGGGGCTCTAACTTTTCCCGATTTAAGATCTGCAGGTTAGACCTCCTCGCCCACTGCTTAGGCGCACTTAGAAATATGTTTTTGTTAATTAACTTTTGGTTATTATAACACCCAAGAAACAGCTAAACTTGTAGTTTTTGCTAGGGTTCTAAGTTCAGTATAGTAATCTTTACCTGTCGGGGATAGGCTACACACCCCCGATCAAATAGTTAAAGGTATGACGACCATTGGCAAAATTGATGTCTTCCTTTTCAACCCTACAAAGGCTGGGTCTGATTCATTTCTTACGGTCCCACTTTTTGGAGCGAAGGCCTTGAAGACCCCCGTCAAACCAGATTAACACCGAATCGCAGGCCTCATGAATCCTGTAGAGGATTCCACTAGAAACCAAGACAACCTTGAATCAACTCCTGTAAGACCTTTCTAAACACCCTGCAAACATCAGATTAAGCCCCTATCAAAGCCTGTTGTTAACACATTGTTCTTTACTAAAGCCCTGTGGAACCCTACTGAGGCCCTGCTTAAGCACCAGTTTGTTTTCTTCTTTGTTGATCTGCTAGGATGCCCAGTAGTACCCTTATTCCCTTTTTGTAGTCCTAGGTTCCTTATAAAGTTACCCAATACCAAAAAGAGAGGCCTTTTTTTCTTAGGTTACTGGGTATCCTAGGATCTGACTTGAACCCGCACGCAGAGAGATCGCCAGACATCCCTTTTCACGAACTCTTATTGTCTAGCAGCCCTTTACAGGAACCTTTTTGGCCCCTTGTTTTCCTTGCTTCCTGAACCCTGAACCCTAATCCCTAAACCCCTAAACCCTAAACCCTAAACCCCTAAGCCCATAAACTCCTAAACTCTGACCCCTGAAACTTAAATCCCTAAACCCCTGAACCCCTGATCCCCTAAACCCTGCTCCTTAACCCTAAACCCCTAAACCCCTAAACCCTAAACCCTCCCCATGGCTTTCCTTGCTCCGAAGGCCTCGAAGGATAAGTTCGCCAGTTTCACCGCGAAGCAAGCGGCCGGAGCCAAGGATCCACTCCTTTGTTGGGTGTAGGGCCGGTTTTGCGGTTCAGGGGTTTGGGGGTTTAGGGGTTTAGTCTTTTGGGGTTTAGGGGTTTAGGGTTTAGGGGTTTCGGGTTTAGTCTGTAAGGGTGTAGGGGTTTTGTGGCAGGTTCAGGGTTCAGGGGGATATACCTGGACACTAGAAGACCTATCGTTTAAAGTGGTTATATAAAGATATCATAAGAAGGACCTCCAAACCGGAGGTTACAATATGGGTTCAGGGTCTGGGATTATACAGATTACGGTGATGATTGGTACTACTGATATTTCCGTTAGGCACTATGATGGTTTAGTGTTATGATGATTATTTGGTACTGTCATTATATCAGATGTTATGCTTGCCATTTAGAGTTGAAGTTTAGTTTGGTAAGGGGCTCTGCCTGGATTTTGCAGCGGGCTCTAGGATCTTCTTGAGTCTTTGGTTTTGATGGTTTGGGGTAGGGTTTAGGGTTTAGGTTTCAGGGTTTAGATGGGGCCAGGGCTTGTATGCACTGGGAGGTTTTTGGCAGCCAATAATTACCCTAAAACTCATATCCTAAGTTCTAGGCCCTACAACCGCGATCGCTTATATTATCCCCAGACACGTTCTAGGTGTGGGCGGGTCTGTCACTTCAGAGTGTTATTGGGCTTGGGGCTTTGCGAGCAAAGTGGGTTATAGAAGTTTCAATGTTTTCTTACGCAGCATTCCTTCATAGCCTAGGCCCACCCAATATACCTATAGTAAGAGTCTACCCAGTCTACCCAAAACCCCTATTCCAAGCATTATAAGTCTCATATAGCGTTGTGGGATGTGAAGTATCTAGATGCTCTTGGGAGCGGTTGTTGAAGAAGGGGAAGGAGTACGCCTTCTGACGTCTTGCAAGGAGGAAGGCCATGATTGCTGGTGATGTCGAGGATTGATGCGTTTAACCCACATGTTAAGCATAAGAACAGTCTACAGACGTGGGTCTTGGAGCTAGATCTGACACACCGTACCAGACTGTCTTTGGGACAGTGTGGCGAGCCTACGTGATGCCACATCCTGAACACTACTTAAGCAGAATCCTATAGGCCTGGAGCAGCAGACGCTTCTAAGTCAGTCGACAACTGAGCATCTTCAGCCTGATTTTCCTGCTTACCGCAAACCCCTACCCCTGCAGCACCTAAACCCAACTTGTCCTTCACCTCCGCTCCTACTCCCATTCCTTCTGCTTGGTTAAACGTATTAAGACTGTTCTCTAGATGTCAAGAGCTGGTCAATCGTACCATGCTCTATTTGTACTATATAAGAGTGCTACTTACATGTCAAGAGGTGGTCAATCGCACCATGGGCGTTGCGCCTGCCGTGAAAGGCACCTGCTCTCATCAAGCCGCATAGCGAGGAACTTTTTCGCTGCGCTGCAAGCCCCGCAAAATAGCTACTGCCATAACGCATGGGGCCAAAACGCGTGTCCTTCCACTTCCAGGCGGCGGAGGTCTACCAGTCTACCGCGTGCGTGCGGCGAGCGGGTCTGCCGGCTGAGCCGTGACTGGCCGCGACGCTGCAGCGGCGGCTTCCTGGCACAACGGGTCGACAAGCTTGGGCACTTGCCTGCAACGAGGAGCTCAAAGAACAACATGCTACAGTAGGCCGACGGGCACAGAGCAGCCCAGGCCAACTATGATGAAGCACCACAGTGACCCTAGTGACACGACCAGGGCCGGTCGAAGTTGCCACGAGAAGTGCGGTCTCGTTTATAGTACGGTTGATGATATAAATCCTGCCTTACCCATAATAAGGAATATACCATGTTTCCCATACTTTAGGGCCCTGAAGGTAATGCAGGATTTACATCATCAACCGTAGTTATATTTAGGGTTTGAAATAATTAAGAATGATGGTAATTAAATTCGTCGCTTACAGTCCCTCCAAGTTAACCCTATTCTACTTGCCAGGCTCCTAAATTCTACCCTTGTAGCAGCCCGTATAGACATGCTACCAAAAAAGCATTCAATCCCCTTCGTCTTGTTACTAAAGGCCCCAGTATCACTGGTTTGATCTTCAAGTCTGAAGCTATGGGAGGACTCAGATTTATAATATGGGGGCCTTAATAATTAGAACAGGGTTTGGGGTTATATTGTACTATAACTATAATAGGGAACGCTAAACAGGTATTTGTAAATGCTCTCTCGGTCGGCCGCTAGTGTCTTTCGGGCTTAACGGCTTGAAGTTGCTGTGATATGATGAAGCGTTGCTTGAAGCGTTTAGAGTACTTAGGGTTTACAGCTTTAGGCTTTTGGGTTTTAGATGTAGGATGGTGTAGGGTTCAAGAGGATCGCCTCCTGACGCTTGTGACCAGCCAGGCCGTTCTGCAGAGGATGTGCGGATCCAACGTGCTTTGGCTGCACTCAAGCCCGGCAGACGCCGTAATACAGGGGCCTACATAAATACCAATACTTTTTTTGCGGGGGGTTCCTCTTTATATTCATAGTATAGTTGGCCCCAAAACCCTGTTCTAATTTTAACGCTACGCCGCCCGCCTCGGCTGTGTAGCGGCAGGGCGAGGGGGCAGTCGATGTTGTTTAATGCTAGGGCGGCCTGTCAAACCCCAACCTTTACACGGTTGTTGATACGAGGAGAACGGGTACAAGCGGGTGGGGTGAGGGGGGGGAAGGGGGAGGGGGGGCGAGGGGGGGGGGGGGGGGCGGGGGGGGGGGGGAGGGGGGGGGGAGGGGGGGAGGGGGGGAGGGGGGAGGGGGGAGGGGAGAGGGGAGGGTAGGAACCGACAAACCAGGTAAAATGAGGCGGGGGAGGGGTGGGAGGGGGGTGGGGGAGGCCGACAAATCAGGTAAAATGAAGGGAAGCCGGGCAAGGGGGTGGCAAACGAACGCAAAAAACGGGTGTCCCCAAACATTTGGACCGCAGGGATTAGGTGGAGGGTACCTGAGCTAACCCCCAAGACGCCTGGGCCTGTGGCCTCGGCGGATTAGGAAGGCCCCCACATTGGGGTTCAGGGTGTTGGGGTGCAGTAGCCCTTGCTGAACTCAGATATGCCTTAAACACACTACAACGCGTTCCTTCGCAACGGACCCTAAACCCAGACCTGCACCAAACCCAGCTTCATCCCAAAGCAATACGGTTCAGGGTTCAGGTCAGGTTTTAGGCTAACCATTGATATTGGAGGAGCTAAGGAGCCAGGGATGATGATCATCCCTATTAAATAAGGAGCTAAAGAGCCAAGGGAACCCCAAAACCACTGGTTAGTAGGGTTTAACCCGTCGAAGTACCCCAAACCCTCGGGGCCCAAAGTCTGAAAGCCTGTGGCACTGTGCCGGCGCGGGGTACCAAGCTTTCCGCCTCCACACAAACACGAACACTTCAAAAGAGCTCACAAACACACTGAAATAGCCAAAAAAGGCTTAACGTACTCTGTTGCCAACCCTCAAAACCCAAAGCCCCAAAAGCCTACAAGCCCTTTACAGCCACGTAGGTTACCCTGCAGAAAAAGCCAGTTAAGGCAGAATTTTCCTAAGCCTCGCAACTAATTAGCAAACTCCTGAACCATCAAGCCCCGAAAATCATAAACAGGGACCCCAAAAAGCACATAAGCAGAAGCCTTTTATGGGGATATCCCTACCTTATTTTGGGCTTCCTTACTTTTGCTTATTTGCTTTTTTGGGGGCCCTAATAAAGCCCTCTTGAGCTACGTAGCACAGGGAGGGTCCTCATATAAACCCGAACATAGCAGTTGTAGAAGCCCTATACAGGCCAAGTGAAACCTGAAAGCTACACAACAACTAGTTGAAGGCAACCTTTCCTAAACCCTCAAACTCTCGATCCCTAAGAACCCTGAAGTTGAAACCCTGCGAACAAGTAGCTTAAGGTAATCCTTCGAAGCCCAGGACACCAGTCTCCTTCAGATGTCGATTCAGACCTGGCGAGAGGTTGCTCTCCGGATATTTTTGGGAATTGATGTTTCAGGTTAGTTACTTCAAGTTGCTTCTAGTGTTTTATAGAGGTATTTGCTGCTGTGCAGAGGTGTTGGGTTAAGGAGTTTACCAGGGGTTTACTTCGGGTACTTTTTATTTTTTTGTTATAATAATTCCTAAGATACAGCTAAAACTATAGTTTTTGCCAGGGTTCTAAGTTCAGTATAGGTTTACCAGGGGGTTATAGGGGGATATAACGGCAGTCCATGGAGCTTCATTCCGCACGGGGTGTGCGCGATTTGCCAAGGATTGATTGGTGTAGGACTCTCTTGAATGGTATAGCTCCTCGTCCTGTACCTATGTCCTGTAACTATACTGCTGAAGCAGGGTAAGTTAGGTTTAGGGTTCTAGGGGTCGGGGTTCTTTGGTTCGGGTTGAGGGATCAGCTGTTAGTGCCAAGCAATTCTGGTTCACCGTTGTGGGGATTTGTTCTGTGAAGATGTTTGTTCGGTGTTGGGTCCTGTTGGATGCTGGATTTGTCAATTCTGGCCTTTGTTTCAGAGGTTGTTTGGTTCAGGGGGTTGGTGTTCACGGGTTTGGGGTGTTAGGTTGGGAATTCGTGTTAGTTGTTGGGAGTTGTCCTAATGCTGGAAGCATCACCGGACCCAGAAAGTAGAACACCAACAAAAGGACACGTAGTATGCACGACTGTGACTTGTTGTTTCGGTACTGACTCCGAGTCTGGGCTTTGGCATAATGCTTCTCGGCTGCATCGGCTGCAGATGACAGGATCTACATGGGGATTTGGCTTCAGAGATTTGGGTCCAACTAAAATCAACGGGCCCAGATAAACACTACTACAATCCCCTATAGACAGCATATTCGGCCCTACATGGCCCTACACATAACTCCCATATCGCTCTCTTCTCAGCGTTCAGGCCTCATCACTACACTCTCATAGTAACCCAAAGGCTCCATGCACCCATATAGTAGATACCTAGGCCTTAAAGTACCTATATAGGGACCCTTTTAAGGCCTAAGTACCTACTAGCTGGGTACATGGAGTCTTAGGGTAAACCGTAGAGCAGCCAGTACCCTAAGGCCCCAAAGTAGTTCCTTTTTGGGGTTTAGGGTTTAGGGTTTAGGGATATAGAATCCTGTAAGGTAATCCCAAAAAGGATCTACTTTGGGGCCTATGGGTATCGACAGCTCTTGACAGAACCCTTACAGGAAACTTGTTGAATTCATCAAGGCCCATGCATTAATCGTATAGTTTCTCACATACTAACCTTGAGACCACTTTCCCAAACCCAGGTACCTAATAATGGTCTTATCTTCAAAACAGCTATCCTAAACCAAGTACCTAATTAGGTCCTTTAGACCCTTAGGGTAATTGTGGTGCAAGACCAAAAACAACGCTGAGGCCAAAGTCTCCGGCATCTGAACCGAAGGCATTGACTTAAAACCCCTGCCGTACTCCTCAAGAAAGACAGTCCACGGATGGGTGACTGTCCACGGATGGGTGTCCTTCTATTGGAGCGGCCGGCTTGTCCAGCGGACTTTAGCCACCCGGTGTTTGGTACGGTATTCTCCACCCTGAGGGCCACAGGGCCAGCTACGTGCCCATGCTGGCAGAGCACACAGGTCAGAGTCACTCCCCTCAGAAAGTAGGTGCTGAGTCCTCCCTCCACAGTGGATCAATGATGAGTTCTGGCACACACCTTGTGGCACGGTCCTCTATCCATTTGGATGAAAACGGTGTCGCCTGCCCGGCGGAAATCGCGCACGGATGTGCAGGCTGTTTATATGGCCCACCGATGATCTGCAACATGGCACAGCAGCAGGGGCTGCGACATGGGCCCCCGTGCACCGTCGAACTTCCAAACTGAGTTCCAAATCTTCAGCGCTAAACACTCTTCCCTTAGATTCCCGATACCTAACCTTTAAACTTTTTGGGTTCTTATAGTTTAGTAGGAATCAGAAAGTTTAACCTTTCCGTGGCTTAGTGGGGTAGCAAGATTAGCTGTAATCATGTCAAAATGCTCGGTGCTAAGCTGAATGTCGCAAGCCCAAGCTTGTAAGTTTTGGCAGGGTGCTATACAGTTTGATAGTTTGCTTTCATACAGGTGTCTGTATACTTGTGTTTTACTTAAGCTTGTTTCAACGAGAGATACCTTAAGTTGGCGGTCCTTGGAACAAGAAGGCTTGTTTTTCGGGTAAGCAGAATGCACAAAGTACGTAGGCTTTCACGAAAATATCTGAAACAGTGAACTGCTTCAGCTGGGAATTTGAGACAAGAAGGCGTTCATTTAAGCCCTGTAACATGTAGTCAGGCGGACGGAGTTCGAATTGTTTCAAGCCTTATCAACCTCATATACAAGCCTCAAACGGTTGCCTCGAGGTTTTGGAACTCCCATGCAATCGGGTATTGCTTTACAAAGTTGCAGGTGTAGTATTGCTTTTATCTTAGGAGCTCGCCATCTCTGAAGGAAACAAAAGCCCTGATGACAGGCTCTGGTGGAAGAGCGGCAGGCAGCCGAGGTGGCGGAGGCAGCGCCGACGAATGGACATCAGGGTACCAAAAACATAGTCGTACTGCAGTATTCCCCGGAACCAGGAACCCTATTCCGAATGATGGCCCCATTACTTGGTAGAGTTTGAGAGCATAAACCCTGAACACCCGAAGTTAAAGGCCGTTTATAGCGTTTCCTTGCAGGTTTTTTGCAGCTCCAATGCTGGTTGAAAGGATCGAGCTCACCTGCCCTCGGCTCTCAAGATGCCGTATCCTTTAAAATTTCCATATTGTCTTTAAGAAGTACCCCCACATGCAATGTATCTTTAACCCGGACTCCATAGGTTGCAATCCATGTACCGCAGGACCTGAGATTCTGATCCGCAGCGTTACAGTTTCAGTGTGTGGTGGGGAAAGGTGTCGTGAAAAGCGTCGACGCGCTGCTTTGCTCTCGTTTGTGTTTTGTATGTATATACATCTATAAGTATATGTGTATATGCATATGTATATATGTATGTATGTGTATATATATATATACACATGTATATATGCGCATCTCTCTCTCTTGATTTCTCTCTCTCGCTCTCTCTCCCGCTCTCTGTGGCGACCGCGTACCTATTAGCATAGCGGAAAGCTGGCATACTTGGGTTCTGGGGTGTTTGTGGGTGTAATGTGCTGCTACCCATCCATGCATCGGAAGAGAGCTGTAAGTACATCGATTTCAGTCCCAAGCTGGCTTTGGCGACACGAGTCACAACAGAGTATGGCACTCTACAGAAGCTGTAGACTGTAATAGTAAAGGGTTTAGGGTTTGGAGAAATGTGCAGTATTGCCAGGATTGTGTAGTGTAGCCTAGTCCAAGTGTATTGTTGCACCCCTTAAAACCTCCTGACACTTAAGTTAGCCAGAAAAAACTTCCAATTTGACTGTCTTGAACCCAAATCACTAGACTGGTTTGGGAAGTAGGCTGTGGCCTTTTCAGCTTCGGGGATGAGGTTGTAGGGCTGCGCGTGAATTCTAAGAGCCCAAACCCAAGTTTCGGCTCGCTTTGGTTTGGTTGACCTGGACTCCAAGGTGTCTTCTTTGTATGTTACAACAATCCTTGATTATCGTCATCTGTAGCAGTCTAGTCCTCTAAACTAGCCTATATTTTTATCTTATAAGTTGGCCGATAGCCGTGATACTGATCTGCCGCGGAAAAGGCTGTCGCAACCATGGTTCGGGTCTGCGTGAGCTTGCTGAGTGGGAGGAGCGCAGACATAGATGTGGAACCAGGCTGTCGTATAGAGGAGCTGCGGTGTAAGGCCATGCAAGAGCTTTCAATCGGCCGGTGTATTATGGTAGGAGCTGGCAGTCAGGTGCTAAGCAGGACCTCGACGGTGCAAGAAGCTGGGTTGCAGGAGGGGTTGGTTGTGACTGCTCAAATGCTACCGCTACCGATTCAGATAGCAGCTTCTTCCACGTCCTTTGCTGCGATCTTGCAGGATCGCTCGGTGCAGCTTGTTGGTGAGGCCATGGCAGAGAACATTAAGATGTTCGAGGTCTCGCAGAGTCTGCTTCAAGATGTGCAAAGAGTGCAAGCAACTGACATGGCTTTTGCTGCCCTCCTCTGGGATGGGAAGGTCGTGGCCTGGGGCTCGCCTGGGCACGGCGGGTTCATCAGCGCTGCTGTTCAGCGGCACTTGGTGTGCGTGCGGGAGATCCAATCGACTGTTGCCGCATTCGCAGCTCTTCGTGACGATGGTGACGTGGTTACTTGGGGACATGCTTCAGCTGGCGGCGACAGTGCAATGGGTCCAAAGCATTTTTTTGGCAAACGTGTGTTGGAGATCCAATCAAATTTCGATGCGTTCGCAGCCATCCTGGACAACGGCTCGGTGGCAGCATGGGCGAACCGTGTTCATGGCGGCGACACCGGAAAGACGTTGAGGGGGCGTTTGCGAAACGTGCAATGCATTCAATCGCCTGAGGGGGCTTTCGCTGCATTGCAGCAGGACGGGTCCGCAATAACATGGGGCCAACCAGAGGCAGGTGGCGACAGCCGAGCTGTCCAACCGAGACTGCGAGACGTTCAACACATCCAGGCTTCACAGACAGCTTTCGCAGCCATCCACAGCGACGGTTCCGTGACGACTTGGGGTATGCATGCCGAGGGTGGCTACTGCTTCTGCCTTTGCAGCTTTGCGTGGTGATGGCTCTGTTGTCACTTGGGGGGATCGGTATGCTGGCGGGGACTCCACGGATGTGCAAGAAAGTCTCACGAATGTCCAGCAGATCCAAGCCACATATAGCGCATTTGCTGCAATCTTGCAGGATGGGCGCGTGGTTGCATGGGGACATCCAAATCGCGGCGGCGGCTGTGCCAGGGGGACCCGGAACCTGCATGAAGTGCGTGCTATCCAGGCCTCTCGATATGGTGGAGGATTTGCCGCCATCTCCTGCAAAGAGGGGGCTGAATCTTTGGCGACATGGGGCTACATCTTTTGAGTGCAAGAGTGGCTCTCCAGCCAAACATGATAATGTGGTTATTATACTGTGGTGTAAACTTATTAATGTACGAGACTGCGGTCTGCTTATTGCATCGTAGTAGACTGCGGAACCACATGTTACGTGACATGGTATGCCATCTGTATGACATTTATTCTAAAGTAGACGGTTTTTACACTCTAGTAGCATGCGCTATGTGCTGTAATTGTAAAGCTCGCAGTAGCCCTGCTTATTGCCACCATGTGGAGAGCAGCGCGGTGTGGACCAAGTCGGGGAGTCGGCAGTGAACCCCAAAAGGTTAACCGTAAACCTACTCTGGCTGTCCGGATCTGGCAGGGGGTTGGAGGGAGAAGCAGAGACTTCGGGGAATGTAGCACTGCTGGGTTGTTGATGCGAACCTGATGTGTCGGAGGGCGTTAGGGCTGGTTGTAGGTCTTGTTGTGTAGGGCTTCACGGATTACTGGCTTCATGGGGTAAGGATTTAGTTGAAATAAGTAATATAATACGTAAGTAAATAGACAGATAGATATACACATACATATATGATCATATATGTGCGCGTGTTTATGTATATATATGTATATCTAATAAATAAATAGATATATCTAAATATATGTATTCGTAAACATATAAACATACGAATATATACTATAAATATGTAAGCATGAATATATATATATATATATATGTATATATATATATAAGTTTATGCATATAGAAAATCAATTATGAGTATATAAATATAGTCTATGAACATATACATGTAGGTGGTTTTAAAAATTTAGGGACCCTTTTTGGGTCCTGCTTATAATACGGCATCTAACATTTAGGGCACCCACAAAGGGACCATAATTAATTTTGACAGCCACCCATTGATATACATACATATAATATATATATATATATATATATATATGTGTGTATATATATATATATATATATATATATATCGTTATATAAATTTCTTTATGCACATGCAAACGTATATATACATATATATAAGTAACATCCTGCCTTGCGGCTCGAAGATTTATGTAGATCAGGTGAGGGCTACGGGTTTCCGGTTTTGCTCGGATAGTTCGGGGTCTCGAAAATGCCCACGTTCCAAGGCCTTTGGGTGTTGGGGGGGGGGGTTTGGGGTAAATTTGGAGGGGGTTTTTCCCTCCCCCATAAAAATCCCAAAGGGTCCGAGTAATCGTATACAGTCCTGAAGCAGCACTCCTGGAGCAAGTCGCTTTGCGCGTGCACAGGCAACGGCGACCAAAGCTGTGGCTGTCAAGGGCTTCGTGAGAAGGACTGGTCAGCTGAAAGCCGAATCGAGTGTTTTGGGTTTCATATCTTGTTTGGGAAACAAGTTTGAGCGTTATCCATCTCTGTCCAGCCTTCATGAAAACCCCCAAAACGCTAAGCCGAATAGTTGGTGTACAATTCGAGGTTTTGTGACGAAAAGATATATATGATGACTCACATTTTCGGGCCATTGGGGCCTGATGTCGTAGGGTTCCGTCGGCTGTGATTGCGGACGGAGCGCATTTAGCGGCCATAGACTGGATTGTCTGACGGATTGAGGATCGGAAGCTGGGCTTCAGGATTTCTAGGGGTGCTACTTGCGTAACCATAAAACACTAAGCCTTAAACCCAGGGAGGAAAAGAGGCGCATAAAACGAAAACCAAACCCTAAACCCTAGCTGAGAACCAGCTATGGTTCATTTTGGCTTCCCTCACCGTGACATGAACTTATTGGCTGTAAACTCAACTTTTCAACTTTTGGGGTTCTCCTAAGGTAGTCGATTCTGAAAGTTTCAACCTTTATAACCCTAAACCCTAAACCCTTTTGGGCCAGTGAGTGAAAGTGCTGGGACGATGAGTCGGTCCCAGGCCGGTCCAGGATTTTACATCTGGGAGTTTCCCAAAAGTAGGGGTACCTCAGGGTTCCTTTAAAGGGATCCTCTAAGGGTTCCTACAAGGGATCTATAGAGTTTAGGGTTTAGGGAGTATCCCAAAATGAGGCCAAACCCAAACCCCGAAGTCAAGCAAGACACCCTTTTCGCCGAAGCACCTTGTAAATGATACTCAGGTGTTTCAATAAAGGCTAGCCGCGAAGAGAGGGGGGGTGGTGGGGGTCAGAAATGCACAGAACACTGGCACCCATCTTAATTCATCCAAAGCTCCGAGACCGTGGGCACTAAACCCTAACTCCCTGGAAACCTGAGGAACAAGGAGGCAGCAATGGCGGCCAGCTTACGCCAGTATCTCAGGGGCTCAGCCAGTTCCCCGAGGCTCTCAAAAAAGCGGGGACTGCAACTCAGGGTTGGGGTTTAAGGCTTTAGGGATTTAGGGGTATTGGTTTTAGGGTCTCTGTAATATAGAAGTCGGGATACTTATCCAGAATATGTTTGGGGCTCCTTAATGTGTCTAGAAATCTAGATATAGCTCGACAAAACATGCCTGGAAGCCTCATTCTAATGTTTAAGGCCCCTGTAGAAATGCAGGCTACAGAGGCTTTTTCAGCGGGGCCCTCCTACACTGATGAAAGCATTTCCGTCGGTATGTCGTTCAGAACCATGCAGCCTCCGAGGCAGCGATATGGCCTGCTGACAGGGCTTACACCAAGCCTTGAACCTTGCTCCTGAAACTTAAGCCCTATATGGGTCCATGTACCCCATAGGTACTGTACCGCCAATGCGAACACTACCGATTCATGAACAGTTATCACTATGTCGTGGGGCTCCTTACTATAATGATAGCATGACATAACCCAGTAACCATTGCAACCATCACTGCCTAATCCTGAAGCCCTAAACCCCTAAACCCCAAGAACCTTATAGGATCCCTTAAAGGAGCCCTGAAAGGAGTCCTAAACCCTCAACCCCGTAAGCCCTAAAAGGCGCCCAGGAAGGAGATGCCATACTTGGAGGGTCGGGGGACTTAGTAAGTAGGAAGTAAGTAGACTTATAAGTACCCTAAAAGGGACCCTAATTGGGGTTATGGTACTTATAACTCCGTAAAATAACCAGTTACTGAGTCCCCCGACCCTCCAAGTAAGCTCATCTTCAGGTGTCAGGTCGACGCCTCATCGCCATGGGAGGTTTATGATTGTTCGCTGCTCTTAAGTATTAGGATTTAGGGTTTAGGTGTTCAGGGTGAAGGGGTTTAGGCTTAGGGTTTATAGGGTCTAGGGGTTTAGGGTTTCGGGCATGTAATTTAAGTAGGCTAGTACTAGGTATATGTTTCAAGAGGTTTTGAGGGATTCCGGGCTTCTGGTGTTTTCTTGTCGAGGCTTTAATGTTGAGTTCTTGGTCACCCGAGGCATGCGGCCTTGAAAAGGGCTGTTCGTGAGCAGCGCTGGTGCCCAGTGGGTGGCCCTAAACCCTGTTAGTAAGAGTTAAACCCTACAAAACCTAAACCTTAGCCCTCAAACCAGAAGGAAATTTCGAATAGAGGGTCCGAGGTTGGAGCTACCGAACCTGCGAGGAGTTTCCTTCGAGCAAAGCCCCGAAGGAAGGTATTTCCGACAAACTTGAATTCCTAAACGTAGAGGCTCCTGGTCCCGAGTAGTCAGTTAGGTTTGAGACCATGCCATCTGGGTAGCATAAGCACATTCACGACACCTTAAACACTCAACCTGAGCTTGGTCCAAGGCGCGGCGTACTGGCAGGAGCTGGAGGTGCAGACCTACCTGTTTTGCATGTGGAAGTGCCCGCCTCAGCTCCTGTGAGTTTGCGATACGAACAACGGTTTCGCAAAGGGCTCATGTCAGGTTTTGCAAACAATGTTTCGGTTTTGCGTAGATGCTGTGGTAATCCAGGTTTGAGGCTTGCACACTTTGGTGGATGAGGTTGCACAACCCAAACCTCTCAATCCAAACACCGACAGCCCTTCGTGTCCACGCAGCCAAGAACTACGTATATACCCACCACTAAATACTAATTACTCCTGAAAAACCTAAGGTTTATAAGGGATCCTTATTGAGAAGGTCTATATCCCCAAGAGTCCCCCTAAGCCTATGTAACTCCTATCAAAACGGCCCCAAATAGACGCGCTGCCAAGGCGCGAGACCAAAGTGGAGCGCATGCGCCGGTACGGCAAGGAGAAGAACGAGCGAAGAAAGAAGGACGCGTGAAGTAGGGTTGCTTCGGCATTCTTTCTGGGTGTATTCTTTGAGTGTTATCTTGGGGACCTTACCAGTTTGTCCGAAAACATAATATCCGCGAATCTCTGACCCGGTAAACCGGAAACAGCCGAGCCTTGGCCCCGGTGATCGGCGCTTGAGATTTACAAAAGCGGGATCTGCCGTTCGGGTGAACAAAGGGGCTTGCAAAATACCTATACTCTTTTTAGGGTTCCTTATTGTAACTATCGCAAAGTATACCCCCTAAAACCCTAATTCTCATTGAGGCCTTTATAGTCAGGGTGTGAGGTTTTTTGCTAGGGGCCGAGGCGTGGCTGAGGGTATACGAACTAAGGTTCAGTCTATATGGTTATACGGCTTAATTAGGGCTTGTTTCTTAGGTAGGGTTCGGGATTTGTGGATAATGTCTTTATACCCGAGAGTGAAACCTTTTCATGTAGATCGAGTAAATGAAGACCAAGTCCAAAACCAGGTGCGTAAACAGCTTGAACACCCCAATGCCCAGATCCTTTCCACCTCAAAACTTCAGCTGCAAACCTCAAAACCAAACGGTGGATGCTGAGAGATGCCCTGTATAGTAGTACCGGTTTTGGAGTATACGAGCGTTGAACTACCAAGATAAGTTCTTCCGGCCTATTCTCGGTATGTCTTGACTGCAGCAGTATCTATCAGAATCCTGTGTTCCTCGCTCTGTTAGTCCCCTGTTGCCACACTCTGCTAAGCACGAGACCCTAGCTCAAATAGGACAAGCAGATTTCCCGAGTTCCGGACTACGTAAGAGCTCCTAGAAGTAGTGTTCCTTTAAGGCAGAAGCCGCTTTTCTATGTCCAAATACAATAAAGGTTTCTCGACCAGTTGCGCCTAGGGGCTGGGGAGTAGAGAAGCCTTGCCACCCCCTAAGCCCCGACCCCGATCCCCTGAAGCTCCTAAACCCCTAAACTCCTTAACCTTGAAACTCCTAAACCCCGAAACTCCTTAACCTTGAAACTCCTAAACCCCGAAACTCCTTAAAATTTGAAACTCCTAAACCCCGAAACTCCTAAACCCTGAAGCTCTTAAACCCTTAAGCTCCTAAACTTTGAAGCTTCCAAACCCTGAAGCTCCTAAAGCATCTAACTCCTGAACCCTTAAGCTCCGAAGCCCTGATGCTCTGAAGCTCCTAAACCCTACATAAAATCCTCAAATAGGGTTTAGGGTTTAGGGTTTAGGGGTTTAGGGTTTAGGGTTTAGGGTTTAAGGGTTTAGGGTTTAGGGTTTAGGACCCTCAAACTCCTAAAGCCTCTAAATGCTAACTGCCCCCCCGAGCTACTACAGGATCTTGTCAGCGTCAAGGGCCTCTTCAGGACTCCTTTGCTCTTTGCGCCGTGGGCTTTAGGGGTTCAGGGCTTCAGGGGTTTAGGGGTTTGGAGGTTTAGCGGTTAGGGCTTAGGGGTTTATGTAGGGGGTTTCGAGTTTAGGGGTTTAGGGTTTAGCGGGTTAAGGCTTGGGAGCTAGGGTTTAGGGGTGGCTTTGGCCGTGGGCGCCTATTTAGGGTTTTGGTGAGCCTAAAACGCGAAGAAGGAGTTGCTAAATCAAGGCTTGTGTACTATTGGGGCCTAAATAATGATTAAAGGGTTCCTTTACAGGTTTCCTTACAAGGGATACTACGCTGTCAGGGTTCTATAATAGGGTTCTGTGATATAGGGGCCTAAATAGTTACCTATACTATTGTGGGTTCTGTATTGTACTTATAGTAAAATATAAAACTCTATTCTAATTCTTAAGGCCCCTATATTAATAAAGGAGTTTCTTGTACTACAGGCTTCTTGCGATTATGGGTGGTAACTTATGCAGGGGTCCTTGCAGGAAGAATCCGATTAGACTGCGTATTCGCGTCCCAGTTTTCTTGAATTTCCAGAAGTACGCCTTCTAAGCCAAAAAGTGCGCACATCCCTTGCCCTCTCAAACCCTTAAACCCGAAATACTCTAGACCCAACGCCCTAAGCTCCAACCCCTACCTCGCCCTGAACACCGCAAACCTTAAGCCCTTAACCATACTACCCGGAACTAAAAAAGGAAGCTTCCCATTCCTCAGGCTTGTCCTTCCAACCACCCGCAACCAAACACAGAACCGTCAACAGATCTTAAAATTACGGTTGAACGATTTCGGAAATACGACAGAGTACACATGAACAGCAGCTGTCGAAGCCTGCCACCAGAGCCGAAGATCGCTTAAGGTCAGGGTTTCACAGTTTCCTACATTATCGCTGACTGTAGTCTCTGAGCAACCCGCAGTACTTTGTAGGAACCCTTAAGGGACCTTATGTTGAACCCGTGTCACCGTAACCACCACCCTCAATGGGAACTCTACGACATCCAATTCGAAGCAGCCCGAAAGGAACTTGGTAGAAACCCTTATATAGGAACCCTCACGGAAATTTCTACAAGAACCCTTATACGCCTTTTTTTTCGGTCCTAAACCCTACATCCTAAACCCTTACTTGTGTAGAGAGCCCTCATGGTAAGCCGAAGACACACCAGGAACTTCGCGAGCGAGTTGGAGACCAGCCTCAAGCAGGGAACCCCTCGGCTGGAGGCGTGGCTGGGATGTTAAGGTTGAGGGTTGAGGGTTTAGGGTTGAGGGTTGAGGGTTTAGGGTTTAGGGTTGAGGGTTTAGGGTTGAGGGTTTAGGGTTTAGGGTTGAGGGTTAAGTGTTTAGGGTTGAGAGTTTAGGGTTGAGGGTTTAGGGTGTAGGGTAGCCGCATTGCAATTCTGGAGGTTTTCATCAATTGTGGAGTCTAGGGCCGTAAACCTCTCCAGCAACAGATTACAGAGTTGATATAAGTCTTGGGTTTCGGGTTTATGTGGTTAGTTTTTTGGCTGCTTTTAGGTTTGTTGTGGGGGTTCAGCGGATTTACGGGGTCTGCCGTAGGGTTTGGACAAGTGCACCTTTGCTGTATGCACTTGGCCTCGCAGCCGCCACATGATCATAGGAACCCTTTGAGGCCTCATGACTATACTCAAAGGGGAATAGGAGGGACCCTTAAGGGGGACCCCTAGCCTATAATGGGCTATATAATGGGTATATAATGGCTATATTAAGGATATATACCTAGGGGTCCTTATTAGGGGTCCCTCCTTTTACCCTTTGATATACTATTGCAGGTACACGGAGTCTTGAGGGTAGCGAGTAGTAGGAAGGCCCGAACCCCTCCATCCTTGCTGATCTCGATTTTTGGTGACTGGGGTTCTTGCAGTTTAGTACGTCATGCAGGCCTTGGGCTGGGATTTAATAGGACAAAAGCTTAAACACCCGTCGCGCAGAAGATAAGACGCACAGGTAACTACAACAGAGCAGCTTGCTATGAGGGTTGAAAACCTGAACCCTTTCCTGCCTCCCTCTTCCAAGAACGAAGAGGCCCGTAGAACGCGCAAGCACTAAATCGCAACCAAGACCCCAACCACGCAGCAGATTCAGGCGCCTCCACGACGTGCAGTCGCTTAGGCAGCGTGACGAAGCCTTATCCTTACCTTTGGTTAGTCGGGAATGGAAGAATGGTAGTAATAGTAGTTATAATTGTACCCCATTCCTCCATTCCCTACTAACCAAAGGTAAGTATCCGATGGCCGGCTGCATGAGTGTTGCTGGGTCTCGGGTTGTGTTTGGTTCAGGGTTCAGGGCCTGTCGGACTTGCACCCTGATACAGATTATTATTATTACTATTATTATTATTATTACTACTATTATTAGTATTAGTATTAGTGTTAGTAGTATTATTAGTATTATTATTAGTATGAATTCTAGTATAAGATATACATGGGTCCTGTGTTTGGTCTCTATCAGGTCTCATGAGGGTCGGCGTCAGGGTGGAAAAGCATTTTCGCTAAGGGTAAGCGTGTTCGGTACTAAAGACTGCAAGGAGTGTAAGCCCCATTCACGTTATTTTGTTTTACTTTAGGGGTATCTATTCTCTTGCACCGGCCACTAGCTTAGGCGTTGCATGCTCATTCTATCCCATCCCCGCGGTACGCGGAGCGTGGCCCAGGGGGAGTAGGATGCCTTCAATCCAGGTTTCTGAAGCAGTAGTGCATTTATGGCTTCCTTTTGGTCTTGCACCTTTCTGATCCTAGAACCTTCTTTGGTTTTCTTCCGCCTACACATCAGCAACTTAATGTGCACAAACTCTTGCTCCAACTGTTTGTGCGAAGCCCTGAGACTTACCGTCTCTAGGATTTGGTCAGAGGCGTGCAGTAGGAGTTGCAGGAGAAGCTTCTGAAAGATTCAGGACTCCTGAACCCTTAGACAGCTCCTAAACTCCCACTACCTGAACCCAAAACCCTAACCCCTACCACCCTTTCCCCTGAACTTATTCCTTCATATACACTATAATCACAATAATATACCCCCAAAACCCTATTCCCTAATTATTAAGTACAGTATATATGAGTATCCGTAGAAGACCCAGCGGGTCGAAGGCTCAGAGTTTCACAGGCAATGCTGGCAATGTCCGGTGTCCCACATGCGCCGGAGACGCCTCTGGAACCAGGGCGCAGGCACCCAAAACCCCTAAACCCTCAATCCCGGAAGGGTTGAATAAAGCCCCTGACGACATCCCCTGGCCCGGATGGCGCAACAGCCCAGAACCGGCTGCACATGACAGGGGTAAGAAATCAAGCGAGGTTAAGGCCCCGGGTGCAGGGTTGTGGTGTAGGGTTAAGGGTTTAGGGTTTAGGCTAGGGTTTCTGTGTTTGGTTTTCTAGACAAGCCAGCACTGAGTTGTAGCTTTCGGTACTTGTGCTGAAACGACAGTCGCACCCGTCGAAGAAAGGCCACAATTTGGGGGCTGCCGGGTTGAAGGACCAAGTCGCAGGTACCCTAAGGCCCCAAAGTAGTTCCTTTTTGGGGTTCATATATAGAATCCTATAAGGTAATCCCCAAAAAGGAACTTCTTTGGGGCCTATGGGTAGAGAGGGTCAAGCGTTTGTCTGTCTGCTGTGGCCATAGGCTTGAGTGGTTTTCGGGCGCTGGTCGTCGGTTACAACTGCTACAGTCATTTGGGAGTTTCCGAAAAGACGGGACCCTAATATAGTACCTTGAATAGTCGGATCCTTATTATAAGAACCCCCAAACAAGGTACCCCTAATTTTCGGAAACCCCCATTTCAAAGTTCCCGTCGAGACTCGTAGTGCCCAGAAGCCCTAAACTCTGAACCCTAAACCCCAAAGGTTTAGGGCTTAGGGCGGATTGCAGGGCTTTGGGGGGTAATTTCGGTGAGATCTAAGCGGGAGGGCGTCAGGATGCGAAGGTTTAGGGCTCGTGAATTTAGGGCTTCGAGTCTACATGACTCTAGGTAAGTTGAAGAGTCTACAGTGTAGAGCTCGCGGTACCTCCCGCCTTCTGCAGTGTTGAGTTTAGGGTTTACTCGGGTAATACCAGCAGGGGGTCAGGCTTATTGAAAATGTCAGACATAATCGACGCCAAACTGTATACCGAAGCCTTGGAGGAATTCGTCAAGCCGTCAAGCTTAGAGCCGAAGCCGTCCGTGCAGCCGGGAGAGCATCGACAAGCAGGTGTGCGCAGTGGGCTGTGATGGATGGATCTCACAAACAGCTGGACTTCAAAAAGGGAGGTGGGGGTGCTGTGCTATGCTCTGCGTCGGGTCGCTCTGTATCTTCGTGAATACCTGGGAGTCCCAGCGGGTTTAATTCCGACTGCGCATGACTGCGATTTAGTTCAACATGACAGTTTGAGAACGACAAGCACATCACGACATCACGGTAGAACCAACCTGGTGTGAAGCTTCTTGCTCTAGTACATGGCGGTGGGCAACTCACTGGCCGTACTGTGTGACTGAGCCCTAAGCCCTAAACCTTGTGATGCTTGCTGTGCCACTGGAAATCCGCAATGGGCTTCTCCGGGTCGCTTCAAAGTGTTGGAGTCGCTGCCCTGTCCTTCCGCAGTTGGGTAAGTAGCTTACCTTTGGTTAGTAGGGAATGGAAGAATGGTAGTAATGGTAGTCATACTTGTACCCCATTCCTCCATTCCCTACTAACCAAAGGTAAGGTAGGTGTGTGTGTGTGTGTGTATATATATACATATAGTTACATGCACACGTACACGAAGACTTACATAAATACATGCAGTTTTTAAAGGATAGAGTATAAGAGCCTTACTAGGGGTCAAAAGCAAAGGCAACTTTAGTCGGGAGCAGTTCCGGTGTACAGTTCTACTAACATTATGAGGGCTAGAAGAGATCTACCAAAGAACTTGGGGGTTCATGGTTAGGGATAGCAGTACGGTTCCAAGAATCCTGACTGACTTTGATTATGATGATAAGCAGAGATCGAGAAGTCGAAAGACAGACGGACCGACAGACAGAAGGACTCAGACGCAGACAGAGACACAGAAACAAAGACAGACCGACAGACCGACAGACCGACAGACAGACCACAGACCGACAGACCGGCAGACAGACCGACAGATAGACGGACAGACAGACCGATAGACCGACCGACAGACAGACCGACAGACAGACAGACCGACCGACCAACCGACAAACAGACAGACAGACCGAGAGACCGACAGGCCTAGCTATGGATCCCTGTTGATCTGTCTATTTGTCTGCCTACCTAGACAACCCGCCCCCGCTTTGTTTCAGGCACTGTTTGAAACTACACAAATAAACGCAATCTCAGACCAAAAAGGGAATTGTTTGCAAAAAGTGCAATCGCCAATTGCCTCTCTTTTCTCGGTAAAGCACAGCAGTCGACTGTTCGGTAGCTCAAGCCCTCTGTAGACTCATGGAACAGCTCCTTAAAAACTTGCACTACGGCCTATAAGTCGCAAGATATCAGGTTTTATCGGGTTTGCTACAGATGTATAAACCATCTACTTTTGGAGCCGCTCCAACAAAAGGCGCACCTTCACAAGGTACCGCTGCACAGTCCTCATTGCGGCTGTCGATGGATGAACCCTACGGGAAATGCGGGCATGTCGACCTATAAAGTCTTCATTTTGTTCGCAAAGGTACAAACTTGAGTTCATAATCCAGCGGTCGTTGGCATCAACACGGCTTTTCAGGTCCAGCAGTATGTGCATATAGTAATGGAGTTTCGGCCGTAGCCGGTACCCTGGCACCTGCAAAGCTGTGCAATGATTGGCCAGGAAAGCATACCCACGAGCAAAGCACATGCCAGCGTCCAACTGCAGGCATGCACACGAGTGCGGTAGCCAGGTGCCGTGACTATGCATGATTCCTACATACGTCAAGCCGCCATCCAACATTTGCTTCATCACCTTGAGAATGGGTACATCTCCGGCATCCTTTGGCTCCCGCAGAAAGAGGTCCAGCTGAAAACTCAGCCATGTCATTAAGAGGATGACTTCACTGCCTTTGGCATGCACCTCTGCAAAGTGGTGGTTCTTGTCGTAAGACATGTTGGCACGAGAGAAGCGCTTCAATGTGTGATTTTTGTTTTGGGCAAGACACCACATGGAGTAGTAAGCAAACGCACGATTCAGCCGCTCCGGCACTCCACAAGATTCGGTAACATCATCCGTGTCCCAATACCTCATAAAAGCCAGTCGCGCGATCGAAGAACCTACGGTGTCCCGAAATACTCCGAACTTTAGAACATGGAAGACATCTAGCTTGTAGAGGCCTGCAGCGAATGTTGATGCGTAGGGCACTTCGTTCAGCGGCGGCGTCGTGTCCCACGGATCGGTGACACCGACTGTCTGCAGCCAGGCTGGGGAGTCACTGACATCAGTATAGCTGTAGCCTTCTGCACCAGCCTCGCAATATGGGCATATGCATTTGTAGTTCACTGAGCCAGTCTTGTGGTAGCTTCTTGTGAAGCCAGCGGCCTCCCAATGCCACTCGGCGTCGCCTTTGACGCCTATAAAAACAAACTTCAGCCGTGACCCAGACTTGCTGTGCACGAGGCCTTCCTCGAACAACACCTGCAGCTGCTGAGCTATCATCTTCAAAAGGCCGGGTATAACACCGTCGTTCTTCTTGTAAAGATTTGAAGGCACAGCAGCAATCAAGAAACGGCTAAGGTAGGAATGCCCTTTGTTGTTGTGACGATGATGACTACCAGCAGATGCATGGTCAAAGCATTTCCCAGGGCACTCCCTAGGACACTCATTGAAGCTCATCTCTGCAAACTTCCGCTTTGCGGAGGCTCGCCTTGCACAGGTCCATCGCAACGTACTGTCAAAGTTGTGTCGTGTGTTCCTCTTGCAATCATATGAGCACTTACGTATCAGGTCGGGAGGTAAACCGTGCGCCAGCTCGAAATTGAGGACCATGATCGGGGTTTTCTGGAGCGTCCTACCCTTATCCCCATGGATCATTATAGGAACACATCGACACCGCTCTGATTCCGGAATGGACTCGAAAATCACGTGGTCCTTCTGATGGCTCTGGAAGCGTGCCCAAAACTCCGAAAGAAGGTTTTCAGCAGCATTGCCAAATCTAAGGCCACCGAACAGTACTTCTTCATGATGATTGAGTAGATGGCCCAGCATGTCAGTAAGCCTAAGGTGTGGCACACTTGCGTGGTCTTGCCCCCCAGAGCCAGCAGTGGCTGGAACTTCTAAAGAAGATATCGGGATTCTGAGGGCTAGTCCGTACTTGTTGAACAGCCGATGGGCATTTCTCTCTGAATGATTCTTGTCGATCTTAGCCCCATCCCTCAAGCTTCCGATCCTAGCCCCATCAGATATCGCAGCCTGCGACACTTCCCCGACGATGCAAGCTGGAGCCTGGATGAGAGTGGGTTTATGGTTTTTTTGGAGGCGGGGTGTTATAGGTTGTTGTTGGAACTTGGATACAATAGGCTGTTCATGGTATATAATGTTTGCAGATTGATGTATATGGCTTATGTGATGCACGATGGTGTTTCAGAGCTCAGAATTTGCATGGGCACAACCTTAAGGAATTTCTGCAATATAATTACAATTGCACGGGTTATAAAACAGGACTGCACGTCTAGGGTTCATGCTTGCTAGATAGCATCAAATAAGCCGATTTCTATGCAATATATTGCATAGATACAGGAGTTGGGGGTTGGTGTTTCGAGTGGGCTTTGTCTGAATATTCTAGTATAAACTTTAGTTTGGGCCTTGGCAAGCAGCTGACGTGTGTATTTTCGGCTTCGCACGTTTCGGGGTCGGGGTTTGCGTATATGGTCTTCCTCGTAATATTGGGGTGTAGCACGAATTTGGCTACGAGGATTGCACGTTGGGCTTGTCACAATTTAAGTTCTTGGGAGGAATATTATTGGGATCTAGTGTCGACATATGTAGATGGAAGCTTTTGGGGCTAAGGGTTTTGGAGTTTTCGGGTTTTTGTTGTGTCACCAGGCTGGTGTAGTTTACTTCTGGGTTTAATTTGGGTTTAATTTGGAAGATACATAAACAAGGTTTCGAATTGCCTTCGATCGCAGCTTAATTATAGCCTTGACTTATAACATAGCAATGACCGTGAATCTCAAACCGACTGAGTCATGCACACCGTCGGCCACACGTTCAGCCAATGCACGTAGTGTATGGCCTGGATTTGGATCAGCACCTGCCATCCACCCATGCAAGGAGATGAGCCTAGCTAGATACCGATATCTGTTTCAAGCTTGGATGCACTGCACATAATGAAGACTTTTGGGTCATACCGACGGATTGGGCCACTCAAAATGCACGGTGCACTTGCATGGGGTTTGTCCCCTTGCGTGAAAACATGAACAGCCCCAGCCACAGGCCTTCAGATCCGGATCATACGGATTATTTTGGATTACATTCTAGTTAAGAGTTGCACACTACATGGCTGCACCTAAGCTCAGCCCGTTTCCAGATCTCTCCAGCCTTTTAGCTAGCCTTGGCTTTGGGACGTTTAGCCGGAGGCGGCTTCGGCGCTGGAGCCTTTTCCAAGCCGCGCTTTGCAGGGGCCTTGACCCGAGGATGGGTTTTGGGCGTCGGCAGCGGTGCTTTCGGTAACACACTCCTGCCAAAATACATTCTTGGATTGGTCTCGGGTTTGGGGATTGGTTGGTTGAGTATAGATTATGTATAGGTTATATGCAGAGTCAGGGTCGAGGCTTCTCGGTTTCTCGAGACTTTGTAAGCAAGAATACTATGATTTTGATTCGTTGAACGGGCCCACATCAGCCTGGCACTAAATTTGCATTGAAGTTATATTTGCCTATATAGGGTTATTTGTGTGTAATCTCGGGTTTCGGATCTACATATCCTAGATGGGTTTAGGAAGCAAGAGCTTTATAGGGTTATATATGATGCATATCCTGGATGGGTTTTAGGGCTTAGGGCTTTCCAGGGCTTAACATTAAGCATAGAATGATTGAATCCCTGAGAGTTGCACTCTGCCCATGTCCTGGCACGAGTCTCCAGCTCACCCGCTTCGATCACCCTCAGTTATTGTGCTCATGCATGCTAGCATCCAACATACATGCATGCACACATGCATGCAGCTGATCTGTATCTTGCAGGCATGCAGCAGCTTTCTGCATTTCCCAAGAATAACATCGATCTCCGCTTCCGTCCTTGGGGACATGCATATATAGTATTGCAGTGTATACACATGTATACTGCATATGCATGCATGTGTATCATACGTATTGCATGTGGTATCACATGCGACCAGAGAGCTCGTCGTCATAGCCATCAACCACTCCATCAGTCTGGCATTGGATCAATCGGTCGCACGACTCATCCAGCTGAGTGTACATCTTCAGCAGCTTGGAGGTCATCCTGATCACTATATAGGATCTACTTAAAAACCATATATGGGGATATCGTAACTCACTTTCAGCAAAGCACACAGTATTGGGTAACCTGGGGGCCAGACCTTTGCACTACAGATCCTTTCCCAGCAGAGTCATCGACGTTCTCTTCTGGGGGCGGGGGTTTGTCATCGGGCATGAGCTCCTCGAGCTTCTTCAGCCGTTTCTGACATGCAAGAATAGCTTTGGCGAGCAGGGTCGAGGGCTTCGCAGCATCCTGGATTTCAGGGTATTGAAACCTTTTCAGCAATTTGGAAAGCTCTTCGCTGGCCGGCTGACGTGACACACCATCACCGGCATCTATAAGATTTGCCGGCGTCTCTCCTTAGCTGAGGTGTGCTACACTATGCTTGCATGGGGGCATGGCAGCATCCCGTCTGCACCAGCAAACCGATCTGTATTAGGTTAAGTCACCAGGAGCTTCATTCAGGGTTGCATCCATGTCCACATCCATATCAATACGATCCGTATTGGCGAGGCTTTCATATTCATCCTTGACCGTCACTTTGGTCGTCGCCCTGACAAGATATAAGGTTTAGGGGTTTTAGGGTTTGTGTAGGCTTACGTAGGGATGCAGGGTGGGTCGACGGAGATTTAAGCGCTCAGGGTTTCTAGGGTCTTGGGGTTGCTATAGGGTTTGCAGCAAAGGCTCTTTTTGTGACCATAGATTTTCAGCACGGTGTAGTACTTCAGCACACCCTTTCTGAAGGGATGCTTCCTCGTGATGTAAAATCTCATCAAAGCTCGACCAGACCCTGTTGAGTAAATTTGCCGCCACGGAACCGAATAAAGCGTTCAGGATCGACTTCGGCAGCAGCCACAACTTCTGCGATATCGCTCCTTGGCTTCTGGATTGCGGCATGCTTTTAAATACATCGTATACATCGCATCAACACACTTTACACAAGCCCTGAGAGGGATGGTTAAACCTCATCCTATATAGGTATGTTAAATGAAGCTTGAGGTTCTCCGTCATATTGTGATCATCAGCCATTTCCTTCTTCGTTAAGAACTCGAAGTCCACTGCCACTTCCATTTCCCGGGAATTTTCAGTAGTTGCGGAATACTTCCGGACAAAGCTTTCCTGCAGTATAGGCTGGAGGTTCAAAACATTAAGATTCAAGGTGCCTTAATATATTTTCAAATTATATAATGGTATATATAGGTTTATGGGGAATTAGGGCATGGCAGTCCGTATCGAAGCCCACTGCAGCGAAAAGCCGGATCACACCTTCCTTGCTGGCACCTCCTGCTTGCCACTGCTTGCGGATGCTTTCTGCGACCCTGAAGACACCCTTTGATGTCGGTTCCATGGCTCTGGAGAGCCGCTTGTTGATTGCTGCAGTTGAAACAGGTGGAGGGCTGGCCACGTGTTTGGCCTTGGGTGCAGGTGCTGCTGCGGTTGCTGCAGCAGCTGGCGACTTTGCTTTTGTTGCAGTTGCCGGCGTTCGGGGCAGGGCCTGGGGTGCGCTGGTGCCGGGGCTTTTGCTTGCCACGGACGGAGATTGGAACAATCGCTGGGGTTGAATTGCCCATGGGTCCTGGGCGTCCTGGCTGTTTTGTGAGCTCTCGCTTTGGGTGGTTGTCAAGCTGGCGTTACTGGGCATGGATGCTCCTCCAAGTAGCTGCGGTTTTGGGCTTGGTGTTTCGTTCTTACAGGGTCCTGGCATCCGTGGCTCCTGCAACGACTGCATGGTCTCGTCAGCATCTTGGGTCCCTTGCTGCAGCTCCTGATTCAACCTGTCCACTTCTCGCAGAGCCATCTCCAGCTGTTCCTTCTTGCGTCGCAACGAAGCGAGCTCCTCTTGCTGCTTCCTGGTTTCCTCTGCTGCTTGTGCCTTGGCGAGTTCCTCTTGTTTCTTCCTGGCTTCCTCTGCTGCTTGTGCCTCGGGGAGTTCCTTTTGTTTCTTCTTGGCTTCCTCTGCTGCTGCCTTGGCGAGTTCCTCTTGTTTCTTTCTGGCTTCCTCTGCTTGTGCCTCGGCGAGTTCCTTTTGTTTCTTCCTGGCTTCCTCTGCTGCTGCCTTGGCGAGTTCCTCTTGTTTCTTCTTGGCTTCCTCTGCTAGTGCCTTGGCGAGTTCCTCTTGCTTCTTCCTGGCTTCCTCTGCTGCTTGTGACTTGGCGAGTTCCTTTTCTTTCTTCCTGGCTTCCTCTGCTGCTAGTGTGGCGAGTTCCTCTTGTTTCTCCCTGGCTGCCGCTGCTGCTTGTTCCTTTCGTTGCTTCCTGGCTTCCTCTGCTGCTCGTGCCTCGGCGAGTTCCTTGTGTTTCTTCTGGGCTTCCCGCTCCTCTTCAGCTTCTGCATCATCCATCTGCGTCTCTTGAGCTTCTGTGTGCTTTGCTTCGCCTGCATGGTTATATTAGCAGCACTTCAGAAACCCCAATTAAAATCTGAATGACAATGATGGCTTAGGTTGCGCCACTGCATGCCTCCGGTCGATGATGACGGGGCCGGGCTGCGTCCACCGGCTTCCTGCGGTTTTAATTAGAGAAGGGAGGGCCAGGGTTTAGGGTGCAGGGTACAGAAGGAATGGGTGTTTAGGGTTCAGTCCGTTTAACTAGACCGGGGCATTTGGGATTTGGGGTGTGAGGTTTCAGAGGGATTTAAAGGAACGGGTGTACAGGGATTTGGGATCGATGGCTTTATTGGGTATAATATATATATATATATATATATAATATGTGGTTGTTTCGTCTATGGGGTGTGTTGAACTTCGAACGGACTTTTACTGTTTCACATTACAGTATAGTATTCAAATGGTTTCAGCTATATGGTGCTGAATGTGCGGCCCACTGTAAAACTATATGTGCTGTAGATTACGATCGAGCCGTCCTGGAGTTCCCGATATAGGTCTGTTCAGGCTATGGGTTCCGATATGGGAACCGTACAGAGAAGTCTTGCCGGGGTTACAGACGATTATACAACTCATACCATATGCCGAGGGTCGGCTTAGGATTTGAGATTTCGGTTCAGGTTGCGAAGGAACATGTGTGATGTTGTTTCAGTTCCTGGTGGACACATGCATGTGTGACATGCTGCAATATGCTCAGGATAACCGACACAAATATATCATGCACACAATATGTATGTCATATATATTATACTCATGTATTATATATTTATATAATATGTTATAATATCATATATATATATAGGTTAAGTGTATAATATATATATATATATATAAGTCATTAATGATTGTACATGCATATGCCCCATATAGTTGAACCGACGAGGTTTGAGACCACCGTGGTTCGAATGTCCAGCGGGATTCAGGTAGGACTGCAAGCCCGATATCGTCAGGACCATAAAAACCCCAAACCCTAAAACCCCAGACCCCATATATCTATAATTCATATATTGCTTAGCCATCCCAACTTAAATCTGCAACAGATTAATCAACCTACTTGCTCCGAACTTCAAACCGGCCGGGTACACTAGAACCGCAAAGCTCCCAAACCAAAAGCAGCCTACAGAGAAAGGCTCCCAAACCCAAAACACCAAAACCAGCCTATCCTGTGATCGACATCAACCAAGACTGGACCTATAGGGTGAATTTAACTCTCTTGTAATGTATCTATGCAGTGTAGGGAATCGGCACTTATCGAGGGCAAGAGTTAAAAGCCTAGCCAACCAGCTTAAGGTAAATGGCCCGCCTTCGCCCTCTTCAACTGATCCATCTTCTCGCTCAACCCCTGCGGCCGATCAGTGACACATATGGGGCGTGGGCGAGCCTCTGCTTATCAAGATTTTGCGTTCATATTGCATGCTTTAAGTATGATTGGCCCCAACGAGACAGCACTTCTGGCCTGTATTTGTTTGAGAATCTCCGCCTCATCTTCGGGGCTCTCTTCCTTGACTACACCTATTCGGGCGATACCATCTAGAATGTCACTTCCACGGTCAAGGGTTGCCGTGGAGTGTCCACGGGTCCCTAAGCTAGTGGCACTCATCTTGAGAAAATGCCTTCGGAGGGCTCGAAAATGCCTTCGGAGGGCTGGACGCCAATTGACGCCATTTGGACGCCAATTGACGCCATTTGGACGCCAATTCCCGCAATTGTTTTGGGGCCGGGTTTTCGCACTTCCACGAATCTGCTCTCGAATTGCTCTAGAAAAGCGCACTAACTGGGCCCGACACCTTCGCGGGAGCCACCAAAGCCGTGCTTAATCTTGCCCTGCTGGACGGATTACGGACTCTTTGGCGTGGTATATTGCTGGGCTCCCATGAAGAATGGCCCGTGCACTTGGGGTCCCATAGCCTGATCTAGGGTCTATACTATGGGGTCCCATAGCCTGATCTGATTCGACAGAACCCGATCGAGTCCTATACCAGTGTTCCAGGTTTCGGGGCTTAAGGTTTGGATTGTGCTACATACGGGCCCTGTTTGATGTAAGGTTCTCGGTTCACATGCAACAGCAACTTTGAATCAAGCCATGGGACAGTGTCCAAAAACACTGTAATTGGTGCACGACACCTATTGCATCTGGCCTCTGCGGTTCCGAGCACTGCACGCTTGCATGTGACCTGTGATCTCATAGAACAGTAACAGAACCTCGTGTTACTTAATTTAAGTACAGTGTAGCATCCTCTCACTAGTCTACTGCATCCCCTATAGAAACACAGCATAACTCTGAATACGTGGACCCCGGAACACCCTAGCCTTGCACCATCAGAGAAAATGGTATTTGGGAATGAGTTTCTTGAACTCGGGCGGAACAGTTACTGCTCTAGCCGTACGAAGATACAAAATGATTTCCTCAATCTCAGCTTCTTCCCACCGATTCTCCCAGCTCAGGCTTTCGAAGAGTTCAGGAAGGGGTGTGGTGGCGATCGGACCATCCTCGTCGACCTGCCAAAGGTCAGTAGCAAGGCTGCCTCCTATACTTCCGCGGGGTCGTAAATCTATATAGTTTAAGGACTGGCAGGGGATGGGCTTGGGTTAGCTATATGTAGCAAAAGCGACTGGGCCTGAATCAGACACCGTGCTAAACAGGTCTATATTTAACCGATACCTAGACAACTCGGTTTCTCGTGGTATACAATTAAATTATATAGGGGTCCGGACAAAAATATGTTGGATCATAAATGCTCCCGGAATCTTTGTTGGGTCGTACATATAATATATATATAATATAATATAATATAATATAATATAATATAATATAATATATATATATATATATATATATATATATATATATATATATATATATATTATAGTATTATATAGATCCAAAAATACAAAGATTCCGGGAGCATTTATGATCCAGCATATGTTTGTCCGGGAGCAATAAGCTCTCATTCAACATATAGATTATATGTATGTTCCTCGAATTTACATAGGTTCGGACTAAGAGTGGTAGACTGCTATTTCCTATTCTAGGCTCAGCCCAATTCAGGAGAAAGAGAAGCCGTGGTGTGCAGGTTGGAAGCCAGGTAAGTCTGGGGTTTCCAATGGACACCGAATACCATACATATATGATTTACATATCTATAGTCTGAATGAATGAATATACTATAGACTAGTATATATGTGTACAGCATATACGTTTTTGATCAGAGCTGTTTATGCATGATATATATATATATATATATATATATATATAATATTGTTTATACAATCATTCAAAATCAGTATATCCGATATAAAGGTTCTATATTACATATATAATATTTTATGTATTACATATTTTAAATATATATTATCTATGAACACTCACCCGCTACCTGCAAGATCTCTAGGATTCGGCGCTGCGGGTCTGAGGGCATTATTGGGAGCAAATCTAAGAGCCCTGCCGCTGACTTGCATTGTGGGTGTATTCTAGACTTATAACACACACAACTTGGAAGCCTTAAGCTGGCTAGCTACAGGAGGCCCATGCAGAAGCCAACTTCGAGCTAAACTATGATGCAATTATATACAAATGCAGATCGAGGACTCGGGCCAGGCTATTCTTCTAAACAGGGAACCCGAATAACCCGTATTAGGTTTCATAGGGATCGATATTAATATATATATATATATATATATATATATATTATATAAATTAATTATAATAGTATATGTATAATATAGAGAAACAAGTTCTGGAAACCGAGCTACTACAGGATACCCTTTTCCTATAAGAGTCTTCTAGCACAGGGCACACCAGAGCGAGCCACGACCCCACGAAGCCCTGGAAAAGCAAATCAGTGAAGCCTCGATTTCAGGAAGTCCCATTTGCCGGCATGGCTCGACGAGCTCCACCATCCTCCGTGCGAAGGCAGCGGGGTAGATCCTTAAGTTCAAGAAGAAGCACACTGTAGGTCAGCTCGACGAATCATATGAGGGACAGCCTTATGTTTATGTGCTTGAACCAAGCAGCCCAGTTTTCCTCAGATCTTTCGTGCCGTGAAACTTCTTGACACCACGAGAATCGACATATTTCCGAGAAGTCTTGTAGCTCCCCTTCTTCAGCTCCCCAACCAACTGGCCCAGATTGAAGCACCGAATGAGGGATGAGGTGGACCACAGTATCGATCGTTTAGGATTTGCGTGCCCCCAATGTTTCATCCAGAATCGCTGGACAAAAACCTCGGATTACACAGCATGTTCAGGGTACACCGGGGCTAGTGTGCACATATACTATAATAACTCACTTGTATTCTCTTAGAATAAGGAGCTCGCACATTGCCTTTCATGAGTGCCTTTAGCAGCCACTGAAACCGTGGATAGTGCCCGATGACTCAGGTGCCGGGGTTCTCCAGAAAGATATTGTGCCCCAGGCACACCAGGAGAGCACATATCAGCATGGCCCTGCATACTTTTTCAGTACGGAGCACTTCAGAAAAAATAAGTTATTCAGTTGTCTACACATCATACATGCATCGCCGAAACCACATACTGACATGCATGCCCCAGCCTGCCTGGAAGTTGCCATGTTGGCTTCTTCCACACTTAGTTTAGTAGTGTCACCCATCGGATTCAGCTCGTCGCGCTTGGATGAGCCCTTGTTGATCGAAACAAAGGTTGAGCATTCAATGCCCAGCACAGCTATGGCCCCCAGTGGAGATCCTGCCAAAGCCATTAGAATAGCCAGCCTGAGTGTCCCAGCTGTTCTGCATGCAGGTCTTTAATCCTGGCGTGTCGGACACGATGTGCACAATATGCTGCTGAGGTGCGCAAAGCCCGCATTGGTATTCAGATGCAGGGCTGATCGGTTGTCAGGGGCGGGGTCGTACACCTGATCAGCCGCTATGCCTCTGTAGCCACATGCATGCGACATGCGTGTTATTCTCGCTCGCCCGGCAAAGAGCTCGATCGTATCGAAGGGGACCGTGCTGAAGAGAGGCTTCGGGTCCATCCAATAGACCAGCATGACAGCCGCGATGAAGCCCTGAGCTATGATTATGTAGCATGCGTGCACACATGCTATGCGGAGTGAACTCATGTGCATGCATGCATGCTACACCATTCATCGATCTGAGTAGCTTTTGGCGCACCAATAAAAGCCAGCTTTCGCACGATGGGGTCCAGGTCTACTTGTTCCATCACAGAACTGATGCTGAATGCAAAGGTTCCCCGGCCAAACCGCTAGTATCCTCGAGCCTATAAAACTGAAGTCACCATGCACAAGTTCACTGTGTGTCAGCGTGTTCGCTGTCTGCATGATAATGAACCAATCCGAAAAAGCTCAGCAAGCTTCAAGCGTGCATACACACTGCCTGCATCTGAAGAAGTTGGCAGGGCGCCAACTCGTGCCAGAAAGGCCTGTCCTCGCTTCATCTCCGAGCCTCGGCGAAAGATAGGTTACACGAGAGAACATAGAAAACAATATAGTGATATATTGCGTCTGCATAGAACCAGCAGAGAGACATGCAGGCATTGCAGGAATGCTAGATTTTGCCGGTGTCAGCGAGCATTGCACGGTAGTCCCCCAGATCCGCAAAAGGATGCCCTAAAATTAAATCGTGGTTGCATGTGAAATGGAACATGCAGTCGCACTCGCACACAGCCCCCGACCACCACGGTCTAAGATGGTGCAGGATCATGGCTATCATGTGCGCATCGCAAAACTGCTAAGCAAAAGCATGCCGAGCATGCTGATCACTCCCCGTTCACAGGATTGGCAGCGAGAAAGTCCTGGGCTGCCTTGGCCGCGATCTTCGTGTAATCGCTTCGCCCCTTGAACTGCGGCTTGACAGTCATCCAGAACTCATCCTCGGAGCACCGGGTGTTACACAATAAGGTTTGGGGGTTAGGGTGGAGTTCTCTTTAGAGTTTCAGGTCTTTATAACAGGGCTTTATAGCTATATAATATAATAGCTAAAGGGTACACATTTTACTTTAAACTCACTGGCAGTTTGTCCTGCTTAGCGGAACCATATAGTGCTCTTGCAGCTTGTCCAAATAAGCATCGCGAATGGCTGTCCACTTGTTCAAGGTATCCTCGCTGCCGTTGACTGGCTTTGCTCGTCTGGCAAAACTCTTGTCATCATCCGAAAGTCGCCGCCTCTTGTTGCCCGGGTCCGAGGGCTCAGCCGTCTCCTTAAGAGCCTTAGTTGCCTTGGGCTTGCTTGCTGCCTTGGGCTTGCTTGCTGCCTTGGGTTTGCTTGCTGCCTTGGGCTTGCTTGCTGCCTTGGGTTTGCTTGCTGCCTTGGGCTTGCTTGCTGCCTTCGGTTTGCTGGCTGCCTTCGGCTTCTTGTTGCTGCTCTCCTGCTTTGTTGTCTTCTTGTTCGGATCGGCGTGCTTGGGAGGGGTTGTAAGCTTGCTGTTCTCACCCTTCTTCGGCTTCTTTGTTTTGGATTTCGGCACTGGGGTTTCTGGAGCGTCACCCTCAACTTCACCCGGATCTTCACGCTCAGCCTCAGCTTCAACAATCGGCTTCGCTGCGCCCTTTCGACCCCCTCGTCCCCTACCACGGCCACCACGACGCCCCGGCCACCACGGCTCCGGCCATCGGCCGGAGCACCATCAGCAGCAGCTTTCGCTTGGGCAAATCGACATGGGTCGCCCTGCCAGGATTAGATATATGCAATATGCAATGGTAATATATAGCAACAAATTTGCAGCATGGGGATGCAAACTCGACAACCTTATGGTGAACTATAGGTGTGTTATGCAGAACTTGCCTGGTACTGGGAAACATCGAAGTCATCCAAGGCTGCATCGGGCTTCACCTCCTTGGCGTCAGCGGCATCAGCTGCCTGGGCTGACTTGGCTAAGTTGGGTTCGGTGGGGCCCACCACAGCGGCGCTTGCATCCTTCATCTCAGCATCTTTCTCCTCAGTGGCATTGGGCAAGGCATGGGGGCTGTAAGCACGGGTCGCCCGACCATCATCATCATCCTCATCGTCACTGATGACCGCCACTTCTCCCAGCATCAACTGTTTGTTCATGCCGGGCAAGTCCATGATATCAGACGGCACTGTGTCCACGTTCGATGGATCTTAGCAAGCAGATCATGCAAGCTAGTGCATACACATGTAAAAACCAATCGTGCAGCACTAATATATGCGAGCACCTGCCATCTATGATTGGAGCGAGACACCGGCTGATGCCCGCAGTGACCGTGTCCGGCGTCGCTCAGCCAAGGAGTTCCTGAGCAGTAGAGTTGGAAAGCCAGTTAGGATTTTGGCCAAATGTACATACGAGAAGATACAACATATAATGTATAAGGATCAACAGTTTGATAAAGTATGCTTAGACTCCGAAGCCTTTCAAGCTGTTGATGAACTGCAGATAGCTGTGCATCAACATTCTCCCCTGAGCCTTCTTCGTGCGTGGCTAGCCCTCCTGAACTGCTTGGCTCTCCTGCACCCAGAACATACCCTTCCGAGGCCTCGTGCGTGGCTAGCCCTTCTGAACTGCTCAGCTCACCTTCAGCTAGAATCTCACCATCCAAGCCATCCTCTATAACCCCATGCGAGGCTTCCTCGTGGGTGGCGAGCTCTCCTGAACTGCTCGGCTCATCTGCTGCTTCGGCCACTACAGCACCTGCGCCGGCGTCTGCGCCTCCTGCCTCAAAGTAGTCATCTACAGCAGCATCGGCATGAGCAGCAGCGGCATCACCATCATCGTCATCATCATCAGGGGGGTCTTCGCCCCAGTGATTTGTCATGATGTCGAAGAGCACGTGGAGGGCTTGGTCCTGAGGCCGCAGGTATATTGTTTTATTGTTGCAAGGTTGGGGTTCATAACATCAACCGAGCTTCTCTGAGTCTTGCAATAGGTGCTTTCCAACGGCGAATAGCAAGGGACGACAGTCGTTTAATGCCCCAGGCATCGGTATAGATGCCAACAGCACGAAAGTCGACTCCCGGTACCATCAGCTTGTGAAGATGAAAAACCTGCAGGGTTTAACAACACATCATCGATCATATACACCCCGTATCCATGAGATCAAACGTGTTATACCTTTGCATTGCATACCCTATAAGGCCTCTTGCTTCAGCCAATCGATAACCATCGCTTGCGGGAAGGCGGTGCTCTCGCACCAGATGTCTAGTGCATGCAGTACCACGTGGACGTTGAGGGATAGGGCTTTCATGGTTGCTGAACCGACGAGCTCCGGGCTTGGCCACACCAGGAGCTGGTTTTTGTTTTCACGGAAAAGCACCCTGATATTGTTGTCCGATTCCAAAGCCTTCGCGAGGGCATGCTTCGGAGGCCAGGAGTTCTGGCCTGTACGACGAACCCGGAGTGGTGGGCCCGCAGCAGCTGCAGCCATCCCGCACGATCCCGGCAAGCGACTTCTAGATACACCTGTGATCCCCAGCTTGCGTAATATGTATAATACAAATCAGTACAGCGGGTGCAAAACCTATCCAGCGCCCAATCTCAGCACCAAGCTGAAAGGAGCTCTCGTGTTGGAGAAAGCAACTCCTGCATGCCAGAATGACCAGTGCAGGTATAAAAACAAATCCGTGCTGGAACCCGTCCTGAGGTAACGAAGAACGCCAGCCCTCCACAGGCCGACCTGGAATTGCAATGGCATGGGGACGATAAAATCTTGATCTATTTATTTGACCAGCGGCTTCGGCGGAACTAAGCTCATAGCCACTGCAAAACCGTTGTGCAAAAGAGCTTGAAGACACCCCACAGCAGCCAGCTCCTATCATCATATGCGAGCAAAGCAAGCCAGCATAATCTCAACTCAGGCTCCTCCAGCCTGGCTTCGCTGCTCTATGGCGACCTGCTCAAGGCCGGAACCGATACACTAGCATGTATACATAATTCTGTGACCTGGCCTTCAGGGAAACATATCATCGGTCCATCACCTGCGCCAGCACATTCTAAAGGTCGGTCACTACAGCTGTTGTATGGTGGCACCACAAACTTGCCGTCACAACTTTTCACTGCCCCGTTAATGTGTTCCGACGTACAGCAGCACAGAGCAGGGTCCGCCACTCGCCAGTCTGTAAAACTTGCCAACTGCTCGTATCCCTGCCAAACCCCGGATCAAAGGTATGATCGTGACACTGCTTCATGTGCCCTTCACTCGGCAGGTGGCAACTTCACATCGAATGCTGCAGCTGCGACGCCTGCAGAGATTCCGGAAAAAGTCAGCACCAGGGGAGGAACATGAAGTTACAATCCCAGAGTTGACCCATGGTGCACGGCCTTCACCCTGACTGAACAAGTCCACAAAGTGCTTGCAGATTCCGTCGTACTTTATGTTTTGCACGATCTCTGATAACAATGTGTCCGGACCGGGCATATCCTGCAAAGGCATCAAGACGAGACATATATGTAAAGACGAAATTTGTGTTGACAACATGAAAAGTCCGATCCTGAGGGTCGGCATAAAGGGCTGAGGCAGAGCTGTTCCAAAAGGCGTCCGGAAGTCGAAGCAATCCTCCAGGGAAACTATATCTATATAATAGGAATTCCAGCAAAGCACACAGGTTTATGATAGAACCCTCGATCGTCCTTCCCTGTGGGCAATGCTCAGTCCCTTCGAGGAGCATCTAGCCAACACGCTGGCAGCCATGAGCTATATGTGATCTATTCACAAGCAAAGCCCCACGGGAAAGTTCGATCAACAAAGCCTGCAGCACAGTGCGACAGGTCATGCTTCAAGAGCTGCAGCACACAGCACACAGCACACAGCCAGGCAAGAGGGGGGCGCACCACCGATCGGCCATCAAAAGAGCCCGGCGAGGGCAACTCTTCAAAGCTTACAGCCTGGATTAACCTTTGAGTGCAATGAAAACAACTGCTGTATGGTATTGCTTCAAACAAGATGTCCGTCGAATCGAGCATGGACAGATGTCACAGATGAGTTATACTCAGCAGTATACCAGCTATCCACCAAAAAGGCAAGAACATATACTTGCATCGAAGCCTACAATACCAGTGTATGGAGCGGCATATATAGCACATTAGGATCTATGTTTTATGTTTTACCGAGATATTCTATATATACTATATGATGGATATTGACGTTTTGGAGTAATTTGAGCATCAGTAGTGTCAGCATCATGGGGGGCTCTCAAGGAGCCACGTTCAGATCTTAAGCCAATTGGCCAGGCAGGATGCACTCACACACACCGATACATAGTGTTCATAGCTCGCCTACATTCACCGAAGCAACAATCAAAAAGAGCAATCGTGAGCCAAAAACAGCAACCAAAGCCAAGAAACGTAACATTACATTTTTTCCGGCTTATATTGGTAAAACAATTAATAGCGAAACCACCGGTAATTCTGCATACCTAAGGTTGTCTAGGTATGTGTTTATCTATTTATCCATCTATCTGATAATCCAATTGCAACTATCTCTCGCTGTAGACATCCTATGCCAGCATAGATCCCCAAGCAGACTACGACGAGCAGGGCCATCGCGACGACCGGGACCACCATGACCACCACGCGAGTCTCGATTGTGATTGCGCATAGTGTTATTCGCTTATACATACATACATACATGCATCCACTCATCCCTCAGTCCGTCCATCCATCCATCCATCCACCCATTACATGCAGACGTTACTGTAGATTATTTAGGTGCAGAGTTGGCAAATTGTCCCGTTGCTATGCCGTCACCCTTTTGGCATCCCATCGCCGTGCTTGGGCATTCCTGCGTCCACACCGAACCCCGAGAACCAAAAAGAGCTTCATCCCTCGAGACACCCGAAAGCATTTTCTAAATCCTAAAGCCTCAATAACCCCCAAACCCCTAAACCCTAAACCCCTAAACCCAAAACCCTAAACCCTAAACCGCCCCCAAAGCCATAAATCCTAAACGCTCAAGCAGTCGAAAGGTCCAGATCCGAACCCCAAAGCAGCTTGTCTGAAGCCCGCAAGCCCGTGAGAAATGTATTTTTAGTAACTCCCATGGTCCTATAATGTCCCTTCAAGGACCCCATTCCAAGTATGACTTGCCCTGTTCTGGCGCTGCCTTCTGTGGCTGAGCTGTTTGCAGAAGGGTCATTGGCCCACAACGAACGATCAGGCGCGGCTCTTCAGTTTATGTCTTTACGCAATGGTAACAGCACTTCTAGCAACCTGTTTAGTTATGATAGCTGTCATAAGAACCATAACCCAGTGAGTCTGCGGCGGCCGTCAGGTAGCTCAGGCATGTCTCCTGTTGGTAGCTGAGTAGGTAAGCTTTAACCCACAATAGTGCGCATCTCATTTCAACCCTAAACCCTAAACCCTAAACCCCGAAACCCCTAAACCCCTAAACCCTAAACCTTGAGTTCCCTTAGGCTGCTGGGTGTTTCGATCGAGGCCTTCGGCACCCACTTGGGAAGTTCATGGGTAGATATACGCAGGTTACAACACCTCAAATTCTACAATAGTGGCCTAATACTTACCTATACTATTTTCGGGGTTCCTTGGTATAAGTACATGATATTGGGCCCCCCAAGCCCTATTCTAATTACTAAGGCCCCTACAATTGGTGGGGTTATGCGGTTGCTGTATTATTACTGTCCGTGAGTACACGTTTGGATTATTTTCAGCCAGTCTTTTGCGGAATGCTCGGAAGAAATCTTGTAGTTTGGTTTTGGGGCTGCAGGGCTTTAAGGTTTGCAGCGTCTTGGAGTTCAGGGTTCCGAATCTAGCTGTTCTGAGGTTTAAAGGGAACTCCAGAAAGTTGGAATATGGATTAATGGTAGGATCCCCTATAATCTACCTTCAAGGGGTTACGATAATGATATTCCAACTTTCTGGCTTCTACTGTAGAGGTTTATTAAAGGTTTACACGATTCGGCGCTTTTCGTCGCCCGCTCAGTAAACCTGTGGCCCTTTGAGCCCTGAATCCTGAATCTGAACCTTTCAAAAGGGTTTAGGGTTTAGGGTTTTAGATTTGAACCTCTTGGTGAACATCTTCCCTACAGTACAGGAGGTGCTCCAAAACGAGGGAGTGTAAGACCGTTTGCTTGAGACAAGGTAGTCACTTTTCCTTAAGGCTACAAACTGCGCGCATTGTATCTATTGTAGGCTGAGCAATCCTTAGCCTTGTAACCTTAACATGCCTTAACCCTCTACACTTAACCCCGAAACCCTTCACCCTGAGCTGTGAACCCCAAACTTCCTAAACCCCAAACCCCTGAACCCTCTATAGACCCCTGTAAAGTTTAAAGGTACCTCTATAGATGCCTTTAAAGGAACCCTCTATAGCATAGATTCCTTCAAAGGCACCTTCAAAGGCACCCTAAAGTTCCTAAGCCCTACAATCTACAACTCTAACACGGCTGCGAGGCTTTTGTTACCCAGAGACACGATGACGCTGCTGACTGGGCTCTTTCGCAGTCAAGGCACCAAAAACATCTCGGTCTTTGTGGTAAAGGGCTTGAAACCTCAAGCGCTTGAGAGTGTTACTGTCCCAGCAGCAGTGTAGGGCAACTTTTGGGCCCAGATACCTGCCACGAGCCTACGATAAAGGTACCTGAATCCAAAGGAGGTTGATGACGTGCAGTTTAAGGTTTTGATAGGTTGAGGATGTCACAACCCGCGATTTTGCAGCATTGCGCAGAGTCAAGTTTCGAAACGGCTCTCGAAAGGTTTAAACGGTTTTCTTCTCGGAGGCATTCGCACTTGTGGCTTCTATGGCATAAGGAGTTTCTAATCCCTGGATGGACCCTAGACAATGTCGTGGTCTTCACCATATGTGGACCATATGGACCGCTCAAACCAGAGATCCACGTGTTTGGGAAAGCACCGTTTGGGTAGAAGGATGAATCTTTAAGGCCGTACATTTTTGTTCGTAGATGCCTGGGAGTTTCCCCGTATCAGCTTCCGTCGTCTGCGTCGAGGTTCAAGATGAGTGCAGCTATGAGGGTGTAGGGTTCAGGGTATAGAACCCGACGGGTCCATATACCCATATTGAATACTTTGGCCTTAAAGTACTCCCTATATAGGTACATTGGGGCCAAAGTATATACATACTATTTGGGTACATGGACCCTTGCAGACCCCAGAATCCTGAGGATTCTTTCAGGCAACCTGTCGAATAGGGAGCCTGTAACCCACAACCCTAAACTCTAAAGCCTTGAACCCCATATAGACGTTGGGTCACTTAGAAATATTTTTTAATTTTTTGGTTATTATAATCCTTAAGAAACAGCTAGAATTACAATTTTTGCTAGGGTTCTAAGTTCAGTATAGTAGATCTGAAGACCTTTTAAGGTGACTTGATTAAGGGATCAGGATCCCTTATGCCTAAGCCCAAAATCTTAAACCCAAAACCCTAAGCCCAAAACCTTAAACCAAAGCCCGAAACCCTAAACCTTGCACCCAAAACCCAAGACTTTAATCCCAAATCCCAAAACCTTAAACCCTAAACCCAAAACCCAAGACCTTCAACCGCAAACCCAAACCCTAAACCTCCAACCTTAAACCCAAGTCCCTAAACCTCAAACATCCTGAAACCCTAGACCTTAAACCCACACACACACATATATATATATATATATATATATATATATATGGGTGGTTCTCAAAATTATGGTCCCTTTTGGGTACCTGAATAATACGGCACCCGTACCCCACAAGGGACCCTAATTTTGACAGCCACTCATATACAAAAAACAAACTGAACCCCTAAGCCCGAAACCCTAAACCCTGACCCCTCAACCCTAAGCCCTAAACCCTTAACCTTGAACCCTAAACCCTAAACCCCACTGGAGGGGGACCGCTTCTACCAAGGGCTACGCAAGAGGAGATTGTGGAGTACATGCGACACCTGGAACCAGGGAGACAGATGCTAATGACCGTGGGATTTGTGCACTTGCTCAGGTTCCTCATGGTTGAAGTTTCGGAGGCATGCCACATGGCCAGTGTCCTCAACAACGAACCCGAGGACCTGGAGGAAACAGCAGACACGGTTGATGTGGAGGTGGATGGCAGTAGTCTGGTGCAAACGAGGCTGGAACTAGACAAGCTGGACAGATGGCATCGATTGCTTACGACTCTGCAAAAGGAACTGGCAGGACAAAGCAAGAGCAGGCGCCGGTCACATGTGCACCAGCTTCGGGCCAGGTTGTATCACATCGTCAACACTGACGCCTGGACAGCAGAGGAGGACCAGTTCTTCGCTTTGCTCATTGGCATGAGCGAGAGCGAGACGACCCAGCCTGTAGATGTGGACCAAATGTGGATCGACAGATGGGGAAGTGAGCTGGCAGCCTTCATGCCAGGTATGGATACTCCCATACAAATCGTACAGGCAGGGACCATCATGGTTGAGGAAAGCCAAGACCCCACCGGAGGCAACACTTCGCAGGCGGACATCGATGCCCATGTCGCGGACGAACACTATGAACGAGACCTACGTGAACAAGAACAACTCGAGGCGGAAAAGGAGGTGGCAGCGATTCAGCAATATGAAGAGGATATGCTCCGGCGCCAAGCTGCAGCTTATCAGGCTTGGGAAGACTGGGAAATCCAAGCAGCCCAAACCATGGCGAGTGGACGCCAGCCTGCTCCTAGGCGGAAAAGGTGCATCTTGGAAGTGGAGGTTGCCTCAGGGTCCGCCGAAGTGCCACGGATTCGGCGCCGACAGGTCTACGTGGTCCCTGAAGAAGGACAAATCTCCCTGTCGGTGAAGGCCTCTATGGTGGACGACATCCCGGACTCGGACGCCTCCACGATCGTGTTGCAACCACCAGAAGAGGAAGGGACCACGGTGATGCAGGAACTTGACTTTGATGAGTTCATGCGCAAGTATTGCGAGTGGAAGGAGGGCATCATCACCGCTGAGTATGTCCAGCAAACCTATGGCAAAGTGGTCCTGGATATGATGGAGGCACAATATGCGGCACAGGTCCTTGAAGATTGTGAAGTCGAGGGGCGCGGACATCTCAACAGTGCAGGGTCAGGAGCTACAGGGTTGGACTCTCCTGGGCATCAAGCAGGGCATGAAGGAGGGGTACTACCAGCAGGACAGACGACTGACACGGCCATGGACAGTTTGGAGATGTCTGCTGAACCGCCGACGACTACCACTTGGACAGTCCCGCTGCAGCCTGGGGGTCAGGGCCGTGTTGTGGACAGTTACGAGGGGACTCACGAGGGCATCCAGGAGGACAGCAGCTACCAGGGTCACTGAGGATTTGTCAGGGTTTTCTTAAGCGTCTCGTCTGAACTAGACGTTCCGGACCTTCGGGCAGTCGGAAAAAGGCGTTCAAAAAAAAAAAAAACCCTAAACCCCAAAGCCTCAGAGGCCGCACGCTGGTGGTCGTCTCCTCTCAAGATGCGACGGCCACGGAGCAGGCCGAGGCCGGAGTCGAAGAAAGGGCGCCTTTAAAGGGATTCTTGAGGGGATGGTATCGGGGTTCCTTTAAAGGGATCCCTTTAAAGGGATCCCATAGTCTCCTTAGGAATTATTTTTCATGTTTGTTGATATAGAACCCAAGAGAATATTAAACATACTAGTTGTTTATATCATGGTTCTAAGAGGTGTATAGGATCTAGAAGGGTTCCTTGGAGGGATCTGGGGGGTTTAGGGATTAGGGGCTTGAGAGCTTTAAGGCTTTCGGGGTTTAGAGCTCTGGGAGTTTTAGGGTTTTGGTGTTTTAGGATTGTGGGGTCGTGTTTGGGGGTTTTGGTGATTTGCCTTGGGGTTTTCCGACTTTTCGGTGCTTTGAGGCTGTAAGGCTCGGGTTTTGTTTGGGTTCAGGGCTTTAGGGTTGTGGGGGTTCTACGTCAGAAGGGGCCCCCACCCTGTAATAGTGGTATAATAGGAATATAACAGGGCCCTGCTATAATCCTTATAGTCACTATTACAGGGTGAGGGCAGCTTCTAAGCTCTACGGTTTTAGGGTTTGGGGACCTGCCGTTGGGGTTTCACCTGCAGATATCCCTGAATCACTTAATATAGGGAACATACAGTAGTGCCCTAAAAATTTCAAGGTGACCTATTAGGGTTTTGGGGTTAGGGTTTACTTGGTCGTGTGAGGGTTTTGGTTTTGCAGACTCGGATGGGTTGTAGACAGGCGGGGCGGTCGTCACGTGTTTGTTTGGGGGTGTCAAGGCTTTTCGGGGTATCTTCTGCGATAGTTGGGCCCTAAATCCTAAGCCATGAAGGATCTTATGAAGTGGCGGGGTGTAGGGTGCATGCTTCTGGCTTAAGATACTATAGGGACCTTAATCATTACCTATACTATTTTGGGGGTCAGGATTCGAGCTTGGCATGGCCCTCCGGATTCGTAAGCCGTCGAACTTGAGGCTTTCAACTCTTCACATCCATACAGATTGCCCTAAACCCCTAAACCGTCACCCCTGTCCCCTCAACGCTCTGGGACCGTCCATCAGGCCCTGGTTTTTTCAAGAATATCACACTCCACAGGCTTTATCCGGAGCCCAAGTCCCGTAAATTAAGCCGCGCCAATACCCTCATGTGGTACGGGGCATATTTCCTCTTGGGTCCACGGGGATTTTCTTTGCAAGATTTCACAGGAGGTTACGGGCCAACCTGGTTCCCAAGCCTTTCGGAAGCTTGACTCATAGAAACCCTAAGTCCGAAATGGCCCTGAACCTAAACCCTAAGGCCCGAAAGAGCCCCCAACCCTAAACCAGCTCTCGGGCATCCGCCTTCAGGCCTACCTTCGCTGTCTTCCACTAGGCTGGCGACTTGATCATCTGGCCTCTTGGGGTTGTAGGGTTTTGGGTGGGGCTATAGTTGGTTTTTGGTGGGTCATGTACCGAGACATGTGTAGTTAAGGGGTGTCGGGTTCGGGGATCCATTGTTGACGGTTCAGAAGGGCCAGAACTGTGTTCCAGGATTTGTACAGCTACGTAAAGGATCTTGGATGTGCCTGGCTTATGATGATCTTTGGGATTCAGGTGCTGATGGTCAAGTCTTGTCAGGCTTAGTTTTGCGGGTTTTCTTTGGCTTGAGGCCGTGAGAGCACGTGGCTGCGTCGCGGGGTTCTGAATAAGGAGCATCGTCTCAGTTCGCATACGTATGTTGGAAAATCATACCATCCAGTTCTAGATCGTCAACACTAGACACTGTGTGTACCTCGTTGATTTGTCCCCTGGCGTCAACCGCAGCAATCCCAGAGACTCAAAATCCGTTACATACAGAAATTCCCCATATCCTAGGTTTAACTTAACAATTTAAAGCTTTATAAACCCTAAAGCAGGAGCCCCCCACCATCGAATCTGATTCGACACGAAGCCCTACACCCTCAATCCCAGCTGCAGGACATTGGCGTCTCAGAGTCCTGTCGTTTCAGTGCGTTCATGCCTTTGCTCAGGGGACTCAGGGCGGTAGGGTTTAGGGTTCAGTGGGGTTAGGGCCCCGGTCTTTCTGCTTTGCCGGCCGTGCCCGGTAAGTGTTTGTGATGAGTGAGGGTGTAGATTTTTCTACAATTCAGGGTACTCGCCGCAATGCAAGCCCAACCTTGAAACCTAAAGCCCTAACCCACTTTTCTAAGTTTCCCTAAACCCTATACCTTTCGAAAACACTAGCCCCTAAACCGCTAAATTTTCCCTATCCCCAAACCCCTCAACCTCTCGATCACCCGGTCTACATTGGCTCAACAGGCAGCAGCCAAGTAGTTCGACTTCGTGAAGAGAGAAGGTGTGGGGCTTTGGGTTGCTTGGAGATCCAGAACTCTCTACCAGTTAGACGTATGAGGCAGAGTCCACCTTCTACGACCGAACCCCATACCCCTGCAAGTTTGAGGGTTTAAGGGGGTGCCTGTAGGAACTCCGTATATGATGGGTCCAAGGGGGCCTCATCCTCTGCAGCGTAGGGCACAGTTTCTGGCGACCCTCAACCGGCTCTTTTCTACAGCTGCAGGAGCGTGCATCTCTGAGTTTGTACAGCCTTCCTCGGCCTTTTCAGCTCTGCGAAGCAGAGCCCAGCGCTCATGGAAGTGGAGGCTGCGGAGGGTGTTGGGTTTTTGTGCGAATGAGTTGATACGACCTGTCTTATAAAGGGATTCGCAAGGGCTGGCTAGGGTTTTGTGGGCTTTAATTGGGGCCTAGCTGTTGTGTTTAGTTTACTAAACCCCCCGTATCATTCCGGCTCAGAGTTCGGAAATTGTTTGTTTAAGGTTTCGGGGCCTGGGGTATGTTGAGTTTGGGAAGGGTTGGGGCTTAAGGCTTGAGGGATTTCGGATGTTTGCTCTGGGTTTTACGCTAGGCTATAGGCCTCTGAATCCCAATGTGGAGGGTACCTGCATCGAGTCGCCAAGCAAGAACGTTGCAGCTGACTCTGCAAGCTTTACAGTAGAAGCCAGAAAGTTGGAATATGATTATCGTAACCCCTTTTAAGGTAAATAATGGGGGATCCTACCATTAATCCATATTCCAACTTTCTGGAGTTCCCTTTAATACGCTTTCCAGGCTCAAGGAATGGAATCAGGTGGGCTGATGGAATCGACTGAACCTACCGAGACAGAGTGATGTAAGCGTCCGAGACATTCACTTCATAAGACTATTCCCTTATACAGTCCTTCCAAAATCCCTTGATCAAGGAATGTACCTCAGATCATATCCGGGATCCTACCATGATCTTGGGTACATTCCTTAATTACAGGATTTTTGAAAGTCGTGTCTTGGTAGCCCCCATGCTGATGGTGCGGGAAGATGCACCCCACAAAGGCCTACAGTCTCATAGCTAAGGGCCCAATGTAAGGATCCATGTGGGTGCTTGTCAAAATTAAGGTGCCGTTTTGGGTGCCCTAAATATTGGGTGCTGTATCATAATAGGGACCCAAAAAGGGACCATAATGTTGACAACTGCCCATGTAGCCAGCTAGTATATGGGAGTTCCGAAAATAGGGGTACCTTATTTGGGGGTCCCTATAATAAGAATCCTACTATTTAAGGTACTATATTAGGGTCCCCTATTTTCGGAAACCCCATATACTTTGACCCTAAAGTACCCATAAAGGGGTTAATTTACGGCCAAAGAATAGACTATGTGGGGGCATGAACCCTTAGGGCTACATCAACTAAACCATTCCCGACGCTCAATCGTCGAAGGTGGTCGGGGTTTGAGGTTAAGGCAGGGTTTAGCTGCGGATGTGAAACCACACGCTAAACCCTGAACTTAATCCAGCCCAAGCCCCAACATGTAAGGATCGGGGTCATTTTAGAGTTTGAAGGGCATTTAATTTTGTGTTACGCATTTCTGGCTTAAACAGAGGTTTGAGCGCTCAGAAAGAAGGCCAACTGGAATCCACATTCAGAAAAGTATTTCAAGCTCGCTTCAAATTGTTGAGTCTCTTCGGATTGGAGTGATGTCACATAGGGTTTTGGGTGAAGGGTGACGTCACAGCAGGTGAAGGGCGCAGCCCACTGCAGCTTCGCCAGCTGCCTCTTGTCTGCGATGCAATATAGGGGCATGAATTATTACCACCACTGTTCTGTAGGGTTCCCTCTTGTAAGTATACTATAAGGGGGCTCGAAGCCCAATTCTAATTATTAAGTTAAGGCCCCTACACCGTCCTTTCCCAGAGGCGCCTCTAATGCAGGAGTCGCGAATTGCTATTCTTTAGGTTCCTGAACTTAACAATAGCAGTACGGCCTGAAAGATACTTAGATTGATGAAGCCCGGGTTTGGAAATCAGTGCTTGCTTCATTCAGGTGCGGTGCTCCGCTTTCACTCTGAATCACTTTTCAAAGCTATAAGCCCTGAACCCCTAAACCCCAAAGCACTAAGCCCGCACACCCAAGCCTCGAGCTTCTGAATCCGAATGTGAAGACTGTCATCAAACTTGACAAAGTCCACAATCGTGCCCTAAGCCTCCCTAAGGGTCGTTCGTGGCGTTTTTCGTCTAAAGCCCTTAAGCAGATTTAGCAACCCGACACTTCTCGAAAACTTGAATCCTGAACCATACCGAAAAGCGCAACACTTTGATTGTTCCGTACGACGCCTTCTTTGTACATACATAAATATTATAATTATCATTCACTAAATACAGTATACAAGACCCTGTCAAGTGTTGCAAATAACCACCCAGACGAGTTGTAAATCTGTATAGAACCGTGCATAAAGCCCGTAATCATCCCTGTAAACGGCATGGAAAATTAGAATCCTAAGCCCGAAACATTGGAAATCAACAAACCCAGAAACAAGGCCGTCAGTTGGACTTTCTTCCCTTCAAATGCGACGCCTGCCAAGGGATCTTTTGCCAGGTGCCACAGGGTTGAGTTTAGGGTTTAGGGGTTGTCAGCCTTAGGGCCTAAAGGAGTCGGGCTTCAGTGTACGTTTTCGTTTTCGAGTGGTCTCGTCAAGCTTCATGAGTTTAGAGTCGTAGTTAACCGCAGTACCCGTGTGCCTTTGTGTACTTCGGGGGTGTCTTCAGTAAGAATGACTCTCAAGGGGAACTGTGGTCAAGATGTTCCGACTGAACTTCAGTGGCTGTACCCCAGATGCTTCAAGTCTTAGGTTCAGTAGAAACAGTGAAGGGCCTTTGTGGCAGACCCTCGGATCCAAGGGTTCGTGAAACTTAGATTTCAGGGTTCAGGATTTAAGATTTGAGGTTTAGGGGGAGTTTAGGGTTGGGCTTGAAGATATGGGGTCAGGGTTTAGGATTTCGGCTTTAGTTTGTAAAGGCTCCCAGGTTTTTAGGCTTTGCAGATAGACTGCAGGAATGTGTAAGGGTTTGGGGCATCACGGTGTCAGGCTAAAGGGCTTTACGGGGACACGCAAAGGAATCGGGTTACTGCGGAGATATTGAGGCCTCTCAATCCAAAGCCGGTATTAGTGTGCAAGCTTTCCGTCACCGCCGAGATGTTGTTGGGGATTGAATCCGGGACTGAATGCAACCGCTATGGGTGCTTTAATGCACTTCCCGACGCATTTATCCTAAACTCTATAGTCTGCACGGCTCATCAAAAGGTCTTATAATCCAGTTTCATGAAGAAAATTCGTGTAATCCCAGCGACAGGCCCTTCAAGTTTAAAGAATCTGTGCATGTTGCTTCCTGGTGGTCACGGCGTTTTTGTTGGTTGCCGGGGCCAGGGTTCGAAGTTTGACTCTTATGCTTGAGGGCTTGGGGTACTCCTCAACTCCACACCACAAACCGAGGATTCAGGTTTAGGCTTCAGCGTACTGCGGCCCTCGGTAATCTCAGGATAGTACTTCGTATCGTGCGGTCATGGTGACATCTCAGTCGAGCGAGCTTTCGCGGTGCTTGGGGGGCAACTCAAGATTTGAAGGCCATTCCTATAGACTTTATGGGACACAGGACTCCTGTGCCTCAAACCAACAGCATCTTCGTGTTATGCAGGAGATTTCGTCGGAACCATTGCGTAGAAGTGTGTTGAAGCCCATGCACCAAACACTACATCTTGCCCCCTAAGCCCTTGCGCCCTAAACCCTGGGCCCTTACAGAAGGCCTTACAGAAGCCCTTCAACAAAAGCACAGTATTCGAACACAGAAGCCCTTCAACAAAAGCACAGAATTCGAATACAGACGCCCTTTAACAAAAGCACAGAATTCGAATACAGAAGCCCTTTAACAAAAGCACAGAATGCGAAAGCCAGGAGCCCTTTAGCAAAAGCACAGAATGCGAAAGCCAGGAGCACTTTGCCTATGCCAGCCATAACTGCCAAAGGGCACACAGCAGCTCTGTACAGGCCCGGCCTTGGGGAGGAGTTTAGGCATCAGGGGTTTAGGGTTCTGGGCACTTTTTCAGGAATTTAAGTTTAAGTTACCATAACAAACTTTAAGCAACTCATACTACTTACTCTAGATCCATATTCTGGTAGCCTACTCCTTCACAACAACTTGGTTTTGTACAGGTTTTGCTGGCTATTGTTGTTGGGTTCAGGGCCAGCGTCTCGGGCTTTTGGTTCACCGTCAGGGTTTTAGATCTGGGGTGTAAGGTTTGGGGTGTAGGGTTTAGGGTTTTAGATCTGGGGTTTGGGGTTTCGGGCTTAGGGTTTAGGGTTTTAGATTTGGGGTGTAAGGTTTGGGATGGTTTAGGGTTGTAGATCTGGGGTGTATGGTTTGGGGTTTAGGGTGTAACAGTTTATGCATAGTGACTGTCTTCCTGCTGAAAATTTAGGAGTTGACAGAGATGGGTAGATCCGAATCGAAACGCCAATCTATAAACCCTAAACCCTAAACCCCTAAACCCTAAACCCTAAACCCTATGCTTTAGTTTATTGGGGTTGAGGGTCCCAGTTTAGGTTCAAGGATCAGGGTGAGGATTGCAGGCTTCGAGTTACGAGTTTGGTCGTTATAGTCCGGGTATAGGATTCTTTGACGCCTAGGGTAGTCCGGTAGTGCGCAGAGGTGCCCTGTTGAGATTTGAAGTCCCAGACTTTCGGGAGGATCTGGAAAGTAGATCCCTTAATTTTGGGGCCCTATACTAGTAAGGGCACTTTATAGGAACCCACATTAAGGGATCCACTTTTTTGATCCTCCCGGGTTTCTGGGGTGTGGTTTTAGGGCGCAGGCCAAGGGGAGAGAGGATGCAGGGTGGGCGTGTGGCTGAGCATTGCTGTTGGGAGTTTAATGTAGGAACCTGATGAAGAAACCCTGGGCCTATCACACCAAAAGAGTAGGATTCATATAAGGAACCCGAATAAAGGCCCAAGGTTTCTTAATCAGGTTCCCACATTACTGATGTCATTGTTGTCTAGAGGTGGCATTAGGGAGCAACAGGGATCGGATTTGAGGTTGAGGATAGTCAGCGCAGGATTTCGATAGAGCGTTGCTCCATTCCCTTCAAGCTCTGGCTTCCAAAGTGTCAAGCCCGAAGTCCTTAGCCGCTATGCCGTATATCGGAAAAAAAGAGGCTCGCGGTGTGGTGTTTAGGGCCTGAAGCTTTGCTAGTACTTCCAGACCCAAGCAGTTTTGACGATGCAGATAATTCCTCTCACGGTTACGCTGCCGTAATGAATCTGGAAGACTTCTGAGGCATACTGTGGGGGCCTTCATGAATAGAATATGGTTTTTGGGGTTCCTCATTACAATTATAGAGTATACTATACCCCAAATCTCATTCTAATTATTAGGGCCCCTACATTAAACTCCCCATAATATCCCTTATAGTAACCCCTTGTAGGACCCTTTTAAAGGGAACCCTATTCTAATTCTTAAGGCCCCTAGAGAAGCCAAGCTATGAAGCCTGAGCTTGAGTCCTAAGCCCCTTAAGCCGTTTCAGCCCGCAGCTCTACACGGCCCACTAAACTCACTAAACCCTAGGCCCTAGATCTTATAGATTCTTCACTAAAGTGTTTGTTTATAGCATCATAATAAAGGATATACCTGAAAGTTATTACGCATTTTGAAACCGCCACTGAACTTGAAACCCTAAATCCCAAACCCCCTATACTCTAAACCCTATAAGCCCTAGAAATTCCTAAACCCCAAACCGCCCCAGGTCCTCATATGCCCCATGTGCGACTGCACAGTGCGCATGCGGGCTGACGAGGACTGGGAGCTGTCTTCGGCTTTCCTCCTTTCAAAGGGGAAAAGGAGGGACCCTTAATTAATGGGGACCCCTACCCTATAATGGGCTATATAACGGGTATATAATAGCTATATTAAGGGTATATGGGTCCCTCCTTTTACCCTTGGATCCTTTGAAGCCCCAAACTCTCCGCAAGCGACACCCCTGAACCAGGTGAGCAGCAAAAGCTATTAGCCGCGGGTCTGGTGGCAGCTCTTCAATTAGGGCTTTTGGGGCTTTGGGGTGTTAACTTGAGAATTGCTCGAGCTCTTTAGCAGCTTTGAGAAACTCGATGTACCCCTTGTTATGTAGACGACGCTTAGTCGAAAACTTCAAAAGAAAAGCCCACCTTGACCCTAAACACTAAGCCCTAAGCCCTAAACCGCAATGTGCAGAAGATCAGCACTCGGAAGTCCGCTGCATGGTAAAGCACCGCACCTCTCAAAAAGAGCTAGACCTCCATGCATCACTCAACATACAATATCCAAAAGCCGGTAAGCCGACAGGGTTTAGGGTTTGGGGTTGAGGGCTTAGGGACTTTGAAGGGCTACAGAGCCATGGGAATTTAAGCACTGAAGCCCTGAAGTGTCAAATTTGAGCCCTCCCCGAAAGCCCGAACCGAAACTGTTATAGAGCCGCTTCTGGATCCCTTCCGGGAGTCTTCCAAATCGCCACGCCAACACCAAAGCTGGCGGATGCAACGTTACAAAACCGTTGCAGACCCCTGAAGCGGTGCTGTGGAAAAGATAGAGAACCCTCAGAACCCCACAGACCTTCCCGGAGAGGCCAAAACACCTTAGTTCAACAAGGCCAAAACACCTTTGTTCAGCAAGACACCTTTAAGTCGTCATGACGTTCATCCTTCTGTATACCTGTGAAGTAAGGGGTATTCGGCCCCTTACACGCAACAGCTAGAACAGTTCTTGAGGAATCCTAAAGCCTGTGGACCTGAGGACCCCAACATCACCTGGGAGCGGCACTTTAACCAGGGCTGTAAGCAGCGGCTGCCGTCGAAGACGGGACCCAGGCACGGCTCTACGAGTCTACTGCGAGCTATGAAGGTTAGTAGAGTGGTTAATTATCCCAAGGTTTTAGGCTGCAGGTTTTTTAAGGGTTCTACAAGGGTTGCTATGCTTTTTGTTGGAAGTGTTATATAGGGTTTCAGGCCTGGTGCAGGTCTGGTGCTCTCTTTTCGGTGGAGTACGGTGTGAGAGGTCGAAGGTTGAGGGGCTTTGGGGCTTAGACTGAGAGTGAAGCGTTGCGGTTTGGGTTCAGGTTGGCTTATGTATTTGCTCATCGCGGTCAGGGATAATCTGAGGCTTGTGCTTATCTTGTTGGGGTCAACAAATCCTTGAGCTGAATCTCAAGTATAGTCTCCGTTGTGGTTGATGCAGGGGTTTAGGCCACTCAATACTGGATCCTACCCATATAATTTGTTCAATGCAGGAATTCACTTGAACTGCATTGGCGACGCAGGTTGCTGCAGCGCAGTATCACAGCAAACCCCATGCCTCGAACCCTCAACCTCAACCAAACAGCCGACAAAATGCCTTAGGCCTGAACCGTGTTATACCCTCTGATGCGAGATACGGTGCTATAAACCGTAAGAAATCCCTGGTGAACCCACATCACAACTCCTTTTTGCCAACATGGTAGTTTCCTAGATACAGGGGCTCAAATAATCGCCAATGCCATTTTGGTGGTTCCTTTTTTAAGTATACTATGATGGGCCCCAAACCCTCTTCTAATCATTAAGGCCCCACCCACATGGCAGTTTCCTGGAAGGGTTTCCTGGCCCCTTTGCTCGTGAGCTTACCAGGCGCTGCCCAGTGGCCGGCTGTAAGGAGAAGCCCGGCGTCTGCATTTGGGCTTGCGCGTTGCAGTAAGGGGTTTCAGGGTTTAGTACGGGTGTTATAAGGGAGTTATAGAGCTGATTCTTGCGGATCTTTTGGTTGTTGGGTTCAAAGTCTTCGGTTTGGGTCTTGGGGCTTAGTGTGGTTTAGGGTTTGGTGCATTTCGGGTCTGTAGAACGTACGGATGTTTGTGTGAGTAGAATGTACAGGCTTCTTGGCTCGAGGGTGTAGCAGACCTGACAGAAGTGAGGGAGTCGTGCACAAACCCTAAACCCTAAACCCCTATAGCCCTAGACCTTAGACGCCTAAACCCTATGAGCCCTAAGCCCTATATACCCTAAACCTTGGGCTGCTTCTTTGGATGATAGCCAAGCCCCAAACCCTGAGCCCGCAAACCCGAGCAGGTTTTCAGGAAGTATCGTCGTTTGCAAGGTGGGAACGAAGCCCTGATCCCGACCTGGACCTCCCAAACATAAGATGAAACAGTGGCCATCATCCATAAACGGCTACTCGGCCAATATAACTATAGCATAATTGGCCCCCAAATCCTATTCTGATTATTAAGGCCTTTGGTATTATTCTACATACTTTCAGGGTCCAGGTAATCCTGAGCCCTGAACCTTCGAGCTGCATCAAGAGTTTCAGGCTCCGTGACCCCGGCTCTGAACTGTTTTTGTTCTCTGTGGAAGTAGGGGGTGTGGAGGGAGTTTAGGGCTTAGGGCTTTGCGGCTCTAGTTAGGGTTTGGGGCAAGGCTTGCGCAAGTGCACTTCGAGATACCGAGCTCTATCTGGCTGGGGAGATAGACCGTCACTTGGGGGTAACCTTTCACCTTAGTCTAAGTGTATATACTTTGCCTCGAAGTACCGATTTAGGAACTAAAGATGTTCTACGTGGGTACATGAGACCCTTAGCGTCAAAACCAAACACGTTGACCTCGGGGCTGGCGACATTGACGAGGCAATGATACCATGTTACCACAGCTCACTGAGGCAGCGAGCAATCTTTCAAGAGCACTCCGAAGCTTATACATGCAGGTGCACTGTTACCATCTCACTGGTAAGGGCGATGTTTACGCAGGGGACGCCTTATCACCTTTTCTTCAAGCTGCGTGTAAGGTGATGCGTGGTTCGCTCAACTTCTTGCGAATGGAGACTATGTAGCCCGTGTTTCTGTCGCTCAGTCATGTCATGCTTGACTTCGTCGAGTTTCGAAGTGATGCGGCTTAGATAGTGTTCCGTGTTAGAGTTTTAGGGTCTAGGTTGTTAAGGCACTGCGCATTTAGGCTATTTGTGGTGGTACAGTCAGTAGTGGGCCAGAGCCCAGAACTCAACTGCGCATACGGCAGCGGTGGGGTTTCATGACCTAAACCCTAAACCCTAAACCCTAAACCCTAAGAGGGTTTGGGGTATTGGGATGTGTCGTTTAGACTTCCCAATCTGTAGAGCTCTCAGAGCTGCCAGGCTTTTATGTAGATTGACCTAATGTAGGAACCTGATTGAGAAACCCTGGGCCTATAACCCCAACATAGTGGGACTTATATAAGGAGCCCTAGTAAAGGCCCAAGGTTTCTTGATCAGGTTCCTGCAGTAGGATTTGCGGTGCAGGTTTAGAAAGCCCAACTCCAAACGTCTCGCTGAGGCTCGGACCTTCGAACAAGTTCGACTGCCCGCGCTGTAATCAGACGGTCTGCCTGAAACACCGCTTCGAGGATGCACACGACTGCAGGTGACTTGGCGTGGTTTACCCTAGGGCTCCAAGGATGCACAGTTTTACTAGGATCTCCAGTAGTACCCTTATTCCCTTTTTGTAGTCCTAGGTTCCTTATAAAGTTACCCAATACCAAAAAGAGAGGCCTTTTTATTCTTAGGTTACTAGGTATCCTAGTTTATGGCTTTTGGGACGAAAGACTTAACGACCATGCTATCTGCGGCTTTTGTTTTGTGAGCCTAGGGGTATAGGGTTACGGCTTGGGGCTCCTATAGGGTATAGGGTTGACCGTTTGTCCTGTGTAAAGGTTTGTGAAGATTCATAAGTTTTGAGCGTTCGTTGTTTGTGGTGCTTGAACCTTGGGGTTATGGAGTGATAATGACAACACTGAAGGTTTCGGACTTTTCCGGTGCAACTCTCTGGGTTTGGGCAGTGTCGAGCGTTTTTGACGTTTGGGGCCATTGTTGCCTATGTCTGCCAGATCGGAAGCGCAAGGGTTTCGGTTTGGGCCATTCAACATGGAACCCGTTCACAACAGATACCAGGGTTCTAAGGTTTCGGATTTAGGTAGTGCTCTTGAGATGCCAAAAGCCTGGAGAACTTGCAAGAGTAATGGATTAGAGTTTAGAGCTCAGCACCAGTCCATACTATCGCAGGTATACTCCCAAATGCCAGTTTGCTTTACGTATTATTGGCTCAACGCTAGAAAAGCTTCTGCCGTCGACCACAAGCCCCTTAAGCTAGGTTTCTTCAAGAAGAACCAAATGCTGTATACCCAAAGTTGACATCACGAATCCCTGGCAGCATAACACCTAAAGCACCAAAGCTTTTTCATCCAACACATTCCAGCACAGAAAAAAATATGCCTTAAACCCTTATCCCGAAACCCTAAACCCTTAACCCGAAACCCTACACCGTCGAGTCGCGACCCGAAAGCCTTTTCATCCTGCACCGCAAGCCGCCCTAAAGCCGGAACTGTGAACGCTTCCCATCTCAAGCTATGAAGTGCCACAGGGCTCCAGCTGGTAAAATAGCAGGTTATATATATATATATATATACACATATATATATATATGTATGTATATGTATATGTATGTATATATATATATATATATATCGATATCGGTAGATAGACAGATTCAATGATTCAATGAAGCGATGAATTACTTGTTCAAGCACCTTGAGCTGTAGGGTTGTCCTTCACTTTTCAGGCCCCCGGCACCACCGGGGCGCGGCCGCCCAGCAGCGGCAGCATCCGCGGCGGCGTCGGCGCCGGCGCCGGCGTCCGCAGCCATGAATCCGCCCTCTGCCGGGACTGCCTTTAGGGTGAAATATAGAAGCCTGAATAGATCGTAATAGTACATAGGATTCGTTATGGTTCCTGAGTACTTATTACATAGTACTAGTACAATGGAAATATATCCCACCACCCTAGTCTGATTCTTACGGCCCCCGGTTCGTTGAGGTTTTGGTTCTGTGCTTTTTTTTCTATTTATGTTGGGCTCTTTAGGTTTATCCGGCTTATTACTAGGGGTTTATGGGTTTGGGTTCAGGGTTGCAGATGGAGTAGGGCTTCAGGGCTTTCGGATTTTGCAGGGTTGGAGATGGCAGGCCTCAGGATTCGGATTGCCACCGGGGGTCTAGTCTAGTCTAGAAGCCATATTTTACAAAGACCTTGAAGCCCTATTCCAAGAGATTGGAACCATGGAGGCCCTGTAAGGGTCAGGAATATGGTTTTCTGTATGGGTTTCCATCCTTGGTCCAATATTCCATGTTCATGAGCCATCGGAAACATAGGAGGCACAATGGAAAAACCATGATTCGCCAGCCAACAAGCTAGGGTGGTGTCAAGCACCGCACATGATTTGAACATCAAGGGGTGTGTGGTGTATTTTTGTTTGGTGTTTTTCTTTGCTTCCTGGTCCTAGTGCGTGTTTCTTGTAGTTTGCCCACCTTTTCCTGGTCCTTTGTATTGTATCCATCGAAGCCCCGTCTAGCAGTAGCAGTACCTGGACCCTAATGAACCTACCTTTTTAGGGCCCCGCTAATATGATTTCTTTATATGAGTCTCTAAAAAGGTAGGTTTTTTGGGTTAAGGTAGGGACGGGAGCCTTCACTGCGACTCACATCGGCGCCCGGGCTTCATCGCTCCGGCAGTGCATGCAAGCCAACCCCTCTCATCGAGTCTACACCCGGAACGCTGTAGCCCAAGAACATACATGGGAGTTTCCGAAAATAGGGAACCCCCCAAATAAGGTAACACCAAAATATCGGAAGCCCCCAAATAAACTCTACGGCATTTAGCCCTGTAAACCCTGCGGCCCGTGATGTGATTTGTAACCGTCCTTTACAACGCGCTCTTAGAGACACGCCGCCAAAAGCCCCAAAGCCAAGAGCCCACTTGCGAGGAAGAAGAAGAAGAAAAGCCTGGGACAGCGGATTGGGGCAGCTTGGTTTGCTAGAGCCGAGGAACTCTGTTAAGGCTTCCTTAGGCGTGAAATGGTCAGGTTCCGTAGGGCCGAAGGGTTGTTGCATGCCACACCCCTTGAAGCATGGAATAGACTCACTGCAGGTAAGGAATATACCCTGAAGTGTACAGGGCTTCCTGATGCCTAGAGGAGTTTTCCTAAACGCGAAACCTCCCTCAGCGCTGTTAGGGTTTTTTGGGTTTGGAGTTTATTGGGTCGTTGCCTGTATGAGTTCCAGGGCAACCCCAAACTCGCAGGGTGCTGCATTTCAAACACTCTGTCTGCGACTACACCCTCCTAGCCTGACTTAGGCTCAACCTCGACCCTAAAGAACCTACCGCTTTAGGGTTCCTTATTTTGATTTCCTTATATAAGTCCTCAAAAAGGTAGTTTATTCGAGGTTAAGCAAGGGCTAGGGTACCTGATCGTAGTTACAGTCTAGCTTGCTGTCCTTATGTAGGCATGGTTCAGGGTCTGTGACTGCTGACATTTGCGGGTTCACGCAAGGAATGGTGATGATCATAAGCCTTTATAGCTCCGTTTTCTACCACCCGTCTCAATCTCGAGCACAAAAGCGCTTCTTTCGGAAACCGCCTGGAGTGCCAGGCCGTGTTCGCATGCTTCAAGGGTGATTCCTCCAAGCAGGGCTGCTTGGCTGAAGCCCTTGAGCTCGATTCCCTGCGACTCTAAACCCCCGTGCCTTGGGCACGAGAACCCCAGCCCGACTCCCCAACCATGTTCTTGATACTGAACGGTTCAGGGTTTAGGGTTCAGGGGTTTAGAAGTCTAGGGTTGAGGATTTAGGGTTTACCTGTCCGAAGGGATGATGAGGCACGGCCAGAAGGACCAAGGATTGCGGTGTCTGTATCAGACTTAGCTATGCCACGAGTAGAGATACAAGAATGATACCGAGGCTTCCAGTATACCCTAAACTGACTTCTCTCCCAAACGAACACCCAGGGAGCCCAATGCCCAGGGATTAAGGAACACTGCGGAAATTACTGCAGCAAGCCTTGTGCCTTGTATATGCCAACGCAGCATGTGTATACGTGCATTATATATATATATATATATGTATGTATGTATGTATGTGCACATATAAACATATGTAGACATATACACACGACATGTTGTCGTGACAGGCAATTGCGAGTGTAGCAGAACCTAGAGCCTGTTAGACGTTACCAACCCGACAGACTTGATACTGCTGGACAGTCAGGAAAGACTTGCGAACGCCCTGACTTAAACTTAAACCTCTACCCTAAGGCTCCAAAGTAGCTCCTTTTGGGGTTCATATATAGAATCCTATACGGTAACCCCAAAAAGGAACTAAGGAGCCTCTGGGTCAAGCATTCACAAACACCTAAACCGCTAACAAAATTGCTGCTGGCCCCTCCGACACTACACCCACACGTCAGACCCGAAGCTCGAAGACTCCAACTCTAAGCCCCTGAACACCTATTATAAGCCTTAGACCCCCAAGTGTAGGCCTCCAGAATGGGATTCCGGGAACCCCTTAAACTTACCTTTGGTTAGTAGGGAATGGAAGAATGGTAGTAATAGTAGTTATAACTGTACCCCATTCCTCCATTCCCTACGAACCAAAGGTAAGTAAAGCCCCCCACCCCTAAACTCCCAAGCCCTAAACCCTAAGTTCTAAACTCTAACACCCTATAAACCCCAAAAACCCCTTAACCCAACAAAGGTAAGTACAAGCCCCACACTCTGGCACCCTCGAGGCTTGCTCCAGCACCGCAGGTAAGAGTGAAAGCGCTGGCCACCGGGGCCATGCGGAGCCTGACACGTGGACGGGGATAAAAAAAGAGAGACTACAAGAGTACCTTTTGAGCTTCAGGGTGTTTGTATGTAGCAATCTGATTTCAGAACTCATAAAATTAATGTAGTATAGGGATTAAGTAGTAGAGTGCAGTACGATTTGACATTTTTAGGGATTCGGATGGTGAAAACTTTGAAAACAAGGGATAGCTTGACCCATCAAGAATGGTGTTTATTTAGCAGAGTGAATGCTCCATCTTCCGCAAGTAGGGGGTATCGTAGACCCAAATCCTGGACTGAAACCCTAAACCTGAAAAAACCCGGAAAAGCTCAACCCTTGAGTCGCAAGCAACGGCTGTGTGACTTTTTCCCTGGATTTTTTAGGTTTGGAGAGTGAAGAAACAAAAGGAGGCCTTCCGAGTACCTCCGTGTAAGCTTGGTCCCTAAAAAAGTTCGCATATGAGCCCTACATGGGAGTGCTCAACTTCGACGCTTCCTATCTTCACTGTAAACTAAGGCCGGAACAGTGTTCTATCTCTTGCGGCCCCTGCCTGTAAAAGACGGATTATGCGAAGAAGTACCATGGACTATACGAAGAAGTAAAATAACAGAAGGCCGCGAAAGGGCATCAAGGACGAGTAGCGGAGCATTTTTTGCTAGTTTACTCCCCACCCTTCCGTACAAGCAAATGGACACCAGTTGCTCAACGGCTTCATGCGGTGTGGTCTTGGGGCCCAAAAGCAGGTTTACAAACTCAAGCCCTGATACGCCCCAAAGAGATACAACGAGCCAGACCTTGACTTAGCACGAGTTGTCTGTGGGATTTGCAGCCGAAAACCCCAGTATCAATCCCAACTAGTGAAACGATAAGCCTGTATATCGGAACCTGGTAGAAGACCAGCAGCAGGTGAAAGCCAAGCATGGCACTAATGGTAATAGCCTTGCTGACATGAACTGTTACAATGTGACAACACTGGTAATGGTAATAATGGTAATGGCAGCACCTATAGGTGTACAGTGAACACGAACACCATTATGTTTTTCTTGTTAATGGTATGTGTAGAAAGAAGCCGAGGCACTTTACTATTCAAAGCCCCACCTAAAGCACCTTCTCTGAGCAGAGAAGCCCTAGTTTTCATTTCCACCCTGAACCTAAAAGCCCACAGCCCTCAACGCTGCTTCCACACTTGCCTGTTCCCTGTAGGAGGATTCTAGCCCTTAACCTAAACCCTAAACGACTTGAGCCCCACAAATCCTAAACCCTAGACTCCTAGACCTAGACTCTAAAAGGCGCTTAAAATCTAAACCCTTCAAAAAACCCTAAACCCTAAACCCCTAAACCCTAAACCCTTCCAAAAAACCTTACATCCTCCTTCTTCACCCGACTTGACGAGCGCAGAGCAGAGCAGGTGCAGCCTCGGCAGTGAGCCCGGAAGAGCTCTCGAAGGCCACGGGCAGAAGTCCCCTTTCTGGTGTTCTATAGGGTTTGGTTTTTGTTTCCTCGTAGTAAAGTAGGTAACCCTTAACTTTTTTTAGGTAGTATAGTCCCTATACAATCACAAAGGTTCATCTGTAGTTCCCCATGATACCCGACAGGTTGGGTTTTGTAGGAGTTTATGGGTTCTGCTGGTTTGAGGGGTTCCATACTGGGATGTGCTGAATGTTTGGTACGAGTTTGTGAGTTTTGCTTTACATAATTTGTGTGTGGTTCTGAGTAGGTGGTTGAGTCGGGGCGTTAAGGGTTCAGGGTTTGGCGATTTTGGTTTTACGTGTGCTTCAGGAAGAGAATGCTAAAGGGTTTTGCTTGCAGGAATTCAAAAGGGTTGTGCGGGGTTTAAGAGATTTGTGCGCTTTGGCGTAGGGCTTACGAGTTTGAGGGTTCAGGTTAGCTCCAAGACTTGAGGGTTTAGGGTCAAGGGTTAATGTGATTTACGGGCTCTGGTTTAGGTGAGGCTCAGTGCACGAACAATCAGTGAGACTTCGATTACCAGGGTTTTGTTTATTTAGACCCTGAACCCTAAACCCCCGTCCCTATAAAGCCTCAGGACCCTTCTCCTGGCCTATGGGCCTTCCGTACGTAGCTTCAGACCTGCGGACGGAAAAAATCGTTCAAAAGCCCTATAAGCCTCAAAAGAAACCCGAAACCCCAAACCCCAACCCCTACTTTCACTGTCGGCCACGAAATGGGTGGTTGTCAATGTTAGGGTCCCTTTTTGGGGTCCTTATTAGAATACGGCACCTACCACATAGGGTGCCCCATAAAAGGGATCATTATTTTGACAACCATCCATGCAAAGATCTACACCCACAGCCCTTATAGTACCCTTATAGTAACCTTTTAAAGGGACCCTTATAGAACCCTTTTGAAGGGACCCTTATAGTACCCAAATGAGGCACGCGGAGAGTTTGGCTCCGTGATGGTTTTTTCATCCGATCCCCAGGCTGGGCCATGCAGCTTAGGGGCTTCTGAGAGGGTTTGGTAATTAGGGTTTCTATAACTAGGATGCCCTTATTCCCTTTTTGTAGTCCTAGGTTCCCCAATACCAAAAAGAGAGGCCTTTTTATTCTTAGGTTACTGGGTATCCTAGATAAGGGTTTAGGGCGCTTTGGGTTTTATAAGGGTTTGGGGCTGAGGATTTATGCACACATATTGTCAACTACAAGGGCAAGCGCCAGAGTAGCAGCCGTGACAGAAGAAAAGCTGACACTTGCAACAATTGATTGATTGAGAACTGCTGTGGTCGTGAGCAGCGTCGTCGTCTGCCCCCTTAAACCCTAACCTAAGCCCTAAACTTCTAATCCCTAAACCCTAAACCGTGGCGGAAAGCCGGTAGCACTGGACAGCAGCATGCTGGACAACACAGCTACACAGGCCGCAACATGAACCTTGAATTTAAGCCAGCATATAGCCCCGAACCCGCTTTTAAGAATCAAGCCTCCTATCTCAGGTGAGAAGTGTTTCGATAATCTGAGATCCACGGAACTCAAAATTTGAAATTAACTATTGCTACCTCCTTTAGTTAAGATTTGAGCACCTCTCCGAATTCCAAACCCGACTTAGAGTCCATGATGTAATCCCTGAACCCTTAATTCCAGCGCATGCAGCAGTACCCTACACTACGCCCTAAACCCAAATCAGAGTTCATGATGCAGTACATCAACCTCGACTACATGGTCCTCCAGAGATGTTTGGATAAGCTTCGGCCGCTTGTCCTTTTCATGAGAAAGGGGTGGGTGGGCCTGTTGGCAATGGCACACTGGTTCACTCAGGCCTAGATAACAGCGTTTTGCGAGAACATTGGGGCTTCCGACCCCAGCTTGACCATTACCTGGTTTAGGGTCTAGGGGTTGGGGCTTTTAATTTTAGTTATTTGATTGTTTTGGGTTCGGGGTTTAGGGTTTTGGGTTTGCTGCGTAAGACTTGTGTCCTGTTGGTCCCACAACACAATAGGCCAGTACGCGGGGATCGAGGCCTAACCATGATAGAACCGACAACCCTAAGCTGATAAAACAACAGAGTGAAGGGTACGATGTTTCACCTTTCGTGTATGTCGTTCGCGACAGGCGTTGCTTCATAGAAAGACACGTCAGTACATGTTAAAAAAAACAACAGACTCCCAAACTCCTGGAAAGTGCATGATACATTGCAAAGAAAACCAACCCTGGTAAAGTCTTATAAACTTTCCTCTACCCTAAACCCCCAAAGAACCCTCAGAGTCAAAGAAGGGAGGCCTCAACCTCGGTTGAGCCTAAAACCGTAAACTCCACTTCACCCCCAAACGTACGTATTAAGCCATAAACCCCCAACCCTAAACCCTAAATGCCAAGCCCCAAAGCCGAACAACCCAAACCCTGAACCTTAAATGCCAAACCCCAAAATCAAAACCCAAACCCTAACCCCAGACCCTATAGAAAACCCTAAATGCCTAAACCCCCCTAAGTGTGAAAGCTTAAACCCTAAATGCCAAAGCCCAAAACCCTTCACCCCTAAACCCCCACAGCAGGTGTGAAACACTAAACCTAAAGCCCAAACCCTAAATCCTAAACCCTAAACTTAAACCTTGAATCCCAAACCCTAAACCCCCCTAACCCAAAAAAACCCTAAACCCTAAAGCCCAAACCCTAAATCCTAAACCCCAACCTCCCTAATCCAAAACAAGAACCCCTAAACCCTAAATCCCAAACCCTAAACCTCCGTAATCCAAAAAAAGAGCCCCTAAACCCTAAAGCCCAAACCCAGGCCGGGTGGCCACGTGCTCGCCCGGCTCTGTGGACTCGGCAAGGACGATGCCGGAGATCCCGGGTCTCTGTTTAGGGTTTTAGGGTTTAGGGTCTTAGGGTTTAGGGTTTAGGGACTTAGGGGTTGGGGTCTCGTTGGGACTTTTCACTTAGGGCAGTTTAGGATAGTCAAGCGTTTTTTGGATTTGAGGGTTTAGGGTTTTAGGGTTTAGGATTTAGGGGCTTCAGGATTTTAAGGCTCAGGGTTTAAGCAGCTCTTCTGAGCCATTTCTGCTTGTGAGGCTTTTTTGTACTTCTGTGATAGGTGGCCCATCGGGTGCACAGCGTTGTGCTGCTCAAAGGAGCTACCTGGGATTATTCTACACGCCGGGTTTTTAGATGAGACTCTATTTTTTGATGGGGCATATGATCGGGTTTGATGGTGTTTTACAGTGTGCAGGGTGCCGGGAGTCGGCTAGCAGGGCTGAGGGTGTAGGGTGAATCGGGTGTTGCGGGATAGGTTTCAGGGTTTAAGGCGTCGGTTGACCTTTTTTGAAATAGGGTTTGGGCGGGATATTCCATTAGAGTTATATTGAGGAACCCCCCCAGAACCCTATATTCTAATTATTAAGGCCCCTACAGTGTACTGGAAGCCTTTGGGGATGCAGAGCGCAGATCAGGTCATTTTAGGGTTTAGGGTTTAGGGTTTAGGGGTTTAGGGTTTAGGGTTTAGGGTTTCCATGCTGCCCTGCCAAGCCATTTATCGGCTCCCAGGAGAAAGCAATGACACAAAGGCAAACCTGAAGCCTTCAAGCAACGACATGTTCCGCAACGGATTGAGATTTCGTAACTGGACTCGAAACTCTGCAACTTGCGAAGGATATTGCTTTTGTTTGTCCTTCGGTCTACTGAGTCCATAGTCTTGGCCTGACATGGTTTGGAATTTCCGACCTTCAAGTTTAGGACTGCCTATCTGCATCAGTCCTTAGAGGATTTACGTCTGAACACATCGTGTCGGGCGCGTCGCGCTGCTGTGTCGCTCAGTTCCGATGGCGCCAAACGTAGAGGCTTCAGCCGGTCGTCAGTTTTTAGGGAGGTTGAGGGACGTAATGTGGCCACAACACAGGATTGATATGGCGGCAACAAGGGTTTCGTTTGGCCTTAGCAAGGGCTGAGTAATACAGTGTCTGCTGCAACGCCCCGAATTCCGACTGATGAGGAAGAGGAGACCCCTGTCACGGGCATAGAGCTGCTGCTGGGTTTCTATCCTGAACCCAAGGCCATCGCAGAAGTAGGAACCAATGCCCGGAGCCACATGTCGAAAAAGTATTGACTTGCGCCGAACTTTGTCCAATGCAGAAGCCGACAGTGGATGGTTTAGAAGCCGGATTAATCCAATTCCTTGAAGTTCCTACTAAAACTCAGGTTTAATACCCCAAAACCCCAGTGTAATGATGAAGGCCCCTGTTTAGGCACCGCTGGAGGCTTTCGCACTGTTCGAGTCAATGGCTTTGTGATGGAAAAGTGTATCCAAGCTTGCAAACTTTACAATGCGCTCAAAAACACCCTAAATCCTGTGTCAGGCGCGCCTTTCGCTTCACAGAACACGAAGTGAGTTCAACTCGAGCCCACAATCGTATGCACAATTAAGGGTTGCTTCGGCATCCCCAGATCCTTTTAGAGGAGGGTACTGATATGAAGTCCAGAAATTTCCAGGTCAGAATCGGGAACGGCAGAGGATTTCCAAGGTACTATAGAAGCATAAATAAGTAGCAATACCATTTGCGGGGCTCCTTATTGTAGTTATAGTATAATGGGCCTTAAAAGCCCTATTCTACTTGTTCAGGCGCCCAATTATAGTGGCTGTTAGGAGGCTCACAGTCTAGAGACCGAAAAGCCTACTTCGGGCCGTGGACCCTATTTCGTATAGTTATAGACCCACGGAGAGCTCAAGACAAAACACCTCAAGCTTACAAGCTGCAACCCTCAAGTTGTCGAAAAGTTCATCCTTGGTTTCGAGAGCTAAATCGAAGCAGTGCGAGGCCCCGAGACGCGGAAGCGCTCAAGCCCAAAGCTCGAGCATTGCTGGAGGCGTCGCTGTCTGTGCTGAAGCGCGCGCTTCAAGAGTCTCTTCGCAAGGCAGCTGAGGTTTGCGTGCGCTAACGAAATCCTGATTGAACCTCTTCTCTGAGGCTTTAGGGCTTAGGGCTTAGGGGTTATAGTCAAATTCTCTAGATAGGGTCCTCAAATCGGACAATCAGGTGCTTGATCAAGTACAGTAACCAAATCTGAGGTCCGGGCTGGCCCTCAACTTAGACTGAGCTGTATAGTTACAACTGATTCCTTCAGCCGGAGGTATAAGGCTGCTTACTGGGTTTGCAAGGCTTCTCAGCAGAATTTGAACATTCCCTGGACTGCTATCCTTACGGCTTTTTTTGTAGTTATACTGCATATTGCACACTCTCATTCCCTCGTCTTAATTATGGTTTAAGGCCCGATATCCCAACACTCTTGCACAGCTTTCAATACGCTGAACCCTAGACGCTAGACCCGTGAATCCCTGTTGAATCCTTCTAAAGCCCCTTATTTAAAGGGACCCTTAAAGGAACCCTACGCCCGGAACCAGAAGCCTTAAATCCTACAACCCCCAATTAAATCCTAGAACCCTGCAACTCTCGAACCCTAAACCCTAAACCCCTTAAAGCTCTAAATCCTCGACTTTAAGAACCCAGAAGCCTCTAAGCCGGCTACGGTTGATGATATAAATCCTGCATTACCTTAAGGACCCTAAACTATGGGAATTATGGTATATTCCTTATAATGGGTAATGCAGGATTTCTATCATCAACCGTAGCACTTCTAAGTTCTGAAGAGGCCGAGGCTGCGTTGGATGCCGAGGAGGAGACGACAGAGGTCCGTGGTTTCCCTTGTGAGGGTTTGGTGTCAATACCCAATCCCAAAGGGTCCTAAGTACCTATATGGCAGAATGTAGGGTTTCTATATGAGGAATTATTATTATGGTTTGGGGAAGTATCTCCCATAACAGTACCTAGGACCCTTTGGGAATAGCTTCAATCCTTATGAGTAATGTATATGGGGCTCCCAGCCCTGATTGTCCTTAATCCGGTTTCCAACTTCCCAGGATTTTCCCAACTTTTCAGGGTTACTGTAGAGTCAAGGGTCAGGGTTTCGGGTTCTGGGCTGTGAAGTTAGTTAGGTTTATTAAGATTTATAGGGCCTTGAGACTGTCTGATGTTTAATTACAAGACTCTCCGTTTAGCTGAAGCCCTTAGTTAGACATATTCAAGACCCTAAGTTTAAGTGTTACACAAATCCGCAAAAGTTCTCGCAATCAAAGCAGTACCCATGACATGCCTCAGGCACGCATGCAGGTCGGCAAGGACCGCCTGAGCCGGGATGTTGATTCGGGTTTCGGGGATTTGGGGCTTCATCGGTTTCGGATGTGAGGTTTTCAGTAGCTCAGGGGACCTTGCGTGGCGCTTTTGTTTGGGTTTGCTTTCGACTTGAGAAATTGTGCTGTTTTACATGTGTTACTCTAAACCTACTGTTGCAAAGGACCCAATAAGTGCCGTAGCGGTTCTATAAGAGATTTCTTGTCCTAGAGTTTTAGATGGGTCATATACGGCAAACTCGGGTTGATATAGGTTGTTATTAACAAGACTTTTCAGTACTTAGTTGGACCCCTACGCAGAAAGACTTGGGGCTACAGGAGTTAGGAGTTTATCGTGTATACTGTTTTCTCGGATTGGGCTTAACGGTTTCAAAGGTTAGGATTTCGCATGGTTGGGGTTTTGAAGGCGCAGATTTTCCTAAACCTCAAACCTCCAAAAGCCGCAACCCCGAAGCCCAGATCCTCGAACAACTTGAACCCAAAGGCGTAAGACCGCAGTATCAAGGGCAATTTTGTCAAAAGCAACAGCGAACCAACTGTGCTTCCACATCAACCCAAACCCACATAAAGCCCCTGAACATCTGTAAAACCCTAAACCCTAAAACTTTATAAAGCTCTAAATTGTGCCACCACAGCAAACCCCAAAACCCTAAACCCGAAACCCTGAAGCCCTAAACCCTAAACCCTTCAGCCCCAAACCCTAAACCTTTAAACCCTAAACCCCAAAGCTCGAAACTCCCAAAGCCTCAGGCTCCATGTGCCCATATAGTTTGTACTTAGGCCTTAAAGTACCTATATAGGGACCCCTTTAAGGCCTAAGTACCTGCTATATGGGTACATGGAGCCTTTGGGAAAGTCAGGAGCTGGATGAGGAAACGTCCTCGACACTCGAAGCAGAGGTCTGAACTGGTTCTCTCAGTGGCTTCTTAGGGGTACTTAGAAATAATTTCTATTTTTTGGTTATTATACTTATAATCCCTAAGAAACAGCTAAAATTTTAATTTTTGCAAGGGTTCTAAGTTCAGTATAGGTTTCTATGGGCGTAGGGAGGGTAGGGTTTAGGACATGATGATTCTTCAAGGGATTGTTCTAGAAGGGTTTGATAATCTTAAATTTTGAACTGCAGCGAAACCCAGACCTTCCAGCTTCTACCTTCCTTTTTATACCACAAAATACCCCAGCACCTTGTATGTAATCATGAAGATCTATGATTATCCCAAATGCCTGCATTTGTGGACATCGGGAGGTGACCCGCATGCATTCTGCGCCGAAAATCCAGGCGGGGCACCGCTGTGCTTGGTCGCTTTTCACGAGCCTAAACCCTAAGCCCGTAAACCCTAAACTCCTAAACCCCAAACCCTAGACTCCGATAAACCCTAAACCCCAAACGTAGCCCCGGAGCCCTCCAAAAGCCTATGAGGGGTGGGGGGTGGCTTAAGATCAAACCCCAAATCTTGAACCTGAAATCCTGATCCCTAAACGATAGATGCCGATTTGACCCCTCATCGTAGCCCTTATAGAAACACATTCCTTTTATGTACATATACAGGTGTATGTCTGTAACAACTGTATATCTATCTATATATATATATATATACATGTGTAGGTATCCCTAAGGGTCCAAGTACCTAATAATCATATACTTTTCAGAATACCAACCTCAAAACTACTATCCGTAACCCAAGTACCTGATTATTGGGTCCTTTGGACCATTGGGGTATAGCTATATGCGTATACTAAGCCAGGGGAAGTTGGATCTGAAGGCTAGTGAAACCTGTATGGGTGCCTCAAAGGAACCCTTATGGATCCCTGAAAAAGGAACGGAGCCTAAATCCTGAACCCTAAACCCTAATTAAGCCCAAAGTCACAGCTCACGAAACCTAAGGCCTAGGGACCCAAGCTTCGAATTTGTGTGGATGTTGGTTCTGCGGTTTAGGCTTTATGCTGATACAAGACACAGCATATGAGAAGAGGGCCGGATCTATTGAAGAAAACCAGGGCCAGCAACAAGCACACCCTAACCCGCTTTGCTTCTCAAACATCATAAATTGTAAACCTTGTCAAGACCAGAAATTCCTTGAGACTTACTGCACACCCTTGAAACACCACGACCCCGCACCCCAAGTCCCTGCTGTCGAGGCGTTCTTTCATATTCCTTGGCTTCCCTGGCTCGCAACTGAGATAGAGTGGGCTCATGTTACATAGGGGCATGAATAATCAGAATGGGGCTCAAATTCTAAGGAGACCCCATGATTATAGCATTGCTCATCTATTCATGCTTGAAGATGTTCAGGGGTTGTATGTAGGGCTTCTCTAGTACAGGGTTATCTTGGTTGGTTTGCTGTTGCGGTTTCTGTTGGGGTTTATGTTCGGGATGTGGGTTCAGGGTTTATCGATGCTAATGATTTTCTTTCATCGCGCGACGTTGTCGCGGTCGCGGCAGAGCAGAAGTATCCGAACCAAATCGACCATGCTGTAAGCATAGCCATCGACCCTATGACCGACATGATAGACCTGGCATAGCAAGCACAGAAACCATAAGGAGTAGGACGTCGGGTGCAGGGCCGCAGGAAGACAAGACGGCCCTGTCCCACAAAGTACGCGCATTCTCCGACGTAGGTTCCACTGATTGGTTAGCCCATTGCCAAATCACTCGTCATGACCATATGATGAAGAGCAAGGTATCCACTAGATAGTTATGTTTCAGGCTGCAGGCAACGCAAGCTAGCCGACGCCCGTATGGCGCAGTAACAAGCCCCACAAAAGCTCTGCCTTTGAGCTCCGCGCCTTTCAAGGTGCAGCAGCTGCACAACCCCACAAGAGGCAGGGTTTAGGGTTAAGGGTTCAAGGTTTAGGGTTTAGGAGGTCTTCGTGACATTCAGAAGCTTCGGGACATAGTGTAGAGTGCATTGCATGGTTCTCTTTCAGATCCCGCGTTCTCAGCGAACACAGGCTCAGGGCATAGGTGCTACGGACTTGTTTTTGAACCAGGGGCCGTCTAACCGTGTTCCTTGAATACCGAAGGATACTTTTTCTGGGAGCTTCATGCTTTGAGAGGGACGGCTAGCGATTTGCTTTTCGGGGACCCGCGAACTGTCTCCGGCCTCAAGCTTGCGTGTACAGTCAAGGTAAGCTGTCGGCTGCAGGGGGGGGGGGGTAATACGCGAGGTTCAAAAGCGTATAGCCAAGAATTGCCCGGGCCCCAACCTTCGAACGCACATGGGTAGTTGTCAAATTTAAGGTTATTATAATACGGCACCTCATTTTTAGGGTACCCAAAAACGGACCATAATTTTGACAACCACTCACATGTGTTTGCATCTGACGGCGTTTTCCCGCCCATGCTCTGGTGCATGGCCAGATTGGTTGGTTGTATTAACTACTTATGTTGGACGAGCGACTTTCCAGCTGAGAGAAGACAGCGCCTGCTTGAGAGATGCAGGTTCAGAGATTCCTAACAAATCCTGAGTATGTCAACGGGGCGGGCATGAGGGTGTTCGGATGCCTTTTCGTCCTAAGAACTTAGTAGGCTTTGCTGTTGGCTCTGCTCTCCCAACCCCCGACAAGCTTGGTCAGCCCTAAACCCTAAAGCCATTAACTTCTAGCATTATACACCCTAAAGCCCTTAACTATGTCCTAAATATCATGTTGCGGGTTGAGCTGCCGTTTAGCTACAGACACAGAGCTACCTGATCTTCCAAGTCAACTTCAACCTTAAACTTACTTAGGGCTGAGAGTTTAGGGTATAGGGTGTAGGGCCCTAGGCTTTCGTGATTGGGGTTTAGGGTTCATGCAGGTTTTAGCGGCCAACCTTCGCGAGCTAGAACCTGAAACCCTACACTCAGGACAGAGGGTTTAGGAACCAACCGATCAAATTTTACAAGCTACAACCCGAAACCCCTGCCTCATCCTCCGCTCCAAGCCCTAGAGCCTGCAAACTTGAACCCTTTCACACACTCCTCGATGTGCCAGTCCTTCGCAGTCCCCTGTGGTCCGAAAGAATACATGTGTACCGTAATGTAGGAACCTGATTAAGAAACCTTGGGCCTTTATTAGGGGTTCCTTATATATGAAAGGGGTTATAGGCACAGGGTTTCTTGTCAGGTTCCTACCTTACCGTAATACTAAAAATTGGTATTGGGGGAGCTAAGGAGCCAGGGATGATCATAATCCCTACTAAATAAGGAGCTAAAGAGCCAATGGAACCCCAAAAGCACTGGTTAGGTAAGGCCCAAACCTAAACCCTAAACCCTAAATCACAGGTGGCTGAGGTGGAGGTCCAGGCCGCTACATCCGTCTCGAGGGTCGGCGAGGCGGCTTCTGGGTTCGGGATTTTGGATTTTAGGGTTTGGGGGTTTAGGGTTTTAGGGTTTAGGGTTTTAGGGTTTAGGGTTTAGAGTTTGGGGTTCAGGGTTTAGGGCTTAGAGTTCAGGGTTTAGGGTTTTGGGTTTAGGGTCTTGGGTTTCGGAAATCGGATTTGTGGCTTGGCCTTTTCGTCCGCGATGTATTTTATTCTTAATTTGTCGGGTTGCCTATTGGTTGATGGACGTAGAGGGGGCACCGATAAAACAAAGCCGGAAACAGAGCAGCTACATTGCAGGTCTCTGATGCATTCCCCTTTTTCGGGGTCCTTTGTCGTCTGTTACGGGCTCCAACCCTAAACCCTAAACCCAAACGCCTTCAAACTCTAAACCCCAAACCCTAAACTATTAAACCCTAAACCATGGCAAAAACGACGAGCTACATCTGAGAGGCTGGGAGGGTCAGGTCTCTGGGAGTGTTGCTATCGGTTGTACATGGGCCTGAAGCTCCTACACCTTATAGGTCCTTAAGGGAGGGTGGTTCAAGGGGGGAGGGTACAAGGGATCCTTAGGGGACTGTAAGGGAACCTTAGGGAGTACTAGGGAGGATTAGGGATCACTAGGCTATATACCCCCCTTGGACCCCCCTCCCTTAAGGATACTACAATACACGGTTTGCCACTGGTGTCGCCCTGGTATGTAAGGCCCTGAATAGTAATTAAGTAGCTAGCGGAGAATTGCGATCTCGTAACTTTGTAGTTTCTGGCAAGATATCGAGATCTATAAACATGAGGATCCGCTACACTAGGTTGCGGCTTCCATGGTGGCAACTGTACCGCAGCCACACTGTATATACATGATCAATGCGACGATGAAAGCCTTCCTACTACTGCCATTAGTTTTCAGGCATTGTAGTCACATCCATCCACCCGCTTGTCCGACCGTCACTGAATTCAATGAATCAGTCGGGCTGTCTGTCAGTTTGTTTGTCGGTACGCAGTTCGGTAGGCGCAGGCAGTGGGAAAGCTGAGGCAGGGCAGAAGTCGTGGTGGTCGTCGTAGCGACGTCGCAGCATCAACTTGCCTCACTCCAGGGCGGCGCGAAGCTCGACGAGCGGCTTGCAATGTAGAATGATCCCCAGCCGCCTTTCCCTTTCTTGCCAAGGTCTTCCCTAGGCAGGTTCAAAATCTGCACCACAGGTAGGATGAAGCATACTGACATCATACCCTCTCAGTTCCTACACAAGTATGTTTTTTGGCGCGAAAACCTTCAAGCCTCAAGCCCCTTTGTATAGACAAAAGGTTTAAAAGGATCCAGTTTATCCGGAGGATTTAAACCGACTGGGATAAGCAGCGCGGGTTCACACGTGAACTATGATCTCAAGCTAAGCCAATATGTGTTTTTTTTTGCAAGGCCTTGCGTATTCCGTTGAAAACTTGTTCTTTGTGACAGGAAGTGGAGACTGCACGATGCATGGCGATCTCTATAGCAACGGGGCCGGAACAATTCGAAACAGCATGACCTATCAGCTCTGATACAGTGAGAGTCTAATGTGCCTCAAGACCCTTTTCTAGTTCTTGCAAGGCCCTTGTAGCAGGTATCCTAGTCGCGGCTCGATTTCCCGAAAGCCCTCGGCCTGATTCTGCCCCCCGAGCCTCTGAGTTCTGGTTATGGGCTTCGAAGAGTTCCTTGAGTCGTAAAGAAACAAAGCACACGGGGCCATCCCCTAGTGCCCCCAAACACCTCGGCGGACCTCTCCTATAGAGGTTTGGAACTAGCGCGGAAGCCGTTCTCGAATGTAATCCTTCGGGTTTCCTCGCATGGTTATGATCCTCCGGGACCCCGACAACTCTGGCCTTGCTATTGAGGCCACACACTATATACTCTAAACACCTCGAGACCTTGCAGACCGCCTTGCTTGGCAAGCTCTGTGGCGCGAAAGATGCGGTAGTCAGTAGTTAAGTTAGGCTTCGTCTGCGGCAAGTGGAGGTTTCTGTCGGGCTTTCGAACAAGTCAACTTAGGGTTTCGGATTTGAGGTGCATCCTGAAGCTCGGTTTAAATGTTCCCAAGCTTAAGACCCTGTAAACTCTAAACCCCGTAACTCCTACGTCAGAAAGCCTGCACCATATGAGTCTTACGCGCTGAGCGCTGAACCCAGAAGTCTGTGTTTTATCAGCCCGCCTCGGTTTACACCGGAACTCTTATGATCGAGAACAAGGAGCGCTAGGACATTTGTGCAGCTTTTTGCCCTGCTGGGTTTGTAGCTCCCTATTTATCTATCTGTATATATATATACACACACACAAGTTTCAATATTCTATTCAAAATAACTTCTTACGTACTTACAGACATATACATATACATACTGTATGAGCACGTACGTCGTCTTACGTATATGTGTGTAGATGATGTCACGCACCTGTGTGTGTGTTTGTGTTTGTGTGTGGGTGCTTGTGTGTGTGTGTGTGCGTGTCGGAGTGTAGGGGGTCAACACAGCTGCCATCTATACATTTCGCAACATGCCGGCACTGATACATGCTTCGTACAATCTGATACACACTTCGCATAATTCTGTCTTTCCCAATGCCAGGCAGGGGTCAGTATAAACGAACATCACTCTCACGAGCTCCGACTGACAGGGTATCTCAGTTGATTTTGACCAAGCTTGTTCTGATGTTCCATGATCGTGAGTGAAGCGTTTCAGTCTGTAGGTCGACAGGCCCTGAGCGCTAAACTCTAAATGATTCAAGGTGGGTATATAATAGCTATATTAAGGGTATATACCTAGGGGTCCTTATTCAGGGTTAACCTCATGTCTCAGGACTTACACCCTACATCCGCGCCCGAATCGAAAGCCTGACTTCTCCCTGTGGCAACCGCTTTGTCTGAGCTGGTCGCTGTTCCAACAGCCCCTCTGGGGGAACCCAGCACCTCTTCATGAAGGAGCTTAGAAACCCCAAGCCGCTAAACCCCAAACCATTAAAACCTGGAATATACCGTGCTGACAACCTGTCCGTGAGCTTGTCGCTACGACCGTATCGCCGGTCATCTGCTGTAGGTGAGCTGGACGCGGGTTGTTCCCGGAAGGGTACGATCGCGGTCCGTATTGTCTAGCTGTCTTCTAGAACCGTATCTATATGTATGAAACCCGTGGTTTTGTTCTTTATTGTTCATTGCAGTAAGTTTTGGTAATTATACAAAGCCCTGTGTGTGCCCATGCATGTATAATTACGTCTTATCACGATAACTCTCTCTCTCTCTCTCTCTCTTTCTCCCTTCTCTCTCGCTCTCTCTGCCTCACGCTCTCTCTCGCTCTCTCTCTCTCGCTCTCTCTCCCTCTCTCTCTCTCTCTCTCTCTCTCTCTCTCTCTCTCTCTCTCTCTCTCTCTCTCTCTCTCTCTCTCTCTCTCTCTCTCTCTCTCTCTCTCTCTATCTGCCTATCAATCCATCCGTCCTTCCATCCAGCGAATTAGTTAGCTAACCAGCGAGCTAGCTCTCTACCTAGTTATTGCTATGTGTATGTGTCCCTTCCTCCATTTCTATCTGTTTACCTCCACCTCTGTCTCTATCTCGATGTCTATATCCATACCGACCCCGATATCTAAACTTATATCTACCTAGATCTCTCTTCATATCCGAGCACCAAGCTTCAGTAAGCTCAGACCGTGGACGCCACAAAACTGACCCTTAGAAAAATTCAGAACTCTAAGCCCTTAGATTGCCGGGTCTTGGAACTGTGACCTTGGCCGATGGGGGACGGAAGTTGTAGCGCTTTGCTTTTCTACTCCTTCCGAGCAGGCTGCTTGGGGGCTTGAGTGATACAAGCAACAATAGTAGTTAATAATCACTGCTGTCATCGATATTGAACGAATAGCAGTAATAAGGTTAGTATTGATAACGTCAACTGCAACAACATATACAATAGCAACAGTTGTCTTATCCTTACCAACATACTAGTGAATAACATGACTATCGAAGTTGAGTCATCGAGGAATTGAGTTTTCAGAAGGTTTAGGGCTTTAGAGGTTTGGGGGTCCCGGCTTTAGGGGTTCAAGGGCTCATGGGTTTTGAATTTTGGGAGGATTTGGTTTGTGGTCTTTCTGTTAGTGTTTTTCGATGCGGTGTGAGGACGAGCGATAAGGGTTTTTGCTGAGACTGCTCGCATCAGATCAGACGGTTATCTGCTTCGATGCTGCTGGATTTTCCTGTAAAGGTTTCCTTTGAGGGATACCATCAGGGTACTATAAGGGTGTAATATATAGGGGCCTGAATAATTACCTATATATACTATTTCGGAGGCTGCTTGCAGACTTAGAGTTTCACCGATTGCCTGTTCAGGCAGCCTGCCTGTCCATGTCCCGCCAAGTCTTACTCTGCACCCCAAAGCTCGGACTTTGTAACTTTACAGCGTGCGTCTGCCTCTTGAGGTAGTTCCCACTTTAGTGGCCCGGCTCTATTTTTCGAAAGCAAAGTGTAAGGCATAGATCCTGAGGCCTTAGCTAGGGGATTTGTGAAGTACATAGTTAGTCTGTCGTACAGGCATTTTATGTGACGGGCTGTGTTAAACCCGGGTTCTACACTACGCCTCCCAGCGGCCTGTTGGGTTTCTCGAACCCCGAATCCCAAGCATCAAATCTGAACCCCGGGCCTTTTAACTTCAGTTGTCGGACCTAAACCCTAAACAGTTCGTAGAGCCGGGCCTCTGTCCAAGTAAACTTCTTGGCATAATTCGGTGCTTGCAAACGCAGCTTTTCTACGGGGCATCGTGGTTTCAATCCGCCCGGGCCCACGTTTCCGGCCCTTGCGCTTGGATGATTCGACCCATATACTGTCTGGAGCCAGCAGTGTATGTGCGACATGCCTTCCGACAGCTAAAAATAGTCAAGGCCTGCAAGTTCAGACCGTGACCACGAAACCTTTGTTCTGATTTTTGAGGTCTCTTTATACATTAGCCCTGTGCAGCGCTAGGCTTCCAGAAAGAGGGGGTTCCTGAATAATGGCGGGGTTGCGGTGTTAAGGCCCATCTGTGAGGCAAAGCTCCCTTTCCCTGTTGTAAGCAGTATTCCGAGAACCGTCTGAAGTGCGATTTGCGATGCTACGCAGTCCTCCCCAGCAGGAACACCGGGACGCGCGTAGGTGGTTGTCAAAATTAGGGTCCCTTTTTGGGTCCTTATTATGATACGGCACCTAATATTTAGGGTACCCCAAAAAGGAACACGATGTTTGACAACTACCCAAGTATTGATTTTCACATATATGCACACCAATAGCCTTAAACGTGGCCTACATATTATACATATTCCCACACATATGTATATCCCGTGAGAGCCCTACTTGCAACTTCTTTAGTTTACAGAAATTGCTGTTGGTATAGAGCCATTCGAGTTCCAAGAACACCCGTAGTAACCTAACCAATGTAGTTCCTCGTTTGGGTCAGCCGCTCGTGTGTTTGGCTTACCCCAAGGGTCCAAAGGACCTAATAATCAGGTCCTTGGGTTACGGATAGTAGTTTTGAGGTTAGTATTCCGAAGAGTATATGATTATTAGGTACTTGGACCCTTAGGGTTACGATCTAGCTTACAGTAGAAGCCAGAAAGTTGGAATATCATTATCGTAACCCCTTTCAGGTAAATTATAGGGGATCCTACCATTAATCCATATTCCAACTTTCTGGAGTTCCCTTTACGATCCTACAACCTAGGATACCCAGTAGTACCCTTATTCCCTTTTCGTAGTCCTAGGTTCCTTATAAAGTTACCCAATACCAAAAAGAGAGGCCTTTTTATTCTTAGGCTACTGGGTATCCTAGGCAAACAAGGTGACCGGACGCAGACACTACAAAGAAGAGTGTAGAGAGGGTCTCGCGGTCGAGCGGCTAAGGCCTCGTAGTGGGCAGTGGGTTCATGTACGGTATACAGAGGGCCAGCAGTGTTGCTACCAGATTGGCAGATTTCAGCAGTCAAGGGTTTAACTTGGGTACTGCCCCCACTCAGTAACAGTCGGATAATATTCATATTATTTCATAACATAGATATATCAGGACCTTAATAGTAGCCCTACTATGGACTGCTACTGTATGGGGGCTTACCCAAGGTCTAACCACCTGGCAGCCTCCTAAATCCGAAAACC